TCTCTCTCGCACTCATGGGGCGTCCCTTCTAAGTGCGAGAGAGACAGAGCGACGAACGGATCCACTGGACTCGCTCGGCAGAGTAATTTATCTGACAGCACAGCAGGACGGCAGGCATTGGAAATCGTGGTGCGGCTCCCGGGACAATTCACCTGCGAGTGTGCGTGTGTGCGTGCCGGCGGCATGGCCAGTGGCTGGGTACAACTGTATTCATATTCAAGTTCAAAGAAAGTTCAAAAAAAATTATTAAAACAACTTGTGAAATGGAAATGAAACTGGCTGAAAACGAAACCTCACGAGGGTGGGGGTTCGCCCGAAAAATAATTAAAAGTTGCTCAACCTCCCCCGCGCCGTTCCATCAAGGCAGGCAGGGACGCTGGGCGCGCTGGGCGTCCAACTAACTCGAAACAAATAACGCTCTGGGCGGTGTGCCGTGTGCGTGAGCCCCGGCCTGGGCGAGCCGCCTCTGGGTGATAAATCTGTCGCGAGCATCGACTGCGTACCCACCGCGCCGCGCCGCCGCGCCACACTCGAGCCCCCGGCCCGGCCAGGTCCCCACAGACACTCAGCCCGGCCTCGTTAGGCGCAGAGACAAAGACGTCAGACCAATGTGGGGCGGCCAGATTTATCCCCTGCGCCGCTCCCAAATTGATGGCGATGGGGAACCAACTTTTAATCATACCTTCAGAGTCGCTGAACAGGACAACAGGACTCGAACCGAACGTGTGACCCCACCAATGGATTCCTCGTTCGGAGAGCAAGCCATTGGTGGGGTCACACGTTCGGCTCGAGTAACATTTGGCGAGTCTGGAGCTCAAAACGCGTCCGCGATTTCGGCCGCCCCCAACCGGTCTTCTGGCCCACTGTGTGTGCCCCATTCGAAAGTGCCGTGGCCGGCGAGCTCACTCCGAACAGTGCTCTCGTCGTCCTGTTTCTCGCGCACTCACGGGGCGCTCCACTGTAGTGCGAGAGAGGCAGGGCCTGCGGGCAATGCTGCGGCGCGCTTGAAAGCTCGCAAAGTGCCGAAAGGCGCAGAAAGGCGCAGAAAAGGCCTGCCTTGATTCGATACTCGCCGCGTCACGCGCAATATCTCTTCGCCCCACCCCTCCCTTCTATCGGCAGCGCTTTAGGGCGGTGAGAGAGAGAGAGAGAGAGAGAGAGAGAGAGAGAGAGAGAGAGAGAGAGAGAGAGAGAGAGAGAGAGAGGCGAGAGGGCTGATATGTATGTAGGCAGGGAAAGGCAGACCGCGGCCCCTAAAGCAGCCCCACGGCACGACGTTCAAACGCGCAGGCATTTCAAAGTGAACTGTGAAATGCTCCCGGGCCTCGTGCAGGCTGCAGGCAGATGACGGCATGGATGGGGTTTAGCGTGAATGCATTAATAACTTCAGATTGAAGCGGAGTATGCAAAGGATCCTCCCCCTCTCCCCCGAAAGAGGGGGAGGGGGTTAGAGAGTCGCCCGTCAAAAACAGTATGGCGGCGTCAATGAAAAACAAAGTTAAATAACTTGGCAAAAAAAAAATCAGAGATTTTTTTTTTCAAATGCTTCGAGACACCACAGCTGTAGAGGGGTTTAAAAAGTTGGACCCTTTCCAACTCCGCTCCCTTCCCCTACAGTGTGCGTGTCTCTTGGCCGAAGCCACGCCGCTGCCTCGCCGGAGAAGCCGAACCCAGTGGAGTGGGGGCGCGCCGCGGCGGGGGCCCAACTTTGACGGAGAGTCCCTTGCCGACCTTAGCCGCAATTTCACGCTCCGACACCCACTCTGGCAGGAAAAACACCTCAAAATAAAAATTGAAAACAATAACCACAACAGCAACGAAAAAAAGCCCAAACAAAACAATTTCGGTGTAAGAACATGATCATCAGCGATAAGGACAACGAGGATATTTTCGCCGGCCTCGTAGAGCATGGCACTTTGCTCTCGCTGCTCAGTATTGGTGTCCGCGGCAGCACCTGTTTTTGCGACCTTTCTGCAACCCCACACAGCAGCAGACGGCGGGGTTGGTGTTTTTTACCACCTTATAGTGTGAAATCGATGACTGAAAACACGCACACACACACAGAATCACAAAGTGAAAATAGAGGACTAAACTGGGAAAGTTATATATGTACATGAGAAACAGGGAAGTCTAAGAAGAGGGAAATTAGCTTGCGTGTAGACACTCTTGAAGTTGGTTCAATTCGTGTTGACACGTCTGGTGCCTTCCTTGTTTACTTTCTTCAAGCTTACCAGGCTTGAAGCATCCCTCATGCATATGGATATTTTTTTAATTTTTAAACCCTTTATTTTTTGAAACCGTTTGGGTGTTTTATCTTGACTTGCGGTTCGCGTTCAAAGCTTTCGGCACCTACTTTGTTTACAAAGTTAGGTTAGGTTAGTTTACTTTAGGTTTGCTTACTTTGTTTACAAAGTAGGTATACGACCGCGCCAACCCTCACCCCCTTCGGTGCAGTGGGGTGCCATTTATTTGGATACGAGCAAACAACAACAAAGGGAGTTGCGAGTTGCACTGTAATTACACACGTGGCGCCCCGCCCCGCCCCGCCACGTTGCAACTACCACTCATTGCGTCCGTCAGGCCGTTCGTTAACGTGGCTCGCATGGCTTTTGGAGCAAACAAAAAAGATATTACAACAAAACTACCACATCTGCAAAAAAAGATGAAAAAACAAAACACGAAACTTTGTGAGAGCGGAATGATTCTACTACCTGCGGACCGCGCCACACTAAAGGGTCGTCGTCCGCATATCCCACACTGTTGAGAGGCCCGTGAGAATATGAGGTTAGGCACGTTCCACGGGTCCGCGGTCGAAAACGCTCCAAACTCAGCGCTACATAATAAGTGGAAATTGGCTTAACTAGGGCTTGAGGTGCGGTACGGTGCGGAGCGCTTGGAGGTCACCGTCAACGCCGGCGGTCGCGGGCCGGGACGGGACGCCCTCAAAACGACGCGAGTGAAGTGGGAAGAGGAGGGCTGTGATCTCTCTCGCACTCGTGGGGTGCTCCGTGGGTGCGAGAGAGACAGAGCGCTGTCTGGCTGCTGGCCCGCGGGCCCTGCACGCGCCTGCACGGCGGGATGGTAATCGCAGCCGTACGGTGCCCCTTCCGGCAGCCGGCGCCGCGGGGAGCGCCGCCAAGAGGTGGCCGTCGTGCCGTTCTGCGGCCCTGACGGCAGCCCTGACGGCGTCCTGGTGGAGGCCGCGGAGGCCGTGCCGTGCACCGCGTCGCCGCCTCGTTACGCGATGATCACGGCAGTCAGCGTCCCGCCACTCGCCCCGCCACTCGCCCCGCGGACCGAGTCTGCGAAACTTTTCGGGAATAATTGTCAAAGTTGAAAAGTAAATCTCGGTTTGCCAGACACTGTAACGCAGGGTGCGTGCGGCTGCGGACTGATTCCGAGAGTCGCTCCGTCTCTCTCGCACGGCCGAGAGAGAGTGCGAGAGAGACAGAGCGACGACAACGACTCTCGCGGAATCAGTCCGTCCGCCGCGTGGTTAGTTATTCGGCACAGCGCGCGCCTCCTTGTCGGCAACTTTCAGAAGATACGATTTGTTGTGAGGGGCTGCTGCCGGGCCGAGACCCACGATGGAACATACGACGCGGAAAAAAAAGTAAAAAGGACCCTCACGGCGAGGCTGGACCGCAGGGAAAGGAAGCAAGTCGGTACTTCGGGTATAAGGACGCGCGAGACTACGCGAGACGCGCGACATCCGCGGACTTTGTCGAATTAGTCCCGGAAGCCCCGGACCGGAAGGATTAAACGGACTCGCCGTCAAAGGGGGATTACCCGTCGCAGCGCTCGCAGCGCGTGCGAGGCCGACGGGGGATTTGGGGAAATAATAAAATAATAATCAACGAATCTATGCACACACACACACGCACACACAGCGCACACGCCCACTCAGAGAGAAAGGCCAAGCAATAATTCGAGAAATAATTTGTGCCGCTGACCGCGGTGGCGCGTGGGGCCTGGTGGGGCGTTGCGAGCGGAGGCAGCCCGACGGGCTCGGCTCGACTCGGCTCGGTAGCAGTCCTCGGCCGCGCCCCGGCCGCGGCGTTTCGAGGCCGCTGCTTGCTCTCTCTACCTCCTCCTCCCCGCTTGCTTCGGCTAAGCTTGGCTTGGCTTTCTCCGCCCCGCGCGACCAGCCGACTCATTCCGAGTTGCGTCGCTCTGTCTCTCTCACACCTACACGAAACGCCCCATGAGTGCGAGAGAGAGACGGAGCGACGAAGACGACTCTCGGAATCATCAGTAGTCTGCTGGCCTTAACTTGGGCTTCGGCTTCCCCGGAGGCCGCCCTTTAATTTGGGGCAATCGTTGCCAGTGCGCTAGTTGGCGGCGTCAAGTTGATATGCAAATTGCGAGGCCGTCGGACGGATGGCGCGGCGCTGGCCCGCTTCGGCCGCTTCAGCTTGCCGTCGTCAAAGTTGCCCCTCAGTCCGCCGGTCGCGCCGCCAACTAGCGCACCCCGACAACGGGCTTTGTTTTGCCGCCAAATTTGGGCTCGGCAGTTTTCCTCATCCCTTCCCGGACGCGATAAACAACAACAACAACAACAAGAAGCGGCTCGACCGGTAATGCCGCAGGCCGGGGCTGGCTTCCTCCTCGCGGGAAGCTGCCGGCTGCTGGCTCAGGTTCAACTTCCGACTCTGACTTCCGTCGTCGCCAAGCCCATCCGCGCTCAGCGCAGCGCGGAACCATTACTCACGTTTGAAAAAATATAAACAACGCGGCGAAAGCGACTCAAGTTACGGCCGCCAAAGACAAACAACAGGCAGGAAACTTTTTGACAGGCCTGTTTCCACGTTTCTGAATAGGTGGCCCGCGTTTCCTTGACGCTGATCGGGCGGGTGAGGCCACGCTTAGAATCCCCGGGCCGGGACAGCCAATCAGCTCTCGAGTTCGGCGGCGGCGGCGACAAAAGTTTGGCCGCGAGTTCGCCGGTCGAAATCGCCATGGCGGTCTTGACGGAGAGGCTGCGAGCGGGGTGCACTTACGTCGAGCAGCGAGTTGTTCCCCGAGTCGGGCAGGCTGACGACCACCGTGGCCACGTCGTGGGGCGCGCACATGGAGTAGTTGGTCCAGGTCCGGTTCATGGTCAGGTTGACGAACCAGGTGCCGTCCGCCAGGCAGCGCCGCGTCGCGTTCTCCTGCAACAAAAAGGCCATCGTTAGCGTCTCGTCGGGGAATAACGCCCCTCACCGCCGCGCACGCGCACCACCAGCGCTGCAGCAATCTAGAGCAGGCCAAGGGGGACGAGCCGACGCCCACGCCGCGGCGCGCCAGCCCCGCCAGCCACGACGGCCATGCCAGCCCCTCAAGGCCGGGCACAGGCTAGGGCCGGAGCGCAAACTTGGATTACTGTGCCAATCAATGGAGATGGTAGTTGCAACAGGGATTTGTAATGGGGTGGGGAGGGGGGGGGCGTGCAGAGGCATGACGCCCCGCGACCCTCTCTCCGGAAGAAAAACATTATTGCTCCCTGCCAGTGGCGCGACAGCCTGATCGCTCTCATTAGTTTCTATCGGCAGGCAGTGATCGGGTGACCTCCCGCCGTCCCGCGTTTCCACGTTGTTTCGGACGCGTCCTAACAAGAGCGCAACTTTGGGGCGAAAGGGGGGGGGGGAGGAGGACGGGGCCGCAGTTTAATTTGGCAAACAAAGTAGCGCCCGGCGGGGCCAGGGCGAGTATCGCTTCAGCTTGGGTGACCCCAGGGCCAGCGAGGCCAGCGGGGCGCAGGGCGCAGCGGAAAACGGTGGTCGAGGAGTGGACTGGCGTGCAACGGACCGTGTGGAGACACCCAAGGCAGGACGCTGGGTGCGGGGTGGCGGGTTGGTCACAGACAAATACCTCTTAGAAAAATATCACCTTACAAAGCGGGCCTTTGAGGAGGAGGAGTGGGGAGGGAGAGTGTGGGCCAAGAAGTTGGTAACATGCCACCGGAACTTGGGCACTCGCGTGGTATCTCTCTTTCTCAACCGGGAACGTTTCGGCCGTCCTGGTCGTCCTCGCCGCCCTCATGGTCCTCGCCGTCCTCGCCGTCCTCACCGCTGCTGGACGAGCAGCCTTTCAGCAATAAGTCGCCGGGACGCCGTGTGGCCTTGCAGGCCGTGCAGGCCGTGGAGGGCGAGGGGGAAGAGCGTTTCCGTCAGAAATCGGGCGGCGCAGCGCGCATGCTGCACGCCGTCAACACCTGCAAGCAGGCCATCTGTATGCACGCCGCCTGGCGACGCCGACCAATCGGGGCACGTCATAAAAGCAGCCGCGTGGCGCAGCGGCGCAGCCCCACACGCCAAACTACACACTCTTTCTCGCTCGCTCTCGCTCTCCCCGCGCGGCTACTGCCACTGCTACTCCTCCACGGCCAGCACCGAGCGACTCGGGTGCGCTTGGTGCGCTGGGTGCGCTTGGTGGGGCCCTTCTTCAGAGCCCCCTTCTCTTCCCACCGCGATAACCGTCCTTCACTCGACAGTGGCGGTGCAGCGCGCCCACGCCGACCCTCGCCAACCCACGCCGCCATCGACGCGCATTTCCATTGTCGGACTCGTAAAAGGAGACGTCCCTCGCCCGCAATCAGGGCCTCCGCCTTGGCCGCCGCCTTGGACGCCGCCGCGCAGGCCGCGCAGGCCGCGCAGCTTCGTTCCATCTCTCCGTCTCTGTCGCACTCCGAGGAGACGCCGTACCCGCCGCACGGGGAGCGAGAGAGACAGAGCACTGCGTCCGGAATCAGCCTGCAGCCAAGTTTGCGAGTCGAGCCCGGTCGGAATGCACTTGGTCTTGGTCGATACAGGGGGCCCGGCCCAACCCGCCAGTTTTACAGTGAGTGGGGAGTGGGGGTGGGGAATTGGGAGTGGGGCGGGGAGTGGGGAGTGGGGAGTGGGGAGTGGGGAGTGGGGAGTGGGGAGTGCCCGTTTAAAAATGAAAACACCCGAAATCGTTCCGAACGTCGGAATGACTTCGGGTGTCCCCGATCGGGCGACCCCGAATCGCTTCCGACGGGGTCTTCCGAATTTTACCCAAAAATGACCAAGATCCGCAAGTTTCTGGATGTACCCCGACGTCAGTCTCGTTTCGGAAGGATTCCGCCGGAGTTCCGGCGTCGGGGCCCTACTGGAATCGTTCCGAAAAGAATGGTTCGTGGTGGGGTGGAAGCCAGGACTACTGTAGGAGGGGGGGCTAAGGAGGCAGCTAACCAATGCTCAGTACAAACTTTGATTGAGATTATATTGGTTTAATTGGAGAGAAGAGACTTCCGAAAAGTGCTTTCGGGGTGTCGAAATCGAGTCCGATCCAAATCTGCAATCCATTTTTAGATAGCACTTGTAGTTTTCAAGATAGCAGAAAAAAAGTGTCCAATTTGAAAATAAAAAAAATGGCATTTGTTAATTTTGGCGTTGATACCCCATACCAAATTTGAGCTCAAAATTCCAAAAATGAAATTTAAAACTGCGATTTACTTAATTTGAAAGAATGGATTTTCCGAAGAGTACTATGCACGGACCATCGGGGTAGCCCGAAATCCTTCCGAACTGACGGGATTCGGGGTCTCGGAAGAACTTCGGGGTGCCCGGGAACATTCGGAAGGATGTCGGACTGCCCCGACAACACAGCCCCCGAAACAGGGGTGATTTCGGGAGTTCCCCGACGTCCGCATGCCTCAGTTCGGAAGCATTCTGGATGAACCCCGAGCGTTCGGAAGCGATTCGGAACGGTTTCGGCCAGATTCTGGATGTTTTCGTTTTTAAACGGGTGGGGAGTGGGGCCGGAGAATGTGGGCCCGTCCGTCCGTCCTGCCAGATTCGGCCGACCGTTGTTGGGACGCAGCGGGGGCGCTTCTGGACAGAGGACAGATGGGCGCGCATTTGCCTCAGCCACTCATTTGTAGCCACCCCGCCCCACCCCGCCCCGCCCCGCCCCGCCCCGCCCCGCCGATACCGAGCAGCACCGCGGTGAGGGATGCGATCCCCGAGGGCTGCCGAGGAGGGCGCGGCGGCGGGTTTCCGCCAACGTGGACGAGTGGACGCGGACGACGTTCGCCACGTCTTCATCCAGGATTGCTTTCTTTTTGTCAAGGGGAGATAGAGATAGCGGTGCTCTTTGGGGAATGAAAGTAACTCGTGCTCCGGGCTGTCCGCACTGAGTGAGCGCGTGTGGTGTATGTGTATGTGTGTGTGTGTGTGTGTGTGTGTGTGTGTGTGTGTGTGCGTGCGTGCGTGTGTGTGTGTGTGTGTGATTGCAGCTCGGGCCGTCTTCCCGGGGACTCGGCCAAGAGCGAAGAAGAGAGGGATAATAGAGACCTAAGAGACAGGTCAGGGTGCTTGGTCGGGCGCGCCGGGGCATCTGTGCGGGAGAGGGATGAAGCGGGTGAGGGAGAGAGAGAGACGGAGCGCCTGCGAATGGCATTGTAGGCAACGTGCTCGACGCGGGTGGGCGCCGGGCTGGCCCACCCCGCCGGGCGGTCCGTCTGTGTCTCCGTCTCTCAAGCGGGCGAAGGCGGGGAAGCGCGGAGGCCAACGAGCGTGTCAAGGCGAGCACAAATTTCGCACCCTGACGGCGAGCTGCTGCTGTTGGCTCCGGACACAGCGAGGCCCTGGCCGGAAATGGCTCAAGTTTGGTTAGCGTGACGGCGCGCGCCACGCCGCTCCAAACTGCGAAGTAACGGCCTCTTGATTTCAACTTGTGTATTCGCTCCAAGTACGACAAAGCGTGCAGAGCGGCGCAGGGCGGCGCAGGGCGGCGCAGAGCCCCGAGCGCGGGGCAATGGGGGACCCAAAGTCGAAGCAGCCAGAAAGCGATCAGAAGGACACACACGTGGAAAAATAAAACCAACACTGAAAGTGTTTTTACCGGTTTTTACCGCAAAACGCCCCGGTGTGCCACAGAAAGCGAAACCAAACCAGTTACAAAGTTCTCAACTTATCTAAATTAAAAAATAAACTTTCCATCCCGGTGTGTTAATTGGTAATTATCTGGCTAGGCCTCGTGCAAAATGTGAAGGGTTCACGCAGCTTATAACGTAGCGGAAATTGCTGGCCCTACGCGGCACTGTCGCGCTTCGGCTGCCGCGACACTGTCGCGCTTCGGCTGCCGCGGCACTGTCGCGCTACGGCTGCCGCGACACTGTCGCGCTTCGGCTGCCGCGACACTGTCGCGCTTCGGCTGCCGCGACACTGTCGCGCTTCACCTGCCGCGACACTGTCTGCCGCGGCACTGTCGCGCTTCACCTGCCGCGACACTGTCGCGCTTCGGGTGGTGCGACACTGTCGCGCTTCACCTGCCGCGACACTGTCGCGCTTCGGCTGCCGCGACACTGTCGCGCTTCACCTGCCGCGACACTGTCGCGCTTCGGCTGCCGCGACACTGTCGCGCTTCGGCTGCCGCGCCACTTTCGCGCTTCGGCTGCCGCGACACTGTCGCGCTTCACCTGCCGCGACACTGTCGCGCTTCGGCTGCCGCGCCACTGTCGCGCTTCGGCTGCCGCGACACTGCCGTGCTTCGGCTGCCGCGACACTGTCGCGCTTCGGCTGCCGCGCCACTTTCGCGCTTCGGCTGCCGCGACACTGTCGCGCTTCACCTGCCGCGACACTGTCGCGCTTCGGCTGCCGCGCCACTGTCGCGCTACGGCTGCCGCGACACTGTCGCGCTTCGGCTGCCGCGACACTGCCGTGCTTCGGCTGCCGCGACACTGTCGCGCTTCGGCTGCCGCGACACTGCCGCGCTTCGGCTGCCGCGACACTGCCGCGCTTCGGCTGCCGCGACACTGTCGCGCTTCGCTGCATCCATCCTCATTCCGAAAGTCGTTTTGTCTCTGTCGCACCTCTTCGCGAGGCTCCATGAGTGCGAGCGAGACAGAGCGACGACTCGCGGCATCGGTCTGCCGGCCCCGTCCCGCCGGGAGTGGCGGGCGGGGGAAACTTCTCCGGCGCACGTCGAGGTGCCAAAGCGGGGGGAGGGGGTGGGGGGCCTCATGGAGACAGCGGGCCTGAAAGGCAATCCGCTGGGGGGTGATCCCACCAAACGCCTTCCCCGAACAGTCTCTCTGTCTCTGCCGCACACACGGCGCCGATGCGACGTAAGGGGTGCGAGAGAGACGGTGCGATGGGCTTTCCCCCTCGTCAACCCTTCGGCGCTTGAACGCTTGAACCGCATCGAGGGACTCGCGAGGGTCAACACCGCCACGGCGCCACGGGGCCACGGCCACTCGGCTCGTCAAAGCAGCGACACTTGTTGCACCCGCTTTGACGCGGAGGCCGCGAGAAGGGTGCGACGGAGAAGGACGAAAAAGGGGAGGAGCCAGACGCCTGGGTAACTTTGTGTCTTCACGGAGTCTGTCTCTCTCGGTTGAGGCGTTCAAAGCGAGAGGGGTTTTACGCGTTCAAGGCCTTTATGGCGTTCAAGGGGGACTGCAGGGAAAGGAAGGGCGGTCCGGACGCACCAAAGTGAACCATCTCATCGCGCGTTCGAGCCGCTCGCCTCCAATTTCCTGGATTTCTAGGAACGCCAGGCTGAGGCTGTGCCGGCTGAGCCCTCGGGACGCGGATGGCGCTGCAAGGTGCTCTAAGCTGCTCTCCGCTGCGGGAGGGCGGTGCTGGCTGTGCTGGCGGTGCCACATCAAAGGGGCGCCCTTGCAAGCCGACCTATCCGGACCAATCCCTGCCACGCTCAAGCAGGACCTGTCGGGGCCCGGCCCGACCCGGCCCGACCCGGACAAAGAAGGGAGGGAAAACCGAAGGGGGAATCCCTGTTGCCCTTTTCAATTCGGAAGGAGCAGACTGATGCCGAGAGTTGTTTCCTTTCTCTCTCGCACCTACACGGGACGCCCGAAGAGTGCGAGAGAGACACAGCGATGAAAACGACTCTCGGAACGAGGACGCGACGCGCTGGGGCTGTTCACTGAGGCACCGCGGCCAAAGAGCGGGTCATGAATGAGTCCACCGACATGACACACCCCGCGGTCTGGTCCAGCGCGACCTTCCAAACAACAACAAAAGCAACAATAGCAGCAACAACAAGAAGGTTACCTGCATGTCGAAGCCGGCGATGTAGCTGGGGCAGGGCATGGCGGCGGTGTGGCCGGCGGGGGTGGCGTTCCAGCAGGCCAGCCCGTCCCACGCCATCGGGCACCAGCCCAGCTCTGCAACCGCAAACGGAGAATCAATGACGGTGGGCTGCCCGGCCAACAATCTCCTCGGAAATAATTTACTTTTAGCTATGACGGCTTGAAAGAAAAATAAAAATGTTTGTCTGCGAGCGCCTGTGGAGTCCGGGGTAGGCAACTGCGCGCCAGCCGCGGCGGACGGGTTGCCTACGCCGCGCAGCGCAGGCGCTTGCTCGGAACGTGCTCAGCTCACAGTGGGGCCGAAACTCTAGACGAGTTTTGCGCTCCAGAGTCACTAAACAGGTTTCGAATCGAGCGTGCGACCCCACCAATGGATTCCTCGATCGGCGAGCGATCCGTTGATGGGGTCACTCGTTCGTTTCGAGTCCCATTTAGCGACTCTGGAGCTCAAAACTCGTCTAGAGTCTTGGCCGCCTGCGCCAGTCTTCTGGCCCACTGTGCAGAGCTCGGCAGGTGTTTTGAGTGATGGACTTGAGAAAACAGTTTATTTCGGTTGCATACGGGATCAAGGTTTTCCGACTGCCAGTGGAATCGCTTTAACGCGGTGGGTGGGCAGTGGCAATGGTGCGAAGTGGCCAAAACCGCACGGCCTGGTGGGCCGGGGGAGTTAGTGGCCGCGGTGAGTGTGAGGCGCGGCTGCGGCTGCTGCGGCGGGGGCGGCGGGGAGAGGGGACGGGCCGACCACAGGACCACAGGGTGCACCATCGTGGCACTCAGGTAAAATGTGCCTAGGATCCTGCCAGGTGTGACGAGCTGGGATTAAACGTGGAGACGGCGCTGATGGCCCTGGGCTGCAATGCGAGAACGGTTTCCCCTCCCTCCGCCCCGCCCCTCGTCCACCCTCGCCAGACCAGAAACTGACACCTCGACCGCGGTCGCGGCCGGGCCGGAGCCTGACAGAGGGGCGGAAATTAGCGAGGATTATTCTATTTCGCGTCAGAGCGCGAAGCAGCTCGAGGGAATGGGGTGAGAAGGGGAGGGGGCACTGCTCATGAAGCCCCGCGGGCCGCACCCCACCCCGCCCCGCCCCACCCCGCCGCCACCAAGAACGTCCGAAAACTCTACCGCCATCTCGCCGCCCGGACGAGCAAGCCATGACAGCGGCTCTGTGTGCGCGCTCGCATACGTGAGTCTGTGTGTGTGTGCCGTGTGCCTGCGAGTACGTATGTGCAAGTGTGTGTGTTGTTTTTCTATTTCCCGGGGCCTTGTTCCGCCCGTCCTCCCTGGGCCAGCCCGGCCAACGACTGGGATCCTCCTAAGAAGTACTGTACCTTCGGAAAGGCCACCGCGTGTGTCCCAGAGATGGATCAGCGTTTCTTTGGCGGCGCAAGAAAGAACCACCCGTTTTCAATCCGAGTGATGCTACGCTGTGCTACACTGTGCTACGCGGACGCCCTCCTCGTCCACCCTCTTCTCCTCGTCCTTCTTGTTTTCGTTCTCCCTCTCCTTCGCCTACGGGGGCGGCGGGCCTTGGCTGCGTCCGGCGGTGTCCTTCCGGGGTGGGCCGCGCAGTCGCGCAGTCGCGCACCGTGGGTGGCAAGACGGACCGAACGCAACGCGGCACGGTAAGGCCGCGTGGGCGACACGCTCCCCGCCCCGCCCCGCCGCGGCTCGCTCGCGCCCAAACGGAATGGGCGGGCCGGGGACACGACGGGGAACATGAATCAGGCGATGAAAAAGCGACGCCGCTTTCGGGACGCAGCGAAGCAGCGAAGCCCGGCGAAGCAGTCAGGACGAGCTGGCTGCAGACGGACTGCGCAGGCAGCCCTCTCCCTCGCCCTCGTGGGCGAGAGAGAAAGAGAGAGAGAGAGAGAGAGAGAGAGAGAGAGAGAGAGAGAGAGAGAGAGGGGTTGACAGCTTTGACCCGCCTTTCCAACCACGAGTGCCGACCGAACGAAACGCAAATCGGCTCGCATGACTTGGCCCGGTTAGGGGTGCGGTGACGAACACACTCACACACACGTACGCACTAACAATCACACACGGACGGACACACTCACACACGCGGGCACATCGGCGCGGTCGAAATGCAATAATGCTAATAAGAGGAGGCCGTTAGCGTGAGGGACGGCCAGCACACCGCACTGCAAGGCCTGGCAAGGCCTCCGCCTGGGACTGCCATTGCCAGGGCCATTGCCATTGCCTGGCTGTGGTGCAGCCCGCAGGGCCCGCAGCCGTGCCTTGCCGTGCCTCGCCGTGCCTCGCCGTGCCGCGTGGCACCAGCCCCGCCAGCCCCGCCAGCCCCGCCAGCCCCGCCAACTGGGTCAAGTGGTGCGGCGGGCGGAGCAGGCTTAGGCTGCAGGCTCCACTGGCACCAGTAGTGGTGCAAAAGCTGGTGCAAAAGGCGTCCCCGCCAGCCCCGCCAGCCCCTCCAGCACCTGGGCCGAGTGGGTCGACATCACGGCTCCAGGCAAGCCCTAGACAGGCCGTATGCACCCCGCTGGCGCGCCGCGCCGCCCCGCGCCGCCACCGCACTATACTAAATACCAAGCGGGCCCTCCGCCGCGCCCTTCGCGCCCACGGCCCTCCAGCAGGCCGTGCTTCTGTCGCGCTGTCTCGCTCGCACTCGCGGGGCGCCGTGCAGTGCGAGGGAGACGAGACGCAGTGCCGCACCACGCCGCACTAGGGCAGCGCCTTCCAGGAAGGCGGCCTCGGCGACGTGGCTCGGGTCGCGGTCTTCCTGCCGTGCCGCACCGCGCCGCACCGCGCCGTTGTCGCAGTCGGCCGGCGAGCCGTTTTCATGAGTCATGCTAATTTGTATTACCGCGACTCCCCAGGACGCGGGGGCCCGGGGGGCAGCGCCAAGACAGGGCGGCCGCGGGGGCTGGTCTGATTCCAGGAACGACGGAACAGAGTCGGAACAGAGGGTCCAAGCCCCACGCCGCCCCCGGCCCCCACGGCCTCTCTTGCGGTGCAGCGAGGAGTCACAGCTCTACACGGCGAAAATGGAAGTTTAAAAGACAGCTTTTTTAGCGGCCGCAAACCATGGCCCGGTGCTGCAACGAATTGGCGCGACGGCGAGGCGATGGCACGCGTCAACTAACTTTGCCGGCGTCCCGGCGTCCCGGCGTCCGCGGTGGTCGAAGTTCCGCGCCGCAAGTTGCTCGGCCAGTAGTTTTGGACACAAGTTTAGACACTTTCCGCGCCAGCGAGTCACTATACTCGGCGGCAAAATGGCGAAATCGGTGGCAGGCAACCACCACGCCGCGCCCCACATGGCGCGAGCGCGCGGCTAAACCCTATTAAGTTTTGACGGGTACATTTAATATTTCCTCACGAATTCTTTACGCGGTTTTTCAACCTCGCCGTCGCCGGCGAGTTCCACCCGGTGAGTGTGTGCCGGTGGAAAGCGGAGACAGGGAGGTCGGGTTTCGAACAACGCGCCGCACAATTACCGGTGGACTAGCCCGCTCGGCGTTGGCGGCGGTTCGCGGGGAGGGATCATCCAGTGCGGAATTCCGTTGTCTCGGTGACTCTCCCACGGTGTGCCTCCCCGCCGGATTTCCAGGCAAGGATTGACGACGGAACGCCCCGGGGGTGCGGCGGGGTGCGGTGGGGCGTGGCGGTGGGGCGCGGTGGGGCGCGGTGGCTGTCCGACTCGGCAATAAAAGCACGCCAGGGAAAAGAGCCTGCCGACTGGGACTACAGCCAGACCTTTCGTATCGGCCTTCCATTCCCTTTCCTTCCCCAACAGGCCAACAGGTGGGTGCGTGGCGCTGCGTGCCTGTCACAGCAACAGCCCTCACCGACACTGCGACGGACGGCCCGTCGGTGAATGCGCCTGTCAGTGTATCTGTGCGTCCGTGCGTCCGTGTGTCTGCTCATGCAAAATGCAGGGCCGCGTAGGAGGCGGCGACCCGGCCCGCCCGAGGGGTAGGCCACCTTTCTGGCACCCCGCGGTGGAGAGCGTGGGCCGGCTCAAGCCCTCAACGTGCGCGCTCTTTGAGCGCCGAGGCAGCATTAAACCAACCGGTGTGAGCGGCGGGCTGTTGCGGTAATCCGGGCGGCGTGGTTTTGTTCCAGCTTTGTGCTCGCGGCGTTCAAAGCCAGTGGAACACGCCCGGAACGCCCTAGAACGCCCTGGAACGCCCTGGAACGCCGCGCGCCTCCCTTTGCCCTTTTGGCCGCGCCTCACCGTAATCGTTCTGAACGGCGCCCGGGCCGACCGGTGACCAAGAGATTAGGTGGCACAGTGTTAGGGAACGGCTCCCTGATTCGCCCTGTTTGGAGGCACAAGGGCGAATCAGCCACTCACAGTGCCTCTCAGCCAGCCTCTCTGCCTCACAACAACGAATCCGCCTCGATTAATTCCACCCAGCGAGAGAGTGAGAGGCGAAGACCGAGATGAGGAGGCAGAAAGATAGAGAGAGAGGAAGGTAGAGCGACAATTGTTGTCCGAACGATACTGCCCTCGCTGGGTCGCTCGTGAAAAAGAGTGGACGCCGATGCGCGGTCCGCTCGGCCGGTTCGTGAAAAGGCAGAATGCCGTGGTAGTGTTGCCGCGATGCAAACGACATGCGGAATGTTTATTAAAATGCCGCACCTGCACAGTGTGCGCACAGTGCGCCGCTGTTCTGGCAGTGAACAACGCAGGCCCAGGGGAGTGCTGCTTTGAAGTTTCGAGGCACAGCACCGGGTCATTATTGGGGAACTTTCTCCTTTTTGTTGAGGGTGTTTTTTTCGCGCAGTCATAATTTTCCAGTAGGGTGGGGAATAGATTAATATATGAATGTTTGTTGGAAAACTTTGGCGACAGATTGTAAATGGAGCAGCTTTCGCTAAACTTTCTTTGCCAACTGTTTTGAATTATTCTGGTGATGGTTTTTCCGTGTTTCCCGCTTCAAGCTTACCGGCGCCCAGGCTGCCGAGGACGACGGAGCGGTTGAACTCGACGGCGCCTTGGGACATGCACCACTCGTGCATCTCCTCGATGTTGCGCCGCTGCTGGTCAGGGCCTCCGAACACGGGGTCCACCTGAAACCAAGGTCACGCCAAGGTCACACCAAGGGTGGAGAAAAAACAAGCTGCGAACGATACTCTCGCCTGATTTTCAAGAGACTGTACAGGGCGACGGACGACGGTCTGGTAAAAGTTTGAGACATTAATTTTTTTTTACTACGCGCCCTTTAGTATGGCGATCGTAGCGTCGGGTGGCGCTCTGAGTCAAGCCCTGCCCAGCCTCGCACAAACCCACCCCGCCCCGCCCTGCGGAAGTGGTGTCTTGATGGCTTCGGCGGCGATCTACTCCCCCAACATGAAGGCGTAAACTCTGTTTCCGTCCATTTTCACCTCCCTCCTTCGTCAAACCGCACTCAGGCGTGGAAAATTGAGCCGGGCAGGCTGAGGCTTCGAACCATGCGGAGACGGGCGCGGCCCCGGAGAGGCCACCCGTCCAACCGCGTCTAAGACACTCGCAAACACCTGTCGACGAGAACTTAAATACACCCTAAATATATGAAAGATAATTGTGTTGATAATATGCATGGGATGGCCCGCTCTGGTGAGAGCAGGCCGTGGTTCGGGGTGCTGGGGGTGGTCGCCGGCTTACTTTCAAGGTTACACTGTCTTGGCACGAAAACGTGTGCTCGGACACAGCAGTTCTGGTCTTGGTCCTGGTCGTATAGTCCGCGAGTTAAATATTCGATTCGTGGCACGTGTTACTTCGTGCAAACCCTTCACTAGCCCGGGCACCAAGAGTGCTGGTTCTCGTTTTTGTCCAGAACCCTTTGTTCCGACACATTCTGGGGCTCCGGTTTTTTTAACGCTTTTGACGCGCACCCCTCCCAGCTTGAGAGGAGGGCCTTCTCTCTCGAGCTGCCAGGCAGCCTTTGCGTCGGTGCGGAGCGGTGCGGAGCTTGGTGCTGGAACCACTCACCGGCCGAAAAGGAAAAGCAACGCAAGTGCGAGGGCTTCCCGTGGCGAGGCCGGCGAGGCCCCAAGCTCTTGGGAGGCTTTTGGCAGATTGCCCACGTGCTTTCCAGCCGCAAGCAGGGCCCCGGGCCCCACGGGCCCCAGCGCCGGGGAACCTGCTGCTGAGTCGGCTCCAAGAATAAACAGATAAAAAGACGGGCAATTTTGCACGGAGCGCTGTCGCTCGTCATAAGCCGCGTATACGGCTACCCGCGAGGGTGTTAGGCTCGCAAATGCCACCTTTTTAGGGGCCGTTTTAAGGTCAACCCGGCCGTTGTGGCGTTTAGAGCGCTTTCGGCGTCAGAGTTGTAACTGAATTTTGATCGCCGCTCTCTCCATTCCATCTGCCGATTACCTTACCATTGTTACGCGGTAGTCATCCCTGAAAGCGTCCCCGTTTTGCGCCAAGTCCTCGCGGCGACTTTGGGTCTGGGTCGATGACTTCGATTGGGTGCCCTTTGTCCGAATCGACGGCAATGCTCTATTTTTATCTTCGCTCATCGCTAGACATCAATCATCGGCGGGGCGGTTGCCTCGGTGACACCACGGTGACACGGTGGCATCGGCCCGTCCGAGGAACTAAATCGACTTGCCACCTGTGACTCACCACCAACGGAACGCTGCCTCTCCATCATTTTCACCGAGGACTCGATGTGCAGATCGGCAAACTCGCACCCAGTCCCGCGGAAAAGTCATCGAAACTGCCGTTACGCACGGGCCATAACGCCCACGCAACAACAACAACAACAAAAGCGTTGGTGCGGTGACAAGGCTAAGGTTCCAAGAGCCATCAACAAGCAGCGTGTCATCCACATGGGGCAGTTAGTCTCTTCCAATAACTCTTTGGAATGCAGCCAGACACGGCGTCAGGCCCAGTCGCCCTTCACGCACGCGCGCACACAATATCGGAGTATGTTATGGACGCTTGTTCTTTTTGTCGTAACTGCTTTAGTAGTTTACTCCTTTTATGGACCTTCGATCGGGTCACAGAAAGTTCTTAAGTTTCCAGAAATTAAGCGACAAGCAAAGTACTTCTCTTCTATTTATCAATTTGACACGTGTTTCAATCAGGTTACTCATTTTTACTCAAGTATTTAGCCTTTCTACCTTACAATCCAGGGGACTGGGCTCGGGGTTACAACAGAAGCCTCATATTACTAAGTTCGCAGTGGTAAGGAGCCCGAAGAATGATCTTTCTGCCTTGTCCAGAACAGGCGTCCAGTAAAATGAAACTCTCTTCCCAGCCCAAGGCACGAGAATTAATAAACTCTCGGCCATTGGAAAACACCTCGGGCGGGCGCGTCCGAGGATGGAGCGATCTGCTGCATTGGTGGCAACCGACGTGCGGAGGAAAATAGAATCAGGTTTACGGACGATTGGATGGCCTGGCAGAGATTAAAGACGGGGGACTTTATCTGTTCGGCAAAGCAGCAATTACTCGAGACCACTCTCGGGTAAACACAAACACTCTCATGCCATTTCACAAGGGATTTAAAAAACAGCACTTGACGGGTAAAACTAAGGCATTCTTTCCCCAAGTCGACCAACACTTAGGCCCAGCCTGCAGGAGCATATCTACCCTATCCCTCCTATCTAAATTCTTGGAAGTTTCATATCCGCACGCTTCAGGACAGGCAGCTGACTCGAAGTACCCCCTTCTTGAAGCGTGATCCCAGTTTCAGCAGTGTTCATAATGCGCCCAAACGGGTTTCCAGCCCAACATTTGCGTGACTGACCCATAAACGCTTCCCAAACACTGCAGCGCGTGGGCGGTAATGCGTGGCTGTGTTGACGCTGGAGGCTCACTGGAGATTATGGACGCCCGCCTGGCCTGCCAGCCCTGGCTGCCCGCCGGAAGGCTGCCTGCTTTGCCTGACGGCCGGGCGACCGTTTTGGGACACACCTGTCACACGGCCGAGCCGGGCCGGGCTGACTCACTTGTTTAGGAAGTTGTTTACCGCTGGAGCGAGGGACCAGGGAACCAGGAAACGCCCACACTGATACAACCACGCAAGCCGCCGCCACGCCCGGAGCAGTTACCGGCATGTGCGCTGATTTGACGTCATTTGGCACAGAAAGGGGCCCTATGTCACCAGGCCGTCACCGGCCGATCCTCGCTAGATACGCCGTATGAGTGCCCCGTTTGTCCCAGGTTGCGCGCTGGAGGGGGGAGGGGGGGGGAGGGAGGGGACTTGATTCGGGCATCGTTACGCCGTTCCGAGGCGACACAGGACGCTGCCTCTTGCGGACAACGAGAGCCTCTAGTGCATAAGGCCCGCGATGCCGGCCAAACGATCGAACACTGTTTTCCGCTCGTCACATTTTTGCTCTGTTTCACGTTGACTTCTGTGTAGTCAGAATCTTTTTCAGTGCGAACGGGCTCTGCCCTCGTACCGCTCACATGCACTCAGTCCCCCCGCCCCCCAGCGAGGCTAGCCTTGAGTCAATGTGACTTAACAGCGCAAACCCCGCGCGCTCCCGCGCCTGGAGGAGAGTGGAAAGTAATTCCACGACTGGCGACGAAGTGGGACAAGAATCTCAGCAGTTAGAAACCTGTGTACGTGTGTGTGTGTGTGTGCTTTCGGCTCTGCGCCGCTGTGTGTGTGTGTGTTGCCCGGGCACACATAGTCAGCGTCCCATTCGCACGTCGGCACGGCACTGGAATTGCTGGGCGGGTCGCAAGGTCGGCCTGGTTACCCACCTCCAGACCGTTGGCGGGTGCACGGTTCACTGACTGACTTCCAAGGCCGCTTCTTTCGGCGCCCCGCTCGCCGTTTCGGCCAGCTTCAAGTGGTTCCAGGGGCCGGCCAATTTCACCGATACTTCTTAATTTTACCGATACTTCTTCCGCGCCGGTTGCCGAAGAAACGACTGCTGGGAAAGGTAGCGGCCGGAACTCGCCCCACAACCCGAAAGTCAAAAATATGGGTTTCGAGTAGGTGCATGGAATCCAGCAGGAAGTAGACGACTATACGTCGCATCGGCTGGTTGCACTGTCACTGTGGGTTGAGTCCAACGCCCGCGAAGAAAGACCCCGCCGTCGAGAGAAAGGAGGGAGTCTAATTTTTCAAGGCCAAGGGTGACGAGGGCGGGGAGGTCGGTCAGGACGCTATCTCTCGCCGCGAGGACGGCCAGTGGCCCCAAGTCACCTCCGCGTCGCCCTGGGGCCCCGGGGCGCTGGCTCTGCGGCGCTGGCTCTGCGGCCACGCTAATCATCCCTCCTCGCTTTCAGCCCCGCCTTTGCCGTTTCTTACACCTCTTGGAACTTTGTCATCCAGCGGACCGGAGCGGCGGAGAGGCGGAGCAGGTGGCCGAGGGAAAACAATTACCAGACCACTCTAATCAATCCTCCCCGCAGCCGATGAGCCGTGAAGGTGGGACAAGCAGACGACGGCGGCCCCGAGCGACTGAGGGGTGCCGGTGGCGCCGGCGGGGAGGGTGCGCAAACTTCGTTAACTTGAGCGGGTTCATGTCTGCTGGTGTTCAGCGGCCCCGCCCGCGGCCGCACAACATTAGCACTCTCCGAGGGGGGGGGCGGCAAAATATTAGCCGCCGGCTTTTCATTTTTCGTTTCCCGTCTTTGCGCGCCAAAACGGATTACACCCGCGCGGCGGCTCTAATTTAATGTGGGCCGAAATACTGTCCCGCTTTGACGCGTCGCCGAAATGCTATTCGCGCGTCCCAAAACAGTGGCCGCGATCCCGCGGACTGTCACGTTCATTACCATTTATTGCATTACGCTGTGAAACGGGTTAGTCGGGCCTCGGTCCGCGTCCGCGCCGTTCGCGGCGTCCGCGGCGTCCACACACTCGTCATATCGGGGTAACGACGCGGAACCGACAAACCTCGGACTCGCCCTGCCGGCCAGCGAGAACCGCCGCACCACGGTGGCCATGCTGTCCCTCTCGCTCTCGCGGGGCGTCCCGCGGGCCGCACGGGTGCGAGAGAGACAGAGTCGGGAGCCGCGCGTCGTAATTGCTGCGACATTCTTTCTGCTTTGTCCCTTTCCGCCTTTCCGCTCTCGCGCATTCTTTGCGTTTGAAAAAGGCGGGGCTGGGAAAAGGCAAGGCCACAGTACCGGAGTCGAGCAGCCCCGCGGGGCTGGAGGGCCTGGAGCCGCACTTGTCGGGGTTGTAGTGTAGTGGCCCGGCGGGCCAGCTGTACTTGCGAAGGGTTGCCTCACGCGGGGCAGCGGCACCAGGGCGGCACCAGGGCGGCACCAGGGCGGCACCAGGGCCGGCCAGGGTACGCCATCCGCCGGGGCTCGTTAGCAGGACTGTCTCTGTCCATCTCAGGCATTCCCTTTGAGGACACACACTCTGTCTCTCTCGCCTTTTCCTCTCAAAGTGTGCGTGCGTGTGTGCGTGTGCGAGGGCCCCCGAGTGTGGGTCGGGTGTCGGAATATGGAAGGCTGGGAGCGGGCTGGGCGTCCCATATGTGTCCCCGTCCCTCTGGTATGGATGTCTTTGACCGGATCCAACAGCAAGGGATCCATGTTGTCTTGTGAGTGTTGCTAGCGGAAAGATGACGAATTCCGGCACGATGCCTGGGGACATATGGCGCTGTACGTCAAATGGCATGCTGCCAGCGCCGCTCGGAAAACAATACCCCTTCTTGTTCGAGGCGCCCTCGTCGCCTAAACCGATAAGCAGTTTGCATTTTCTTTAAAATTACTTTTTTTGATTGACGGCATTCCAGCGGGCGCCGTGCGTGCCTTGCGGGACGGGCCCCGTAATCAGGAAGGAAATGCCGATGCGATGCGGCGATGCCGCGCCCGTATCGCTCGAATCAGATGGTGCGTTCCGTTATCTCGCCTCGGCTGCTGACACGCCGCTGTAAGTCGCTGTAAGACGCTCTAAGTCGCACTAATTCACCCGGCGCCCCCCGAATCTGTGCTCCGAGCCTTCAGTGTCTCGGCTGCCTCCCCGCGGCACCGTCCGCCCTTCCAGGGCCTTCCAGGGCCTTCCAGGGCCTTCCAGGGCCTTCCAGGGCCTTCCAGGGCCTTCCAGGGCCTTCCAGGGCCTTCCAGGGCCTTCCAGGGCCTTCCAGGGCCTTCCAGGGCCTTCCAGGACCTTCCAGGACCTTCCAGGGCCTTCCAGGGCCTTCCAGGGCCTTCCAGGACCTTCCAGGGCCTTCCAGGGACGCCGGAGACGTCCTTCAGGAACACGCCTGGCGTCTGCCTGAGCAGGACGGTCCGGGGGGAGGGAAAACACGAGGCTGCTTTCCTACAAAAATAAAGTACAGTACGCGAGGTCTGTAAACCCAACGGCGCCGTTCACGTGGGAGGTCCTTATCAATGCACTTTCCGGTTGAGGTAGGCAACCCAACGGACAGACAGGCAACGAACCGGGCACGTTCCAGTCCCGATAAGCTTCCCAGTGCCACAGGAACGGGAGCATGGGCGAGGGGAGGGGGGACACTTGCCGAGACTGACGACTCCGGTTTCACCCCATCAGCCCGGCCAGACCTCCGTCTCTCTCTCCCTCCCTTCGGCTGTCCAGACCGTCTGCCCCCCAGAGTTGCCCAGACAGTCGAACAGCTCTATCTGACCGACCACATTACCATGGCGCGCACACAAAGTGATTTCGGTTTCGGTAGGCCTCCTCACGGCCGCGCGCCCGAGAACCCCGTGAAAGCAGCTTACATTCCAGAAAAGCCGTGTCGTTGGCAAAAGAGAATGGACTTATCTCTGGTTTACTTGGCAGCGCTTCCTGCCGTGGCCCACAAAAACGCCCCCTTTTCGAAAGCGCCGTGCCGACGCTGCTTATCGCCACTGTGCGCCAGGAGAGGCGGTCCTTAGAACACTGTACGGACCGCCCGGTGTGTCTGCCTGCCTGCCACTCAGTGAAATGCCACGCCCTTTCCCGCCTTTTCGTGTCTGTCGCTGGTAAGCAACAAGGGCTTTCAGGGGTTTCAACTTCAAGTGTGAGGGGCTTCGGCACGGAAGCCATAGGTAAACTTAAAATAAAGTGTTTTTTTTTTGTAAAAGAAACCCACTTGTACAGTACACTGCAACGCATTCCAAGGTCTGGGACCTACCATTTTGGCGGCTGCTGTCAACGAGACGGGGTTCAGGTTGTCCTGGCACGCGGTCGCTGCGGTGCTGCGGGTGCGCGGGGTAGCTTGGCGCCGCGCCGCTCACTCCGGTTCGGTCCAAAACACTTGTTGCACCTGGGGCCAAGCCTGGGGCCAAGCCTGGGGCACTCCCTGCACCGCACTGTCTCGCACTCCCGCGCTCAGGCGCCGCGCACCGGCAGGCGCACCCCGCCGGCCAAGGTGATGCACTCGGTGAGCTTCTCGCAGTGGCGGCATGCTCCGGCCGGCGGCGGCTCCAGCCTCGGCTCCAGCCGCGCTGCCGGTCCGGGGGTGCCCGGAGTGCCCGGAGTCCGAGCCCACATGGAATTCTCGGAGGTCTTCGTCGTTGTCGTCGAGCCGACGGGCTGGCCGGTGGTGGGGACTCCGAGAGAATGCACGAGGGCGCGCGAGCGACGCCGGCAGAGCGAAGCCGGGACAGCGACAGAGACGCACGGCACCGCCACACCGAGCACGACCGCCCCGCTCGCCACGCTTCGAGCGACTGAGGAGGATCGGCGCTCCGGGCGGCGCGGCGCCCCGCCCCACGGAGGCCCCACCGCCGCCCCCGCCCGCCCCCGCCCCTCGCGACGCGGCCAGGCTAGGCGAGACAGCACACACACATGCACACCGGGGGTGTCGGGTGCGCTGGGCCTGCTCAGGTCGAGACTGCGTCGGCGAGGTGGACGCCGACCGCGGGATGAAGTTATCCGTTCGCCTTGGGGGCCTTCGGGCCACTGCCATTCCTCTGGGAAGCCGGCCAGGGCTTCCGATAGGCCGACCGGGTGGTGCTTCACGCGGTGCAAAGCCAGCCAGCTGAGCCCCCGGCCCCGGCACCCCAGACCCGGCACCCCAGCCCCCGCACCCCAGCCCCCGCACCCCAGCCCCCGCACCCCAGCCCCCGCACCCCAGCCCCCGCACCCCAGCCCCAGCAGGCGTGGATCCAGGGGGAGGCAAAAAATCGCTCTGAAAGTAGGCGACGTTCGCAACATCACCCCCTGAACCCGTCCCTGACCCCCTAGGCACCAGCGCGCCACCAGCCCGTGACGAAATGCACCCTAGAGTTTGGTGCCCCTGGGGCGGGAGCCGGGGGTGGAGGGCGGGCAGTGACCACACCCCGGCCGCTGCCCTCCGACCCTCCGAGTTGGAGGCGAGGCCGGGCCGAGGCCTGGCGGACAATGGCCTCTGCGTCATCCCTTGTTTTCACTCGGCCGATCCAAGGCCTGGCCCTGCCGGCCGGCCTGCTGGACACAGTCATCAGGCCGTGGCAACGGGCCGCCTGATTGGGTGGGCCTCTCGAAGGGGCAGGCGTGGGTACAGAGGGGCCTTTGTGGCCGATGGTCCCGCCTTGGTCCCGCAGGCATGCCGCGGCAGCTGCACTCTTGCATATCTCGCCTTCAAAGAAGAGAGATAAAACACCCGTTTTTTGTTGTTGTTCTCATTTAGACTAGAGCAAAAACCAATATTCTTTCTTGTCTCCTCGAGTCTTGAACTTGATCTGAGCCGACACACTCCAACAAACTTGATACACGTCGCGACAGAAGATCCCCATCCTGACGAATCTTATCGGCATTTTTTTTCTGCTATCTGTCAGCACGTGTCCTGGCGTGTCCTGGCGGCCGGCGCGTGCCTGGAGGTCCTGGTGCCGCCGTCTCCCTCCCGTGGAGTGAGGCGCGGCCTCGTCGACCAGTGCAGGCGCCTCGCGGCTCCTCGATCGACATAAATTACCTGGAAGAAATGTCACGGGGCATCACGTTGGCTGTGCCGCGGCGTTCCCGGGAAAGGGATCGAAGCGAGCGCACACATTAGAGGGCCGCGGCAAAGGCGAGATGAATTCCGAGAACAGCGCGGCCCAACGAGTCTAGTAATTGTGACAAGATATGATTGATTTCGACGAGCCGTTCTCTGTCGCACTCATGGAGCGTCCCGTTGGCGAGCGAGAGGGACGGAGCAATGCAAAGAAGCGACCCTTCAGAACCACTCAGCCGCCGCCGACTTAGCGCTGAAACGGTGAAAAGAGGTCGGCGCTCCGAAACCAGAGCAGCAGCAGGTGGTTGGGGCAAATCAGGGGCGGCCCGAACCCCAAACAAAAGCCTTGTGCCGCGAGTGGAAAAAACAAAAACATCGATCTTTTAGAAGAGGCGTTTGCTTGCTTTTGACCCTCCTCTGTGCATACGCCTTGTCGCCCCAATGTTGTCGGCCGGTAATTTGATGACGCCGCATTATGTGCTCGGCAAGGATGAAGGCTGGCTAGGCGTGACGGCCCGTTAAGGCACCGACACCTGTCCGGCAAACCCACGCCACGCCGGCCGGGCCCAACAGTGGGCTAGAAGGCCGGTGGAGAGGTGGCCAAACTCTACACGCGTTTTGAGCTCTAGAGTCGCTAAGCAGGACTCAAACCGTACGTGTGACCCCACCTTTGGATTCCTCGTTTGGAGAGCAATCCAATGATGGGGTCACACGTTCGGTTTCGATACCATGTAGCGACTCTGGAACTCAAAGCGCGTCCAGAATTTTGGCCGCCTTTACCGGTCCTCTGGCCCACTGTGTAGCCCCCAGGGTCCGGCTGGGCCACTGCATAACGTCCCAGAAGTTGTTACCCCCACCCTCCAAATCGCCTCTTCTCTCCTCCATCACATGAACCATCGATTGCCAATGGGTCGATGCTGTCCGGCCACATGGGCCCCTCGACCTTGGGCAAAAGGGGCAAACACCTCCACTTTTCCTAATTGACCTAGCGCTTGTCCCCACTTGCTGAGAAAAAGTGAGTGACTGTTTGAGAGTGTTTGTTTGTCCGACAGATGGCGCGGCGGCGTCTTGAACCAGAGTGAAGCCTTGAGAGGCAATGAAGGGCCTGGCCATCAAGGGTAGTTGTGCCCGGCGGGGTGGCACTTAGCCGGACAATGAGCAGCTGCCTGGGACAATGACGAAGGGCGGCTTTCGCGGAAGAGGCCTCCGTCGGTCGACTCGAGGAGGGCTTGGTGGCGGCGGAGAGCGCGCGCGCCGGCGGGCACGCTCTCTGCCCCGCTGGCGCGCACGTTGGGTTGCCTGCCGCCACGGCGCACCCGACGACGGCGACGTCTCTGTGGCAGTAAGGGCCTCCGATTCTCATAAAGGCGGTCGTCCATATTCATCCGCGCAACAAGGGGCGGGGCGGGGCGGGGCGGGGCGGGGCGGGGCCACGGAGACGAGACGGCGCTTTGCAATTCGAAAAGCCGGCTCGCCGGTCGGCAAGGGAGCAGCCCTGGCGGCCCTGGGTGGCAGCCCTGGCCAGCCTCACGTTCCCGCCAAGGACGCTCGCACGGCGTAAAGGACCCCGTTGAAGGGCCCGGTTACCCTCGGCGTTACCCTTGGCGCCGCCCTTCATGAATCAAAAGGTTCATCTCGCACTGCAGGACGATTCCGAACCGCGGTTTCGGAGCTCCGTCCCTCTCGCACTCGGCGCGCGTCCCGTAGGCGCGCGACAGAGACGGAGACACCTACCCGCGGTACCTCCGCGCCCCTTTACGGCCCATTACTCTGAGTTACTGGCTACTCCGCGTCGCCCCACGCCCCGCCTGCTGCCTGCGCGTGGCCCGGCCCACCCGGCCGATGAGCACCGAATCTACCTATCGGCCGCCGGATACTGGATGGCCCGATGCCGTCGGGTTGACGGCGTGGAGTCGGAGGCGGGGATGGAGTATAGGGGATGGTTTTCTGCAGGGGCAGCACTTGGAGACACGCCACTGTCGGGGCGAGGTAGGGGTGTAGGCTCGGCCGTCCGGCACGAGGAGACCAGGAGGCTGTTCATTGCCTTGTTTGTGCTTTACGAGCCCGTTTAGCAGCAGTCTGTGGGCAGTTGGTGCAAGTGGCGGGGCCCCCGCGGGGGTCAGGGGGTCGTAAAGGAGCAGCGGGGTGTCGGCGCGCGCGCCACGCACGCAGGGCGCAAGGGCCGAGGATGTCGCGTCAGGGTTTACAGCGTATGGGCCGGACTGTCAAAACACCCGGGGTGGGGGTGGGGGTTCTTGCCGAAACCCTCCGCCCTCCATGGCGCGGCATGGCGGCGGCGCTCATCACCGGGACGGGACGACGGGACGCCATACGGGACGGGGCTGCGGTGAAACGGGACACTCTGGCCACACCGCGGTGCAGGGGCGGGGGCCTGCCGATGTGCGCACACACAATGACACGCACGCACACACGCGCACACACACGCGCACACGCACACACACGCACACACAGTGCGTCCGTCCTGCGGCGCCGCGTTCCTCGACGGCTGATAGCTTGACAGAGGGGCGCAGGGGCGCCCGGAGCTCCTTTCGTGCGCCGCTTGACTGCGTTTGCGTCGCCCCGCGCGCGCCGCAGGGGCACTATTGGCATGGCGCTGCGGTCGCAACCCCTCCTGGCAGTCCTCTAGCCCCGCCACACAGTGGGCCAGAAGATTGGTGGTGGAGGCGGTTGAAATCTCGAACGCGTTTTGAGCTCCAGACCTGCTAAATGGGACTCGAACCGAACGTGTGATCCCACCAATGGATTCCTGGTTCGGAGAGCTGTCCATTGGTGGGGTTACCTGTTCGGTTCGAGTCCCATTTAGCGACGTTGGAGCTCGAAACGCGTTCGAGATTTTGGCCACCCAAATGCGCGGTACCACGGCCTCCCTTGGGCTGGAGACCCCCAGCGAGAAAAGCGAGTCAGTCTTTTCTGTTCTCTCTCTCTCTCTCTCTCTCTCTCTCTCTCTCTCTCTCTCTCTCTCTCTCTCTCTCTCTCTCTCTCTCTCTCTCTCTCTCTCTCCGTCGACCCAGCATAGCAGCCCCTCCAAGTTTGCGCGGGCTGAGTGACGGCCGTAGACGGCGGTGCGGTGCGTCGCCCTGGGGTAGGCCACCCATTCGACAGGTGCGCTGCCTCGGCCGCCTCGGCCGGCGCGCACGGCGACGTCGCAACATTAATCACGGCCGCGTCGCCTCCATCGCCGCCGCCATCCTCCTCGGCGCCCTGGATGCTCGGCCACGGCGATCACCCTCGCACTTCCCCCGCGGTGCCCCGATGCTCATCCACTTTGCGTCGATAAAAAATGAAACGCGGAGCATGAATGGTTTTCCCCCGGCCGACTCGACTAGCGCGCCGCCGCGTCCCACAGGGCGGTCCGCGGGCTGCTTCATCTCAACAGCAGCATGCTGCTGCTGCGCGGTGAGGTGAAACGCAGGGCAGGGGGTCACACCCTTGACAACGCTCTCTCAAACGGATATTGTGCTAGTGTACGCACTACGCCTGTCTGCCTGCCCGTCTGTCTGCGTCTGTTTGCCGTCGGCCCGCGTTACCTGCGCCACGCAGACAGCCACCCCGTCGGGGCGCAGATGGCGGGGGCCTGCACACAATTTCATGGGCGGCTGCGGAATTTGAAAGGCGGGATTTCTTGGCGGTCCACAGAGCCTCTGGGCGGTGGAGTGGATGGATGGTGCCCTCCTAGGCAAAACGGGCGTAACTGCAAGCGAGGCGACGAGAGGCGAGGCAGGACCAGTATTGCCATATCAAGAGTGAGGAGGAAGAGGCGACGCGGCACGGCGCGGTGGCGATGGCGGCGGCACACGGTGGAAATACAGGTAACGCGGGTAAACATCAGGCCGGACTCGCTGAATGGCACCCAGCAAATTTCGCGCGACTTTCGGACCGGTGTTGTGTTCGGCACCAGCCAGAGGAACGTTTTTCCGCAGGTTTCGTCGTGTTTCCAGTGTGACTCCCGGTGTTGCGCTGCGCCGCGCAGTGCCACGCGGGACAGCCCTCGTGTCGGGAGGTGTTACTCCGAGACTGACGAATGAGGGCGAGCGTCGCGCGGCCACGGCTGTCACTTGCAGTCCCCGGGGGGCGCCTGGTAGGTAGGCAGCCCGGCCGGCGCGCCCACTGCAAGTCCGACCCCGCGCCACCTCTCCTTTGCAGCGCCGTTTTGGGATCGAAAAGCCGTACTCCGGATCTCTACGCACACAACCTTCTTTTCGCCGCAAAGGCGGCACAGTGTTGTGTGGGTCAGCGTGCTCTTTGATTGTTTTTTTTTCCTCCGGATTGCGTTACGTTCATGGAGCTTCCAGCAGGTAGGCCGATCGTTGCACTTACGCGCTGGACAGTCATGTAATGTCTGGTGTGGCGGGGCGGGGCGTGGCGGGGCGGGGCGTGGCGGGGCACACACAGTGTATATATATAAAGAAGTGTCTTTGCTGCCGTCCCGTTGACTCCACACACCTCCACAGCGCCGCCCACAGCCATGCGGATTGTCACAGTGAGTACCTGCCACGGCCGGACTATTAAAACGAGCGTTTTTGTGCAAAAAAATAAATAAAAAGTGAGTTTGTCGTGAGAGTTTGCACAATAAGCCAGCGTCAAAAACGGGCAAAAAGTGGCCTGCGGATCCGCGAGCGCTCTTCGGGAATCAGGTCAATGTGACACGCGCCGTTTTTTGTTGCTGTCTTTTTTTTTTTAAAGGTGACATTGGCCGTGGTCCGCGCCTAGTTTGGAGGTGGAAGCTGATAGTCCTGTGGCCAGAAGAATGGAGAAAGATAATGGGGGAAAATGGCAAAAAGTGGAACGGGATGGCACACGACGCGCGGCGGCAGCGAGAGCAAAAAGAGCGACGGACAGAATGAAATTCGCGCAAGGCGAACGACACAAGACAAGCGCAACGCGAGCCGCGCGCGATTCGGAGGGACGCAGCTTTGATCTACACAATAAGGGCAGAAACTTTTGGAATATCGGGGATTTGTTAAAGAAACGGGATCCACGCAGAGCCCTGCATTTGGAGCAGCCGTGTCGGCCGTGGCCTGCCTATCGAGCAGGCGGTGTTATTTCTTGTCGGAGGGGGCGGGGAGGGGGGAGGGGGAGGCCAGTGACTCGACTTGACTCGACTCGGCGCCTACCAATGTGGAGCCACTGGCCGCCCCCTGCCTTTGATCCACGTCTGCCAACAAACGAGCCAAAACATTTCACTTTCCACTTTTTCGCCGGGGACTTTTTTTCGCACCGTTTTTCCTCCCTTTTTGTCAACACTGAGACTCTACGTCTTTCATCGTGCCGTCGTATTCTTACTTTTTGTTCAAATTGCAGAGGGAACACTGTAAGCAGAGTATTCTGGCCGTCTGTGCCGCGCGCAGTGCGGGGTCTCCTCACTGCGCGTGCTACTCCTAAATCAATAAAAGGGTTCGTCAAAGTGCGCGGCAGCTGCGTGTAAACTCTATTTACTGCTCCCCTTTTCACCTCCTCCTCCTCCCCCCCTCTCTCTCTCTCCCTCTCTCCCACACACAAACAAACACACACACACGCACGCACGCGGGTCGTGGACGAAGCGTGTGAGCAGTAAATACATTCAAACATTGTGCCCTCGTGGAGTTTGCTGGAAGAATACATATATTCCCACACCTCATTCAGTATGCACCCTTCTACGCGACGGCGCACTCAAATTTTTACGTGTCGCCTGGCTGTCTGTCTGTCCGTCCGTCCGTCCGTCTGTCTGTCCGTCTGTCCGTTCAACAGCACCCCGTCATTTTCATATGAGGAGTCCGGCCGCACTAGCAGCTCTGGCCTTGAACTCGTTTGCGGATTGGCGGAGGCGTCCAAGTGTAATCGGTCTGCCCCCTCCTCCTCAATTCCCCTCCCTCGCGAAACTTTATCAACATCGTTCTTCTCCGCATCATCATCATCGTCGCATTTACAAACTTGGTCGTGAAAATAATCTGCATACTGATGGTCCATCATTTCGGTACAGGTTTCCGCCTGCCTGTGCCGCTCCGACTTCTTTCCCCACTTCTGCCTCTTTCTCGCTCGTTCCTTCCCTCTCCGCACAACGGAACGCGCGCGACGCGGCGTACTCGCCGTGCTACTTGTCCTCTGGCGGGAGCTGTTTGTCTGTGCTTTCGAAACAGTGGCGCGGTGGGTCGCGGCGTTCCGGGGTATTGATGTTTTGCTTCCTCGACTACAGTGGCTTATAGGTTTCCGGTTCAAAGCCAACTCCCGCGAGCGCCGCCGCCGCTCCGCCCCGCGGCCTTGCGGCTGTAGCTGGAGGAGGACTTGGAGGAGGCGGGCGGCGTCGGCGGCCTCAAAGAAGTTACACCTTCCGCTCCTCCAGGTCCGCGAAGGTTCAAGTTTGTGCCAGGTCCGCCAGGTACATTCTGCAGGCAGGTTGCTCTCGTTGCTCGGATGGCATCTGGGGTGCACTGCGGATGCACCGGTGTAAAGTCCTGGAGTCTGGACTTTGCACCGACACCTGGTACCCAGTGCTCGGGGTACACGGTGTGCTCCTTGTCGTGGGCCGGCCGAGCTCTGCTGCCCTCGTAAACCCGGCAAAAGTCAGTGGCTTACCGCCTGGCCCTCGGGTGGCCCTCGGCCTGCCCCAGCGCGGCGCGCGGCGGCGGGGCCTCACTGTTTGTTGTTGTGCGGCAGGCCCTGGTCGTCATCGCCGCGGGGGTCGTCGCGGGCGCGGTGGACACAAGCCACCACGTCAAGCGCGGAGCGGTTCTCGGCGGCGCAGTTGTAGGCGGCGCCCCGTCGGGCCTCGGACTCGGGGGCTACGGCCTGGGTGGCTACGCACTCGGGGGCTACGGCCTTCACGGCATCGGCTTGGGCGGCGGGGCCATCGCTCTCCCCGCCGGCGCCCTGGCCGGCCTGGGGCTGTCCTCCGGCGTGCTGAGCTTGTCGGCGCAGGGCGTCTCCCCCGTCGCCGGCGCCGTCATCGGCCCCGCCCACGTCATCCGGGAGCACGTGACCGTCAACCGGCAGCTGGGCGTGCCCGTGGCGCAGCCCGTGCCCGTCCCCGTCACCAGGAACATCCCAGTGCCCGTGCCGCAGCCCGTGCCCGTGGCTGTGGACCGGCCGTACGCCGTGGCCGTGCCGCAGCCCCACCCGGTGCCGGTGGACCGGCCGTACGCCGTGCCCGTGGACAGGCCCGTGCCCGTGCCGCAGCCCTACGCCGCGCCCTACGCCGTGCCCTACAACGTGCCCTACCCCGTGCCCCACGCCGTGCCCGTCCCCTACGTGCGCCAGGTGGCCGTGCCCGTCCCCAAGCCCGTGCCGGTGCCCGTCGTCCACGACAGTGAGTACAACGTCCGCCGCTGGCCGCGGAAAACTCCACCCCCGCTCATGTTGCCCTTGCCTTTTTCAGCCCCAGTGGCCGTCGCCGCCCACGGCCACTTGTCCAGCTCCTCGCTGAGCGTCCCGGCCGATGAGCACGCGTGGTGAGCACCGCGTCGTCGTCCGCCGGGCCGAGGCCGAGGCACGGCCGCTATTTATTTGAAGCCCTTCTCTGCGCGGTTGCTTGTCGGCGGCCGAGTTTTCCCCGTGGCCAGCCCGCCAGCCGGCATTGGGCGGGTCCTGGTCCCGCCCGCGACAAAGGAAAGGCTGCTTTTAGGGCCCTCGGGACAGCCCCTTTGGGCCCTCACCCGCCCCCGCAGCCCCCGCAGCCCCCGCAGCCCCCGCAGCCCCCGCAGCCCCCGCAGCCCCCGCAGCCCCTCGCTGGCGAGGAGTTTTAAAGCCCGGAGAGGGCGCCGCGGAGCGCAGCAAGGCAGGTCGTTCTTCGAGCAGAGCGTGGTAAAGCAGGGCAAGACGGTGCTCGCACAAAACAAAAAAAAAACATTAAAATTTTTGTAAAGCTAAATTTGAATTGTGTATTTTTACCTTTGCTGTTGGTTTGACTGGTAGAGCCGACTGGTAGGCCACCCATCGGCGCGGCCTGCAACCCGCAGCGCTGAGCTAGGCACAGGGATGCCGACAGTGCAGGCGCAGTGCAGGAGGTTGTATTGCTGGGCGCCACCCCGCCGCCCCGCCCCACCCCCTGTCGTGTACCTTCCTTCCGCCCACGGCGCGGGACCGTCTCCGCAGACTGGAAAAGAGGAATCTTTTTGTGTCTTCTCCTCGAGGATGCGGCGGGTGGTATTCAACCTGCCATGTCTTGCTCCCTTCCGCGCGCTCGGTCCTCTCGGCCGCGGACAGACGGACGGACGGATGGACGGATGGACAGACAGACAGACTGCTCTCTGGCGCAGCCCGCGCAATGCAGCGGGAGCATTACCATGACAATGCGGTACCAGGCTTTGCCCCGACAAATAAAGTAAAATAAAAGGAGAGGGAATTTTTCAGAGCACCTGCTCCGCTGCTCGACCCCGTGCTGCCACCAGAAGGGCGCCTGCGAGGTAGGCAATCTCTGCTCCCCGACGCACGAAAGCGTCACGGGACTGCCTACCTCGCAGGCGCTCCGCCAGGCTCAGCGTCTGTGAACTGGACTGGCAGCGGAGGGCGAACGCAGTGAAGATCGAAGTTTAAATCTGTGCGGGGCGAAGGTGCAGGCCACCACAACAAGACAACCGCGACAGCAATTATGCACAACCAGACCAGAGCGATGCAGGTCGGGCCGCCACCTCCCACCTCACGGCCCCACCACGCCCGCCACCACCACAGCAGCAGCTGCCGGCTACCGACCGCTGGCCTGGCCGACTGGTCCCGGTGGTCACTGGACCAATGGACCACTTTCGTTTTCAACTCGGACTCCGGTAAACTGGGATGTCCAGGCCTCCAGCCACCGCCGAGCAGAAAGCTGCAGTGTTATTGTCCGGGGACACCGTTCCGTCTCGAACAGGAAACGGCACAGTGTCGAACTGCGGAAAGTGCAGTGCTCCTGTAGCGGCCGGCGATGGAGTTGGGGCATCAGGGCTTTGTGGGGAAGTCTAGTTGAGTGCTGGCGTGCACCTTGTTGAATGCCAATCCGAGCCTGTGACATTTGCAGTCATTTCGTTCGGCAAAAGTTAAAAATGATGCGGAGCGGCGAAAAAAGCGGTCCGACAGGCACGGCCGAAGTGCAGTTGTTGCCCCGGCCGGCGGGTTGGCCGGGGGAGGGGGGGGGGGGGCACGAGGCCGAAAAGTGAGCCGGGACCGCCGGCCGGCCGGCTGGCCAGTCAGCCACGCCTCGCACGCACGGCGTGGATTTCCTAACGCCGGCCAGCCCAGCCGGGTGCGATTCCTCGACGCCAGAGAAGAGAGGGAGACAAAAAGAGGCAAGGACGAGAGAATTATTCGCAAAAGTACAATTGCGCGAACACAACACGACCAGACAGCAGCCCTCTTTGTCGTGGGCACCTTTGGAGCGAACCGTGGGCCGAGTACTGCATTGCGTTGGCGCGCCAACGCGCGGTGGTGCGCGCTCGCTCGCACCCAGCCGCCGCACCGCGCCTCTCTCTACGGAGACCAACAAGTTTTCCTCCCGCCGTGGCATTCCCCGGTCCCCGAGCCGCGGCCTTATGGGACTGCTGTTTTGCACTTTGTTTGACTTGCCGCGGCGCCGCGGGGCCGGGAGGCGGACGCAAACCGCGAGGGCGAGGAGAGGGCCGGCCGGCGAGCCCGCCGCACGGCGCTGCTAGTTGCAAGTTGTGTGTGTGTGTGTGTGTGTGTGTGTGTGAGAGAGAGAGAGAGAGATGCTCTTGTGTCCTGTTCCTAAAATCATTTAGTCATTGCCAACATTTGATCTACCTGTGATTTGTTCGTGTTTTATAAGTCTGAAAAATAAATACTTTCTTACCTAATAACTGGTTACATTCGCTCCTTGGTCTAATGAACGATGAACTATTAACACTTCTCTGGTAAATCAATACTGCAGTCTATTTCCATGTTGCCGATTTTTAGAAAAGAAAACACAAACATGTAGAAAGTCTTCCTTTACGTGTCACAAAATGTTCTGAAGCAAGGTCTGAAGTATTTTATCTGAATCACTGCGGGTACTGCTGATCGTTCTCGGACGGAGTTGTACGGCCCGGCCTGTTTAGACACTCCTGCCTCGGCTCTAAAAGAAGAAAACGCTAATGATTTAATTACTTCTTCAGTGTTTTTGCTATTTTAGGCACTCTCGGAGTGGAAAGCTTATCTCTCTAATGACGACGATAATTTTCAGAAATCAAGGCACACCATGCACAATAAAGGACTCGCTTTCGCCGCATTCACCGGCGTCTAAAAAAAATGTCCACTCGGGACTAAATTTATGCGGGGATTACGTATAAAGAAAGATGGCCGGCAAAAGTAGAGGAAAGTGCCATGAAGGGGGAAGATGACGAAGACGGGGCGAGGCGGGCCGAAAAAGAATGGACACTTTGCGAGGGAGAAGACGGGGCGGGGAAGTCGTAAAGACCTGATCTGGTGTAATGGCTTGTTTCACGGCTCAAGGATGAATCCGCGTCACGTTGGGGACGGGACCATGGGCGAAGGAAAAAAGGGGGCGGTCTCCTCTCTTGGGGCTGCGCATGACAATGAGCCGCGCACTACTTCGCTCGCCAGTGTGGTGTAAGCAGGCCGGGCAAAAAGGAAAAGTGGACGCGGGACTAGAACCGCGGCCGCGGCGTCGGGAAGGAAGCAGCCTCGGCAAGGACGCGGACTAGAGGGGCAGCTAGGCGGCCGAGTTCTTTGACGGCAGCGCGCACTGGGCTCTCGAGGTGTAGGACTGCAGGCACCGCGAGGCAGAATTTGTCATTGTTCACTCTGGGGCACTCCACCTGGGGCTAACCACCGCCGCGCGAGAACGCCCTGGTGTCGGGCAGGGCAGCACGGACAGGTGCCCTTCGCGCAACACGGGCCAACACGGCCCCCCAAGTGTCCACCAAATTAAATTACTCGCCGGATGGTCGGCAAGTGGAGGGACCACGCCCACCCATCATCGGCCCCATCGGCCCACGAGCCACAGAGTCATCGAGGCGGTTCGAGCGGTGCCTCGGTGGTGGCCAGGCCCTAGGGCCAGCCCACACAACGGCACGGCCTCCGGCGAGGGAGAGAGAAGGAGCTCACGTGGAGCCGGTGAGAACCAAGACCCACCACGACAGTCCTGCTGCTGCATAATAGTACCAGCTAGTAGATAAACTGAAGAACTAGAAGAAATTTTTCAAGATCTAATGAAATTTTAGTTTTATTTCAGCTTAAAATTATATCACATCAATCAATTATCGACTAGAACGCATTAATGATGATGAAGGTGATCAAGTGGCGATGGGAGAATGCAGGTGGTTACCAGCCGCCGGCGCCGTACCCGTAGGCCTGGCCATAGCTGCCGCCGCCCAGGGAGGCCCCGCCGAAGGACGCACCACTGAAGGACGCACCGCTGTAAGGCGCACTGCCGAAGGAACCGGCGCCCAGGCCGCTGTAGCTGGAGGAGCTCACGGAGGGCAGGCTGGAGTAGCTGGAGTAGCTCGGCGCCGAGTAGGAGATGGTGGGGGCGGCGACGGGCACGGGCACGGCCACCTTGTTGACGACGGGCACGGGCACGGGGGTGCGCACGGCCACAGGCACGGGCTCGGGCACGGCCACGGGGTAGGGCTGCGGCACGTGCACGTGGTAGGGGCGGTCGACGGCCACCTGGTAGGGCTTGTCGACGCGCACGGCGTAAGGCTGGGGCACGGCCACGGGGTAGGGCTTGTCCACCTTGTAGGGCACGGCGTAGGGCTGCGGCACGGGGATCTTCCTCTCCACGGTCACGGTGTACGGCTTGGCCACAGGCACGCCGATCTTCCTCACGATCTCGGTGTGGTGGTGCTCGGACACGACGTGGGGGGCGGGCAGAGGCGCGCTGTGGCCGGCGCTGTAGGAGGCCGCGGAGGCTCCGAAGCTGGAGCCAGCGCCGAAGCCGGAACCAGCGCCGTAGCCGTAGCCGCCTCCGTAGCCGCCGCCGCCGTAGGCCTGCGCCTCCCCGAAGATGCCTCTCTTGGCCAGCTTGCGGTCCTCCGCCGCGGCGGCCACCGCCAGCACCAGGACGACGGACAGCACCTGCACGAGCAAAGCCTCGCATCAGCGCTGTGTCTCTCAAAACATACTGTTCACCCTCTAGGTCCAGCACTTACGATGGTCCTCATGTTTCTTGGAGATGCCCCTGCTGACGATGCTGTGACTTGGATCGCTGAGATGCGACTGATGCCTCTGCCACCCCCTGATTCGCTTTTATAGCACCGCCTCTACGAATATAGGGGAAGGTCACTACCAGTCAGCCAGAGCAACTGGGACAGGCGGGATGACTTGGAATCGCGACCGAGTCCTCTGCCCGTGGCGTTGGTTGACACATACCGCCAAAAGGAAGACTTTGGCCGCGACGTTTCGGGCGGTCTTGGTATTGACCTTACCGCTCGAGCTATATAAACTAAATCAGACCACCGACACGGCATCACTCGCTCCCCGGCCGTCTCCATCGTAGCTTCTCGTGGGCATAAACGGAAACCGTCATGAGGTCGATTGTAAGGCTCACGTTCAAATTTGCTAAGATAGTAATATACTAAATTTGTGAGTGTTTTTGTGAAATGAGCGTTGTACTTGGTCTTGATGCAGGTTTTGTCCGTGATACTGGTGCTGGTGGCGTCCGCTGCAGCGAAGGAAAGCAAGCTGACCAAGAGGGGAATCTTCGGAGAGTCTAGCTACAGCTCCCTGGGCCACAGTGGAGGCTACGGGGGTGGCTACGGCGGCAGCTACGGTTACAGCGGTGGCAGCTACAGCGCCGGCTACAGTGCACCTCTGCCCGCCCCCCACGTCGTGTCCGAGCACCACCACACCGAGATCGTAAGGACGATCGGCGTGCCCGTGGCCAAGCCGTACACCGTGACCGTGGAGAGGAAGATCCCCGTGCCGCAGCCCTACGCCGTGCCCTACAAGGTGGACAAGCCCTACCCCGTGGCCGTGCCCCAGCCCTACGCCGTGCGCGTCGACAAGCCCTACCAGGTGGCCGTCGACCGCCCCTACCACGTGCACGTGCCGCAGCCCTACCCCGTGGCCGTGCCCGAGCCCGTGCCTGTGGCCGTGCGCACCCCCGTGCCCGTGCCCGTCGTCAACAAGGTGGCCGTGCCCGTGCCCGTCGCCGCCCCCACCATCTCCTACTCGGCGCCCGCCATCTCCTACTCCGCCCCTGCCGTCTCCTACTCTGCCCCTAGCTACTCCAGCTACTCCAGCCTGCCCGCCCTGAGTACCTCGAGCTACAGTGGCTTCGGCGGCGCGTCTCTGGGCAGCAGCAGCTACGGCTTGGGCAGCTACGGAGGCAGCTACGGCTACGCCGCTGGTGGCTGGTAACCCCGCTCACCCATGCTCAACTATTTATTTGCTTTGTAAGCATGTTCAATACGCACCTGTGACTTTGTACAATTTGATGAATAAATCAATAAAAAACCGACTCAATGGCGGTCTATATCATTAAACCGAACTCAGCCACACAGTAAGCTAACAATGTTTGGGAAGGAGCATGTCTCTGACGTCATTGTTCATTTAGAGACTAGCGTGTTGTCCCTACTTACGAGTCATTTCCGTGCCTGTGTGCGTTTGACAGTGACTGCCATGTCAGGCACAAGACGGCGCGGTCTTGCGGGTTCGCCCGGCTTGCCGGAACATCCGCTTTCCGCGAGGCGCCCAGCCGTGTTCCTTTACGTCGACCAACTTCAAAACTAAACCTCCGTACTCTGGCAACAGGGCTTGCTTTACCGGGACAGGCAAGGCACGCTGCTTAGTGGATGTTACGGAAGCCCGCCGCTGGGCGAACCTGGCAAAAATGTGGCCACCGATAATCCGGAATAGTAGTTAGGGGAGCAGCGGAACAGTTTTGGCGGAGCGACGCGAGGCAGAAAGACGTCGAGCCGGTTTCGCCGAAGCGGAGGCAGAGTCGTGGAGCTTGCCGCGGCTCCCAGTGCCCTTTACGGGACGCACCTCTCCCTGTCTTTTGTGGCCGCCTTGACGGCGCGGTCGTCAGGGGCTATGGGGCTCTATTCTCCGCAGCGAAGGGACCCCGCTCCATTTCAATAAAACACAAAAAGGGTTTAAGGTTCCGTAAAAATTTCTTTTATCAAACAAGCAAACAAGGTACGAAATAATGACAAAGGTGGCGGTGATGATGACTCAGTCTCGGTGGAGGAATGGTGAAGGGTGAGTTTTTCTTGGTGAAGCTGGCGGAGTGTTTCACTGCGCTGAAGACGTGGCGGTGCTAGTGGCGGCCGCTGGGCGGGAGGTACTCGTGGTGCGGCGCGGCGGCGGCGGAGCTGGACAGGGACTGGCCCTGCTCGGCCGGGAGGTACTCATGGCTGGGGGCGCTGAGGGCGGGGCGGGCAGGTGCCTGCGCGCCGGCGGAGAGCGAGTGGTGCTCAGGGAGCGCTGGAGGCGGCGCGGAGTACTGCGGTGGTGGGGCGGAGTACTGTGGTGGTGGGGCGGAGTACTGTGGTGGTGGGGCGGAGTACTGTGGTGGTGGGGCGGAGTACTGTGGTGGTGGGGCAGAGTACTGTGGGGGTGGGGCAGAGTACTGCGGTGGTGGCGCAGGAAAGGATTGGGCAGGCGCTGAGAAGTACTGCTGCGGAGCGGGGGAGTAGCTGACCTGGCGAGCCTCCTCGACGGCGGGAGGGGAGTACTGAGGAGGGGCGGGGGCCGGTTCGTACGAGGGGAGAGGGGCGGGGGCGGGGGCAGGGTAGTACTGCGGGGCCGGCGCGGGAGCGGGATAGTACTGGGGGGCCGGCGCGGCCACGGGGACCGGGACGGGGTAAGGCTGCGGCACCGGGTAGCGGCGGATGACGGGCACGGGCACGGGCTGCCTCACGGGCACGGGGTAGGGCTCGCGCACCGCCACGGGGACGGGGTAGGGCTGGGGCACTGGGACCTTCCTCTCGACGGGGCTGGGGTAAGGCTTGTCCACCTTGTAGGGCACTGGGTAGGGCTTGGCCACGGGGTAGGGCTTGTCCACCTTGTAGGGCACGGGGTAGGGCCTGGCCACGGGGACCTTCCTCTCCACGGTCACCTGGTAGGGCTTGGCGACGGGGTACGCGATCTGCCGGTTGATGGTGGTGTGGTGCTCCTCGCTCAGGACGTGCTGCTGCAGCGCGGCAGGCTGGGGGTAGGAGTAGCCGGCCTCAGACGAGGCGGAGCCAGCCCCCGACGAGTAGCTGGCCCCCGAAGAGTAGCTGGGTGCGGCATAGCTGGCTCCCGACGAGTAGCTTGGTGCAGCAAAGCTGGGCCCTGAAGAGTAGCTTGGTGTAGCGAAGCTGGCTCCTGAAGAGTAGCTGGCTGGGAAAGAGGGGGCTGGACTGGACTGGAGGGGCTGGAATCCTCCAGAGATGACGGGGGGTGCCTGGAAGCCCCCGCTGCTGCCGCTGCTACCGCTGTAGGCCTGCGTCAGGTCCGGGTGGCTGTGCCCCAGGCCGCGCTTGGACTTGGAGATGTGCGAGCCGCCAGGCCCGCCACCCGCCAGCGCCATGGCCAGCGCGGACACCAGCACCACCTGTGGAGCACAGCGGGTTAACTTGCAGCAAATATTGGCAAACCAAATTTTACCAGAAAATTGATGAGGAAAGTTATCTTGCTCGTCAGGAGGAGCCTGATTGGACTTACCAGTGTCTTCATGCTGATGAGGATGGAGATGTGATGAGGATGAAGGTGAGGATGAGACTGATGCCCGCTCCCGGCGTCGTCTGCCTTTTATACTGCGGGGAACCAGTCAGGAAGTGGACCGCAATTCGCGAGGGCTGCTCATCTGCTTTTTTCGGGCCGCCTAGTTGGCGACACCGTGGCGCGCGACAAAGTTGGCACCGCTTCAGTTTCGTAACGAAATCGGCTGGTTTCGGGAAAGAACGGACGAACTGACTTTCTTTCGAGTGCCGTTTAACATTTAATAGAGTAGGCTGGCCGCGAATTCGAATCTCCAAGATCCTCGCTTGTCAATCTCCAATATGCAGGTTTCAGAAAAATAAAAATTAAAGTTCCGGTAAATTAATTTACAGATAAAATGGGCATCATTCTAAACGCAGGGAGCCAATCCGTCTCTCTAGCTCACGCCACTCAGCCCGAAAGATAGGCAACCACCGCGGTGCCTGTTGCTGGACTGGCTCTTCTATTTCCCCCACCACATTCTCTGTGTCTGGTCCAGTGTGCTGTCATTCCCAGGCGCCCCCAGCGCCCGTCGGTCGGAGAGTAGGCAACCCAACGTACTCCCGCAGTCGCAGCACAGGAAGCGGCTCACGGCGGGGGCATCGTGGGCAGGGAGTCCCAAAGCTCGTCGCCTGCGCCAAATAGATGCAGGCAGTGCGTCACAACCCCGTCTGTATTCCTGTGCTGAGCCGGGGCTAGATCACACTTTAAATTGGGAAGCGTGAGTCACTTTTTTACAGAAACAACAAACTGCGTTCGAAAGGTATACGCCCGCAACCCAAGCGCCGAAGTTGAGTTATTGTGTTGTCGCGGGTCGTGAGTGAGTCCACGCTAGCGGCGAAACCAGCAGGGCGGCGGTGCCTTGGACGGTGCTGTGCGGGGTGGGGCGGAACAGCGGTGGCAGGGCGCGGCCGGTGAGTCCTTGAATAACTGGAGCGCACCGATACTCGTCCCCGTTTTCGAAAACAAATTGGCACTGTTCCAAATCCATGCTTGTTAAACTTTCAGCTGCAGTCTTTGTTAAACATTATTCATTGCCAATATAATAAATATTTTTAAAGCTTTTTTTTTGCAAAACAAATGGAAGTGACTAGACTATTGCTCTGGGTGGCGTGACTCAGCCGTGAAGTCCTGGTACAACGACAGCCAAATGTTCCTTTGTGGTTGATTTCAAAGTGATATGGGGTGTGTCGTAATAAAATAATCAGTCGGAGGTACGGTGAAGATGATTGTATATTTACAACATGTAAAGAGTGGTAACAGAAATTATGATAGACTAGGACTCCCTGCAAACAATAACATTTGCTAAAAATTATAATCACAATCAGTCTTAAGGGTGGTCTACCAGGCGTTGTAGCCCAGGGAGGATCCGTAGGAACCGGAGTAGCCCAGGGAGCCGGCGTAGCCCAGGGAGTCGTAGGAGTGGCTCTTGATGACGGGCACCGCGTGGGGCACGGGCACGGGCACGGCCACCTTGTTGATGACGGGGTACGGCACGGGCTCGTGCACGGGGTAGGGCACGGGCTCGTGGACGGGCACGGGCACGGCCTGGGGCACGGGCACCGGCACGGCCCTCTCCACGGGCACGGCGTAGGGCTTGTCCACGGGCACGGCGTAGGGGGCGGGCACGGGCACGGCGTAGGGCCGGTCCACGGGCACGGGCACGGCCTGGGGCACGGGCACGGCGATGTTCCTGGTGACGGGCACGGCGTACGGCGCGGCCACGGGCACGCCGATCTTCCTGGCGATGGTGGTGTGGGTGCTCTCGGCGATCACCTTGCTGTGGCCGAGGCCGGAGTAGCCCAGGCCGGAGTAGCCGAGGCCGGAGTAGCCCAAGCTGGAGTAGCCCAGGCCGGAGCCGAGGCCAGAGTAGCCCAGGCTAGAGTAGCCGAGGCCGGAGCCGAGGCCGGAGTAGCCGTACGAGGAGCCGTAGCCCAGGCTGGACACCAAGCCGCGCTTGGTCACCGTCTTGTCGCCAGCGGCGACCACGGCCAGCACGGCGGCGAGGACGACCTGCGGCACCAACGGGGCGTGAGCACACTGTGAGGACCCCGCGGTGGGGAGAGCATCAATTATTTCCAGTGAACTTACCAGCTTGTTCATGGCTTGGCTGTGGGGCTGAGAACCGATGGGTGAATGATGCACTCCCCGGCCACCCGCTGCTTATATATGAGCCGCACCAACCCTCTGTGCTCGCCGCGGTCGGAGGGGGGCGCGCCCCGCGTGCTGGAAGGGAGGGGTGGGGGCACACCAGGGCACACCGGGGCACACGTGGGACCCGAGTATCGCCTCGCCGCTCCGCATTCAAGGACTCATACCGGCTACGCCCCGCCTTGGCCACGCCGCCTGCTCCAGTGTGCAGGTTTTGCAACCAGAACTCCACCCGCAGACTGATTCCCTGAGCCGTTTTCGCCGCTCTGTTCCTCTCGCACCATGGGGTGCCCCGTGTTGGTGCGAGAAAGACAGAGCGACGCGAAAAGACCCTCGGAACCAGTGTGCCGGCCGGCTTTTGGGCGTCCACCGCGGGGACAGGGGCGTTGTCCTGCTGCGGAGCGCGTCACCAAAATTCGCCATCGCCACTGTACGACGCCGAGCTTCGTACGTCCGATTCTTTTTCGGTCGGCAAACTTATCGGCGGGGCGTCGTCCTGAAGGGGGCGGTGTGGCTGTGGGGAAGGGACGGCCACTGCGCTGCCACTGGAAAGGGGGGGGGGGGGGTCAGGTTGGCCGAGTGCGGTGCAGTGCTTCTGCAGGGGGCGGCCGCGCCGTGCACACCGCCCCGCCCCCCGACCAGGATAGACCCTGCTCATCGCCTAGTACAAGTGCTCCATCACTCATGACGCGTCGGGCTGTCAACCGCACGATGGGGATGCTGTCCGGGTGAACCGGCCCCCTCCCCCACACCACAAGGACGCTGCGAATCACGAAGCCGAGCGCCTGCGACGTAGGCCGCACGCACGCAGGCGTGTCTAGGACAGGCCTACCCTGCAGGCGCGCTGCACCGTCTCCGCCTATCCCTGTCCCTCTCACTCTCCTTCTTCTGCCGCCGCCGTGGCCGCGTTCGTGGAGGAAAGGCGTCCACGCCGCGGCAGAAGGCAGGAGGGCCGTGCCGGCAATGAAATTGATTTAGGCCCGGCCAGGCGACCCGCGGCGATAGACCGGCGCGGCGACCGGTTGGCGGGCGGCATGTTCCGACAGTTCTAGCACCGCGCCGGAGGGTCCACTCGGCCCCAGGGCCCTCTTGCGCCTTCCAGACGCACTATTCGCACGGGAGGGGCGCGCTGCACGGAGGGCCGGGATGAGATACAGTAAGAAACGGCTCGATGACTCGACGGCAAAGACGAGTCGCCGGGCGGCCGTCGCCAGAGGGCACGAGCGTGACCTTGACGGCAAAGGGCCGGCCGGAGAAAAGGGCTCGTTACGGGGGCGGGCAGGGCGGGCAGGGCGTGCAGGGATGGCCAAGTGAGCCGGGATAAAGCTGTGCAGGGCCGCCGGGGAGCCGTGTGTGTCATCATGTCGGGCTGCTCACGCGGTACCACGCGCCCACACTGTAAGGGGCGCACCGACAAGACCACGGGGACCACACTGCGAAATGCGCAAATAATGAGCTGCGTCGCTCCTCCCCGCGCCAGAGACTCGCAATGCTAATCTTTCAGCCTGCCTCGTGGATCTGTTGTGACCGTCCGAGACCGCTCCGTCTGTCCATGTCTATCAGTTGACCCACCTTAGACCTCCACAAGAAGTGATGAATGTACATTGGCTAGAAACCACATTGAAAATAAATATTGAAAAAAATTAGAGTAAAAGAAACAAAGAATTTTGTGGACACGACTTAAACTGTCGTGTAAGCTGGATGAAAGGATTTCGGGCCAGTAGTTGGCTTCGCTCATCCGAGTGAAGCTGTTTTTCCGGTCGCGTGCCGGACTTTAGGCTTTCACAGTGCGGTCACGGGGCGCGGCGGGGCGCGTGCCGGCAGACAGGCAGCTCTAAAACCGGCAGATAGCGCGCCCAGGCCGCCCGGGCGACAGCACTGAGTTATTCCTGCGGGGCACTATGGTGCTTCCCGTGTCGGCGGTGAGTTAGGCAGTGCAGTTAGCAAGGGGAGCCTGCGCACGCGCTGGGCCTGGCGATGGCCTGGTTCTGCCCTGGACCGTTGGCAGTGCGGCAGCGCCCTCTGTCGCTGATGCACTGCGAAGAACGGCAGCCCGGCGAACGACGAACTTTTCGGCAGGAACAGCAGGTGAAAGAATGGCACGCAATTTAGAGCGGTGTTGCGCCGCTGGCCGGCGGATTCTTTGCAGCGGAGATTCGACGACGAGGGGAAAGGGGGGCCGGGAATGCGGTACGCTGCCGCGCTGCCTCGCTGCCGCGCTGCCCGGTGCCGACGGGACCTCGAGGACGCGACGCCAAGTTCATCGCGCAGGAGCCGGCGCCCGGGAGCTGCCGGTTTGAAATAACAGAGAATGAGATGGCAGGTGCGTGAGAGGTAGAGATGAGGCAAAAGCTGGACGGGCGTTACTTCTCATACCGACAGCCACCAGCGCGTAGTCGCGTTTCGCATTTGGCTCGAGCTACGTCTACGACGCGGTGCCTCGGACACCACCACGGCAGGGCGGGGTGCGGCTGCCGCGGCGTGCGGCGCGCAGTTTTCGGCGCGGGTCGGCGGCGTGGTGCGGCACGGCGCGCTGAGTTGTGGCCATCCACGCTGGAGGCGGTTGAGGGTTGGGGCCGCGGTTGAGGTTGGTAGGGACCGGTCACGAAGGGGGCTATCTCTGAATCAATTACGCCAGTGTGGGCGCCGCGCGCGCCGCGGCTCAGACGATGCATCTGCGTCAGCGGGCTGCCTACCCCGGCCCGCCTCCAGGCCCGGGCAGGCCGGAAGGGGGAAATAATTACCGGACTCTCTGCGCCAAGACAGGCCAGAGGATGGACATGGGAGTTGACTGAACTTCCATTCGTTACACTACAGTGATGATCCCGCCATTTTGATTGGACTCCATTTTTCACCATGTGTGGTACAGCTGGTGTGTAAAACGAGGGAATCTGGCGAATCCTTCATGTGCGAGAGAGACAGAGCGACGAGTGTTCGGATTAATCAGTCTGCTGTCCGAATGGAGGACGTGCCGACCCAAAACGGGGCCCTTTTTATGGGTCCCAATTTTGGCGCGCCTCGGCGAAGGCGACGGTCAAATGCCGCGCGACCGCTTGGCTGTCTAGCCGGGGCGATTCGGGGCGGCGGGCCGCGCGGCGCACAGCCACGGCACTGCCTGGCCCTGCCGCGCAAGTGGGTCAATGTCGGCGACATCCCCCGCCCGGCGCCCTGCGGCGAGGGGTAGCGACGCTACCCCGGCGTCGGCGCGCCCCTCCTCGATAGAGTCCCTGCGTCGGGGAGTAGCTCCAAGCGGAGCGCTAGCGCACCACGCTACGCTACTCCGGGCGCTCAGAGACTCTGGCGCCAGGGGTATGTTTTGTCAACACGCGTAAAATGCGCGCGTTGGGCATGACTAGCGCGTCCCATCAGAGATATCGCACGTAGTATTGAAAACGTTCGGCAAGTGTGGGAGTCGGAGCGCACCTCGGCGAGGCAGGTTCCGAAAAGGCGGACAAAAGGCTGGAGGCTGGTCTCCAAGATCAAGAGCGATTACCCGGCCGGCCGGCCGGCCACAGGGGCCAGGGGGGCCGTTGCAACACTGTCTGGAGTGACCGGGTCCTCGCTACGCGGGCCGTGCAGGCCGTGCAGTCGCTCCGTCTCTCTCGCACTCATGGGCGCTGCGGCCGTTCGGTGAGACGAGTTCGGGGCGTGCTCGTTTGGCCGCGCAGTGCGGCACAGTGTCACGTCCCGCCCAATTCTCTCGCGTGTGGCCGAAGGGACGCGATGGTCAACAAGATAATAACCATGTTTACTTAATAAACCTAATCAGCAGCTTGGCGATGGTGTCCACTGCCTGCCAGAAGGTGGACAACAGTTTTATTTTCAAATTTATTTTTTGGTTTAAGGACCGTAGCGGACTGCCAACCACCGACACCGAGGGAGCAACTCGATGGGCTCTCGATTCGAGAGTCTCGAAAGAGGAGTCGACGCAAGACCCCGCCGAAGTCTAGTCATTCCGAACAATACTTTGTCGCGCTGTCCTTCTCGCGCCCCCCACGGGATGCCCCACGAGTGCGAGAGAGAGGGCGTCCTTTGCTATGCCGCCCAATAATAAGGCCGGGCGAAAATGCTCCACTAATTGCCAGCTCGTCTGCAGCGCGGCCGTGGACAGAGACTGTGGACCAAGCCTGGACCAAGGGCGAGGAGTAAGTGTTTTCTTCTTCTTGGAACACGCCACGCATGGCTCGGGGCCCTGCCCGGCTCTGCCAGTCAGCCCGCCACACCCAAACGTCTGATGGAGACAGTCACTGCGGGTCTCGAGAAATAAAAGCGAAATGAAGGCATCGGCATGAATGTCCACAGGGCCGCGCTGACCCCAAAATAGCCCTCGCAATAAAAGGAACATAAGTAAGTGGACAGTGCGGACACGCTATACCACACAATGGCGCGTTGCGAAGTCATGAAGATCGAGTTCCCAGAAGCCGGGAGCTGCCAGGAGCAAGAAGCCAGGCTGCAGTGTCGGACGGCGGCATTACCGCCACCTGATCCTGCAGCAGCCCCTCTGTGACGGCGCCTTCTCCGCTTTGTCTTCCCGGAGTGCGTCAACCTGCCGCACAGTGGGCCAGAAGACCGGCGCCGGCGGCCAAAACTCTAGACGCGTTTTGATCTCCAGAGTAGCAAACAGGACTGGAACCGAACGTGTGACCCCATCAATGGATTCCTCGCTCGGAGAGCAATCCAATGGTGGGGTCACACGTTCATTTCGAGCCACTTTAAGCGACTGTGGAGCTCAAAACGCGTCTGGGATTTTGGCCGCCGGCGCCGGTCTTCTGGCCCACTGTGTGCCCCCTGCCCCCTCCCCCTGGCCGGCTCCTCCTCGGCTCGCACCGCGCGGATCCGGTCCCAGATTCCGGCAGTGTCGTAATCCGGCGCCGCGGCCAAACACGTACGTCCGGTCCGGGGCGTTGGGCCTCCAGCCTTGCGAGGGTCAAGTTCAACGTCCACGTGCGTTGCCGGCCACGCCGTCTAGCCAGCGCGGCGTCGCAGCGCGCCCTGGCGGCAGGCAACCCAACCAGCAGGACTGCCGCGCGCTAGCCGCTAGGCGCTAGCAGGCGCAGGAGGGATGGCTGAACACCGGCAAATTTTCAACCTGACAAGTTCGGAATCCAGCTAACTGTCATTCGCAGCCATCGCCTCCACAAAAGAGACGCGGTGCCCCAACAGCCGAGTCCTTGACTCTCGTGATTAGGTTGTTGTTGCTGTCAATGCCGAACCATGCCGAACCGAGACGGCTGTGTTGTTGTTATGACGAGCCAGGTCATTAAACGAAATCGGCAATCGGCGTCCACAGGTGTCTCTGTGCGACGAGCCACCGGGCCGCGCCGGCCGGCCGGGCTGCAGGCCGGGCTCCACATGAAGCAGGTTCCCGTCAAGGCCGAAAAGCGCAGGCGAAGCAGGCGAAGGCACAGCCCAGTTCGCACGGGGTGGGAGGGCCGGCCGGCCGCAAGGTGCAGGGCCCCGCCGGGGCGAGGCATGGCGAGGCGAGTGCGGATTCGAAGGGGGACGTTTTGGCCCGGAGTATATAAGCCAAAGACTGCCCACCGGTCAGCATTCGAACCCCAGTGTTCGACGCAGAAACATCATGAAGTGCTTTGTAAGTATTGGGTCGGTTGGGTAGACGTGGAATGGTTTATTGGGCTTGGAGTGCTCACGCCCCGTTGGTGCCGCAGGTCGTCCTCGCCGCCGTGCTGGCCGTGGTCGCCGCTGGCGACAAGACGGTGACCAAGCGCGGCCTGGTGTCCAGCCTGGGCTACGGCTCCTCGTACGGCTACTCCGGCCTCGGCTCCGGCCTCGGCTACTCTAGCCTGGGCTACTCTGGCCTCGGCTCCGGCCTGGGCTACTCCAGCTTGGGCTACTCCGGCCTGGGCTACTCCGGCCTGGGCTACTCCGGCCTCGGCCACAGCAAGGTGATCGCCGAGAGCACCCACACCACCATCGCCAGGAAGATCGGCGTGCCCGTGGCCGCGCCGTACGCCGTGCCCGTCACCAGGAACATCGCCGTGCCCGTGCCCCAGGCCGTGCCCGTGCCCGTGGACCGGCCCTACGCCGTGCCCGTGCCCGCCCCCTACGCCGTGCCCGTGGACAAGCCCTACGCCGTGCCCGTGGAGAGGGCCGTTCCCGTGCCCGTGCCCCAGGCCGTGCCCGTGCCCGTCCACGAGCCCGTGCCCTACCCCGTGCACGAGCCCGTGCCGTACCCCGTCATCAACAAGGTGGCCGTGCCCGTGCCCGTGCCCCACGCGGTGCCCGTCATCAAGAGCCACTCCTACGACTCCCTGGGCTACGCCGGCTCCCTGGGCTACTCCGGTTCCTACGGATCCTCCCTGGGCTACAACGCCTGGTAATTTCAAAGACTTTGTGTGGATGTGAACGTGTGTTTTTCTGAGTGCCTGTGCGTGTGTAGTGGTACGTGAGTTCATTGTAATCATACAAGTGTGTCAGAGATCGCCACTAGAGGCGAAGACAATGTCTAGTCTAGCATCTTCATCCTCATTTAAGCGTGTGAAATTACGAGTGCAACGTGTGCGTGTGCTAGTGTGTTCGTATAAAATAGTGTCTGTTAAGTTTTGCATTTGATAAATGCCTTCAAATAAAAACAATACTTAAAATCAAATTCTGTTTGCCATCTCTGCCCCCCTACCAACTTCCCAAATTTTGTCTCTTATTATGAATACGTCACCAGCAGGATTCAATTCAGCTCATTAAGCGCTGAGTTCACTACTTGGTTTTGCAGGAATTTCCAAAAATTACTAACTGTAATGCCAACATTGACACTTCACGTGTTTTTGTTACTGTGTGAGCCAAAGTGAAACTGCAGGAATACGTCATCGATTCGGATTCTCCATTTTCCGACGACGCAGACGACGCGTTTAATTAATGTCCGAATAAAACGCGGTGGTCAGGCCGGGCACGACGATGGAGCCGCGGTGGAACCGGGCCAGCATTATTTGGTAACGACGCGCCTGTCTTGTCTCGCCCAAAACTGTAACACGCCGGCAGGGCAGCCGGGCGGGCAGGCCGGCCCAAGGTCACCCCGTTGCAGCGTCAACTGACCCGGCCACGCCGGCCAGCGTGTGCTGGGCGTGCTGGTGCTGGGCGTGTCCGCCGTGTCCCGGCAGTGTCCCAGCAGTGCAAGGCGTGCGGCACGCTATGCGTCCCGTCTCGCTCCCACTCCCACGACGGTGGGGACTGGGGTGGTCAGTGCCGTGGTCCAGATCGGCACGGTGTGGCGCGAAGGCGTGGGGCGGCCGGACACACCTAGCCCCGACTTTTAGAGCTGTATATAAGGACCGCCAAGGCCCCTCAGGAACCATTCCACTCACACTCCCCGTCCTGAGAACAACCACCTCAGCACCGCCAGCACCATGAAGGCCTGCGTAAGTACATCCTGGCCTCCTAGAAGGACGCCGACGTCGAGGCCGCGGCCCTGGTCGGACACTAGGGTGCTCGAAGGTGACTGAGGGAGACCGTTCTTTGCTTGCAGATGATCCTCCTTGCCGTCTTGGCCCTGTCGGCTGCCGACAAGACTGCCGACAAGACAGCCGAGAAGACGGTCAACAAGAGAGGACTAGCGCATGGAGGCTACGCCGCGCCTCTTGGAGGCTACGCCGGCAACCTCGGCTACGGACACGGCCTTGGCTACGGAGGCAATCTTGGCTACGGGCTCGGCCTTGGCTACGCCGGTGGCTACGGCTACGGCCAGGGCCTCGGCCTCGGCTACACCGGTCTGGCCCACTCCAAGGGCGTGGTGCTCTCCGAGTCCCACCACACCTTGGTCAACAGGAAGATCGGCGTGCCCGTGCCCCAGCTCTACGGCGTGCCCGTCGTCAGGAACATCGGCGTGCCCGTCAAGGTGGCCGTCCCCGTGGCCGTCGACCGCCCCTTCCCCGTCGGCGTGCCCGTCAAGGTGCCCGTGGCCGTGGACCACCCCGTCCCCGTGCCCGTTGAGCGCGCCGTGCCTGTGCCCCACCCCGTGCCCGTGCCTGTGGCTCACCACGTCGGCGTGCCCGTCGCCGTACCTCACCCCGTGCCCGTCCCCGTGATCAACAAGGTGGCAGTGCCCGTGCCCGTGCCCCACGCTGTGCCCGTGCTCAAGACCCAGTCCTTCCAGGCCGCCCCCCTGCACGTCGCCAACCACCTGGACCTCGGCCACCACGCTCACTTGGACCTCGCCCACCACGCCGCCCCGGTCGCTGTCGCCCAGCACGTCGAGACCACCGTGGAGCAGCACCACGTCGCCCCTGCCGTGGAGGTGGCTCACCACGTTGAGGCTCACCACGCCCCTGCCGTCGCTGTCGCTCACGCCGCCCCTGCTGTGGCCGTGGCTCACCACGCCGCCCCCGTTGCCGTTGCTCACCACGCCGCCCCGGTGGCCGTCGCTCAGTACGCCCACGCTGCGCCTCAGTACGCGCAGTACGCGCAGTACGCCGCCGCCCCCGTGGCCGTCGCTCACCACGCCGCCCCCGTTGCCCAGTACGCCGCCCCTGTGGCCGTCGCTCACCACGCCGCCCCCGTTGCGTACTCTCAACACCCCGCCCCCCTGGGACAGTACGCCCAGTACGCCGCCCCCGTGGCGGTTGCTCACCACGCCGCTCCCGTGGCCGTTGCTCACCACGCGGCTCCCGTGGCCGTCGCTCACCACGCGGCCCCCGTGGCATACTCCCAGCACCCCGCCCCCGTGGCCGTCGCCCAGCCAGCCTCCAGCTGGTGATCTAGTCCCAACCTAAGGAATCATCTAGTCGTGTCATCGCCATCGTCACCACGTCGTCATCGTCATAACAGCTGAACCGTTGTATCACCTCACCCAAGACTGTGTTCAACCTGAATGTTATGTTTTAAGTACTTTTGTTATGTGGCATTTGACTCATGTCCATTTATTATTATCGTCTCTCCTGGCGAGAGGTCATTAAACGTTTTTTCTTTAATTTGACTCATGCACTCCTGAATGCAAGCGCCCCTCCAACGCAAGACAGACCGCGTGGCGTGGCAGGGCGTGGCGGCAGGAAACCGCTCATTGAAGATGATCGAGTTTTGGAGCAACTGAACCGGTTTCGAGTCTGTCCTAACGCCGACCGCCGCGACCGCCGCACCGGCGGCGTGGCAGTGTGGCACCACGCTCTTGACCAAGACTAGATCGATTAACATTGCGCATGCAGAACTGGAGCAGGAACTAGTGGGAGTGGCCGCCATCGTCGGCCATCGGCCGCCACGCAACGCCGAGCCGAGACGCCGTGACAATACCCCTTATTTGTTTATTTGTTGCGAACGATCAGCGACAAAAACGAGTCCAGGACGGTATTGAAATCAAAGCAGATGATACGACTGCGCAAATAAGGAGCGATGGACAACGGCAAGGTTCGGTTAGGTTACAACACAATAGGTTTTAATGACTGCAGTTCTCTATATAATTTCATTCTGCATTGCTGTGACAGTGACAGTGACATGTATCTGGTAATGAACCAACTGGAGTAGTCACCCGTTGGACAAAAGCAAAAATCAGAACATGCCGCGGGAATTTCTGCGCGGCCTCCCCTTGGCCGTGGTGGCCGGAGGCACGAGGCCGGCGGACCGCAGCGCCGCAGCGCCCCGCCCGGCCGGTATGCAGCCCAAACGACGCCGGTGTGTGCCGCAGGGCCGCGGCTGCCCGAGGCGGAGGCGGAGGGACAGCAGTGTGGCGGGCGGCGGCCATGCGCTGGCGGCGAGAAGGGGGAAGGGCGGGGCAGGGGGCGTTGTTGTACTCCGTGCCGGTGGGCCGCAGTCTTTGGTTAGGCCCTCCAAATGGAGGAGACGTTGTCAGACATCAGAAGGCTGCTACACGACCCAGAGTGCCACCGCGTCGCCTACGCCTAGGTACACACACTCCGGTGGTCACTCGTGGAACCCACGCCGTGGCCACGCCGTCCAGACCCGGGCTAGCCTCCTTGGCAACCCTTTGCGCGGCCACCGCGGCCTCGGAGAAGGGTCTCGTTGAGGGCAGACGCATTACCGTCTTACCGCGCCCACACAGAGAAACCACGCGCACCTTCCTGCGGGGGCTTACTCTGTTTACAGGGGCTCCACTCTAAGGTTAAGGCCTCTGGGTCCGCGTTTGATTTGATTTCCTCGCGCTGCCGGACGGGACGGGACGCCTTGCGGTGCGGGGCGGAGGGGGGGGGGGGAGGGTGGCGGCGAGGACGGGGGGAGGGGTGGCGGCGCGGACGGAGTTCCAGGACTCGCCGAGAGAGCGCGCCACCGGTGTCGGTTTCACCAGCGCGGACGGCGTAGAGCTGGAGCCGTTTCGTTTCGTCACGTTTACGGGACGGTTGGTTGTCCAGCAGTCCTTGTTTGGAGTGGCGCTCGGCCTGGAACGCCTGGAACGCCTGAACCGTGTGTGGCAGGACTGCAGCAGTGCAGTGCACCGCGGCGCCGAAACTGGCGTCCATTCCAGGGAATTCAAACGGACTCCCTGCAGGGAGGGTGACGCGGTGCTCCGACCGAGGCACAAAGACCCTTAAGGTCACCACCATCTTGAGGTTCGCTGGCGGATTCCTGGTGGTCAGTTTTTGGCATCTCAGCTAATTTGACACGGATCGCTGTTGTTTGTCAAGTTGTGGGCGGATTTTGGCCGGGGGGTTGTCTGGGCGGCCGGTTACAGTGTGTGGGCCAGTGTGGGCCCACCGACCGTCCGGCGTCCTCGGCCAACAGAATGTGTTTGCTTGGGCGGAGCAGCGGAGCGGCGGAGCGTTGCGGCCGCGCGAGCCGGGCCTCCCTTGGGACGACGCGGCCGAGGGTTCGCCGCAGCCTCACTGATTCCTAGGGTCATTTTCATCGCTCTGTCTCTGTCTCACCTGCGGCACGCCCTATGAGCGCCAGAGAGACAGAGCGACGAAACCGACTCTGAGCATCAGTCTGCTGCAGCGCTGGCCACAATGCAGACAGGCCAACCAACACCGGATCAAAAATAACATCGTTGATAGAAAATAATATTGAGCCCCGCTTGGGTGTTTTGGCCAGTGGGCTGGAAGCCAATGACGCGTCGCCTCGCCCCAGGCTGTGTTGGCTGGGCTGGCTGTGCTTTGTTTGCGAGCCACACACACTCACTCGGCCAGGGCAGTGGAACAGTGAAACGCCGAGATGTTTCGCCGGGCGGCGCGTGTTTGTGTATGTTAGTGTGTGTTTGCGCGGAAACTAATACAAACTAATATCCGCGCTCCTCATTCGCACCTCAAACGACGGCCGCGTTGGCAAGGCAACGCCAGGCAACGCCAGGCAACGCCAGGCAACGCCAGGCAACGCCAGGCAGCATGACGCTGGCACAGTCTCATTCCGAACTAACAGTGCTCTAGTCGCTGTCTCCCTCGCGCCCCGCGGGACGCCCCAAGAGTGCGGGAGAGACGGAGCGACGCGAAGCACTGCCCGGAATCAGCCTGCAGATACAGAATGTGGGTCGTCGCCTTGGGCGCACGACGGGCAGCACACTCAGAGCTGTTTTCGTCGCTCTGTCTCTCTCGCGCCAACACGGGACGCCCCACGAGTGCGAGAGAGATAGAATGAGTCAGCAGTGGGCGCTGGGCGGGCCGGGCCCCAAGCCCGGCAGACGCTGACCTGGCCAGACACATTGGGGGCGGCTCTGGCAGCACAAGGGAATGATTACAAGCGAGGGGACCCCGGGAAATTGGAATTAATTTTATCCGTCAGTGACACTGCTAGCGCCAGCCGCCTCACCCACTGCTTGCCACCCTCCAACAATCCTCAGCCCGCCCCCTCCGCCTACGCATGTCAGTCTAGCCTAGCGAGGTGGCCGTCGTGGTGGTGGCCGTCGTGGTGGTGGCCGTCGTGGTGGTGGCCGTCGTGGTGGTGGCCGTCGTGGTGGTCATCCTGGTGACGTTGATCATTGTAATGATGGCTATGATGGCTGTGATGACGATGATGTTACCTTTGCCGCGTGCGTGGGGACATTGGCACCACTGTGCAGCATGCACTGCATGCACTGCATGCACTGCACTCGCACGGAAACTGGGTCAAAACCGCGGCTAAACTGGTAGCCAGCACAGACTTTTGCACCTATCGGCCTTCGGATTGACGTGGAATAACGAGAGACGGAGACGCAGAAGAAAAAAACAAGGAGTCGTTTGAAAAGGAGCTCCGCGTTTTGTGTTGCCGTGCTGCTGCAGTTGCCTCTAGCACAAGAAGAAAGCCGCCGCTGAGGAGGGCCCTCGGAGTGGCCAGCCCGCCGCCATAGCCTCCAAAGTGTGGCGAGATAAACTGCCTCGTTGCGGCCGCGAGGTGGCTGCCGTGGCTGCCGTGCTGCAGGCTCATTCCAAACATCACGCCCCATCCACCCGTCCGTCTCGCTCGCACTCACACGGCACGCCGCACGAGAGCGAGCGAGAGAGACCTCCCGCGCGGAATCGGCGCGGCGGGTGATGTGTAGCACGTCCTGGGCGAAGGACAGGCCGCTGGATGCCCTGGCCGCCGCATGCCGCGCTCCGCGATTAAACCAGTGTGGTGGTTGTGAAAAGGCAAAGGCTGTGCCTCCGTGCTCACGGGTATTCGGTGGTTCCTGCTGCCCGCCGTCGGCCTGCCGTGCTTACACTGCTTGATGCCGCTCCAGAAACTGCAGCGGCAGCGAGCAGCGAGGGCAAAGAGGAGATTCGCGCGCCAGTCTGCGTTGGTGCTGCATTTCGTTCATTTTATCCCATGACTTCTCGCGAACAGGGCAGGCAAAGCCCGCGACATTGATGTACATTTTAGTGCAGCAGGAGTCTATATCATTTCTCCTACCTAAATGTTCGCCTACCTGTCTATTTCGCCTACCTATATTTCGCCTACCTAATAAAAATATTGAATAAAAATATTCAATAAAATATTGCCATTTTTCGCCTACCTATAGTTCGCCTACCTAATAAAAAAAATTAAAGAAAAATGTTCAACAAAAAAACGAAAAAATCGGCGGCAAAAAGTGGCAATACGAAAGTCTCAAGGAGACCCGCCGATCAGCTTCGGTGTTCTTATGGGAACCGGGCCTTCATCCGACGCTCCCTGCCGCGCAATTCGACAGATTGGTGGGTTCGTATTAGGCTGGCCCACCCGAAGTGCGCGCGGTTTCTGTGGTACAGTGAGAGTCCAGATTCAGAGGCCTTACCTCAGAGGGGTCACATTGGGTATTTGAACCCGCGACCCCGAGTGCCGAGTCTAGTCAACTCCTCTACCCTGACCGCTCAGCCACCGAACCAGCTTGTCGGCGGCGATGTCGCAACTCCTCTTGAGCTGCCGTTCGAGAAATCTGGTCCCGCAAAAAGGGTACCTGGAGCGGTCTCGAACCCGGGACCTGCCGCTTCCCACATCATGCTCTTAACCACTGAGCCACCGGGACGCCATGGCACCCGCCCTGCCTGCGCAGGTACCCAATCTTCTGTGGATATACCTCCCCAAGCAATTGGTCGCCGAAAAAATTGTGTATCTAACCGGTCCCGAACCCGGGACCTCCCGCTTCCCGCGACATGCTCTTAACCATTGAGCCACCGGGACGCCATGGCACCCGCCCTGCCTGCGCAGGTACCCAATCTTCTCTGGATATACCCGCCAAGCAATTGGTCGCCGAAAAAATTGTGTATACTACCGGTCCCGAACCCGGGACCTGCCGCTTCCCACATCATGCCCTTTACCACTGAGCTACCGGAGGACCATGGTGCTCAGTTTGCCAGCGCTGGTACTGAATCCTCTCCGGATAGACCTCCTCAAGAAGTTTGTTGCCGTTGCCGAAAAATTTGCTCATGGCACTAGTCTCGAACCCGAGATCTGCCAGTCAGGAACGGAGCACTCTAACCACTGCGCCATCAGATTGCTATACACGCCACCCACCTAGCACCAAACTTGAATAGCCACCCATCTTGCTTGATGCGGGACAAATTATAAGTTCGGCGCTAGGAGAGCGGCGCTCATAGCAAACTGGTGGCGCAGTGGTTAGAACGCTGCGTTCCAGACTGGCAGGTCTCGGGTTCGAGACTAGTGCCATGAGCAAATTTTTCGGCAACGGCAACAAACTTCTTGAGGAGGTCTATCCGGAGAGGATTCAGTACCAGCGCTGGCAAACTGAGCACCATGGTCCTCCGGTAGCTCAGTGGTAAAGGGCATGATGTGGGAAGCGGCAGGTCCCGGGTTCGGGACCGGTAGTATACACAATTTTTTCGGCGACCAATTGCTTTGGGGGGTATATCCAGAGAAGATTGGGTACCTGCGCAGGCAGGGCGGGTGCCATGGCGTCCCGGTGGCTCAGTGGTTAAGAGCATGTCGCGGGAAGCGGGAGGTCCCGGGTTCGGCACCGGTAGGATACATAATTTTTTCGGCGACCAATTGCTTGGGAGGTATATCCACAGAAGATTGGGTACCTGCGCAGGCAGGGCGGGTGCCATGGCGTCCCGGTGGCTCAGTGGTTAAGAGCATGATGTGGGAAGCGGCAGGTCCCGGGTTCGAGACCGCTCCAGGTACCCTTTTTTCGGGACCAGATTTCTCGAACGGCAGCTCAAGAGGAGTTGCGACATCGCCGCCGACAAGCTGGTTCGGTGGCTGAGCGGTCAGGGTAGAGGAGTTGACTAGACTCGGCACTCGGGGTCGCGGGTTCAAATACCCAATGTGACCCCTCTGAGGTAAGGCCTCTGAATCTGGACTCTCACTGTACCACAGAAACCGCGCGCACTTCGGGTGGGCCAGCCTAATACGAACCCACTAATCTGTCGAATTGCGCGGCAGGGAGCGTCGGATGAAGGCCCGGTTCCCATAAGAACACCGAAGCTGATCGGCGGGTCTCCTTGAGACTTTCGTATTGCCACTTTTTGCCGCCGATTTTTTCGTTTTTTTGTTGAACATTTTTCTTTAATTTTTTTTATTAGGTAGGCGAACTATAGGTAGGCGAAAAATGGCAATATTTTATTGAATATTTTTATTCAATATTTTTATTAGGTAGGCGAAATATAGGTAGGCGAAATAGACAGGTAGGCGAACATTTAGGTAGGAGAAATGAACAACTCCCTGCAGCAGTTGCCCTTCCCTCGTCGGACGATCCAGAACACAAATTGCACCTTGCGAGGCATGCAGCGCTGCCCGTGGTGCCCCGCGTTGGCGACACGAGCGATCAGTGCAGGCGACACCCATGACGTGTGCCCATCCCAACCCTGTGCGGCGCTGTGCGGTGCCCGGGCTCGGCTCGGCACCATCGCCGTCCTCTCCCGGCTGCGTCGGCTGGCCTGGCGGCGCTCGGCTCGGCTCGCCGACCGCCGAGCAGTGCAGAGGTCGTGTGTGCGGTCAGGTGCAAGGCGGCGCGGCGGCGAGGCGCCATCGACGGCGCCGTGTCAGCGCCACTAGAAGGCCCTATCTGCCCTCGGCGCCACTGGAAGGACCCCGCAACTCTCGTCCGCGTCGTCGGCACTCGCGTGGTTTCGCGGCGGACGCCGGTTCGCCGCCGGAGCGGTCAGCCCCGGACCAACACCAACACCCAGTCGAGTCAGGGGCTGGGGCGGAGGCGCGCGTGGGGGGGGGGGGGGGGGGGGGGGGGGGGCAGCCAGGGGCACGTGCAGCCGAGCGCTGCCACGCTGCCGCACATCGCCGGCGAAGGAATGGCAAAGGGGCAACTACTGTTTGGAGTAATGATGAAACCCCCGCCTTGCCGCCCGCCTTGCCGGCCTTGCCTACCCCCAGGCGGATAAGCTGGACCCGACGCATATTCAGTCAAGCCACTTAGAAAGTTAAAGAAAGGCGTTGGCCCGCTATTTGAACCGCGGAACAGAGCGGAGCGTCTCGCGAAGCTGTCATAAGGGAGTCGGACTGCGAGAGAGAGAGAGAGAGAGAGAGAGAGAGAGAGAGAGAGAGAGAGAGAGAGAGAGAGAGAGAGAGAGAGAGAGAGAGAGAGAGAGGAGAGAGAGAGAGAGAGAGGGGAGAGAGAGAGAGAGAGAGAGAGAGAGAGAGAGAGAATCGGTCCGCAGGGGCGCGAGGGGCGCGAGGCTTGGCGATGCTGGTGGGGGGGGGGGAGGGCACGGAGGGCGCGGAGGGCAGTGAGGAGAGCACGCTCGCCAGGATGAGCAGAGCCTTCTGTATGGCTGCCATATAAAAGCACCGCCGTAGTCCACTTTGTACAGAGCGCCTCGGGCCCAACGGGAATACAGCCACGATGGTGAGTACGCCGCAGTGAAGCGGCCCCACTTTTGGGCAGCGTTCGGAAGAATTGTGAAAGGGAAGGCCAAATTTTGAAGATTGAAAGGTTTGACGCAACGTTATTTTGAAGCTGAGTTGAATCACAAAACTTTTAAGAGCCGAAGGTAAATTTTAAGATTGGTCATTCTCGATCATGGCTCCACCGGTTCAGGGTGGAGTTGAAGGCAGTGCAGGGCCGCTGAATGAGTGAGACTGGCAGAGCCAGCTCGACCCGCTCGCCCTTTGCCGAGCGCGGCGCGTGGCCTCCAGGCCTCCAGGACTGCGACTGTGACTGCGGCGCGGAGATACGCAGCACGGGACGCCAGACGTCCGATCGATAGCCATTAGTTGCCACGGCCAGCCGCCCTGCGCTTCGTCGCCCTGTCTCTCTCGCACGCCTCGGAGAGGGCCGTGGGTGCGAGAGAGACAGAGTGACGGTTCGGAAGACCGAACGAGCACGCCGCCGCGCGACACAGCCGGAGGCAACGCACGGCGCGCGTCCAGGATGGCATATCGTTAATCGTCGGGACCAGCGCGGATCGCTGTGTCGCCGTCTCCGTCGCGCTCGCCGCGGTTTGAACGCAGCCTTGTCGCCTCGCTCGCAGGTCCGCGCCGAGCTGGCTTGGGTGGTGTGCGTGTCGCTGCTGTCGCTGGCACTGGCGGCGCCCCCGCCGCCCGTCGAGGCCGCGAAGGACGTGAAGGCAGCCGAGGCCGGCGCCAGGACCTCCAAGACGCACAAGCGGGGCCTGCACGGCCTCATCGGGGACCCCTACCACTTCGACCTCCACCACGAACACCACGGCCACCACCACGGCGTGTTCCTGGGCGAGCCCCACGTCGAGAGCGTGGTCATCACCAAGGAGGTCCCCGTCGGCATCCCGCAGCCGTACGCCGTCCCCGTGGTGAAGCACGTGCCCGTGCCCGTCAAGGTGAGGAAGGCCACGGCCCGCCTAGACCGGCCGCCTAGACCGGCTGCCGAGCGCAAGCCAACAAGTGGCGGATCCAGAGTCGGTTTACGGGAAGGGACTCTTTTAGTCTATTCTCAGGGGCAAAAAGATGTCGTTCTGCCCACCTTTCAGGCTGAAGCCAAGGTATGGACAATTGTCCCACTGGATCCGCGCTGGAAGCCAACATCAGTCGTGTTCGTTTGTTCCAGGTCCACGTGGCCGTGCCCGTGGACAGGCCGGTCCCCGTGCACGTCATCAAGCCCTACCCCGTGCACGTGGACAGGCCCGTGCCCTACGCCGTGGAGAAGCACGTCCCCTACCCCGTGCACGTCCCCGTCAAGGTGCCCGTCGCCGTGCCCGCGCCCTACCCCGTCGTCAAGCACTACCCCGTGCACGTGGCCGTCGAGAAACCCGTCGCCGTGCCGCACCCCGTGCCCGTGTACATCAAGGAGCACGACCACCACCACCACCACTACCCCGAGCTGCACCACCACTACCCCGAGGTGCACCACCACCAGGAGATCCTGCACCACGGCCACCACGACCACTACGGCCACGACCACGCGTCGTCGTACAGCTACAGCCACTTCAGCCACCACTGACCCATCGTACTTTAGCATGCAAGCGACAATGTGATCCAAAACGATGAAGCGAGTGAAAAAATAAAGAAGAGTAAACGGAACAGAGTGTTGCGTGTCTCTCTGCTGTTTTGCAAGCGGCCCTTTTCGTGAACCTGGAACGGTGGGACACTACCGGCGCAACTTGCCGTACCTCCTCGGGGTTACTAAGCAGCAGGCCTCCGGCGGGGAGGGGGCGAGGGGGGATGCGGGGGCCTGGTGACAGTGGAAAGGGGGACCGCTGGACACTGGAGCCCTTGGACTGCCTTGGGCTCGACGCTCAACCCAAGGCGCGCCCCGCCACGGCTATGGCAGGGCCTGGGGGGAGGGCGCCGGGGCGCCGGGGCGGGGGAGGGCGGGGTGGCGCCTGTTGCGTCCCGTATAAAACACAGTGTCACGTGCGTGGGGTTGCTGTTCCCGTGACGACGAGGGGACGCACGCATCGCGATGCCCAAGTCCGTGGTGGTGAGTTAACTCGAGTTCGACGCGGACGTGCAGCGAGTGTGTGTGTGCGGCCGACTCCGATACCCCCGAGTTGCAGATGGTGATGCTGTTGGTGGCGGTGGCGGCGGCGGCCGCGGAGGACGTCGAGAAGGACACGAAGTCGAGCAGCAAGGAGAAGCGCGGCGTGTTCGGCCTCGGCTACCCGGGACTCCACGGCCACTACGCCTACGCGCCCCTGCACCACGCGCCAGTGCACCACGTGCCAGTGCACCACGTCATCAAGGAGGTGCCCGTCGGAGTCCCGCACCCGGTGCCCGTGCCCGTCATCAAGCACGTAGCCGTGCCCGTCAAGGTGAGCAGTGTGAATTCGTTTTCTAGCCTCTCAGACCTAAGTCGACATGATTATTATGGTTGCACCTGTAGCAGCTTCAAAATTTGGCACCTGGTTACAGCCATCTAAAAAGGAATTGTGTTAGTCTGAGCGGCAAATTAAAATGTACCTGGATTTTTGTGTCTAGGTGCCGGTGGCCGTGCCCGTGGATAGGCCCGTCCCCGTGCCCGTCATCAAGCCCTACCCCGTGCACGTGGACCGGCCCGTGCCCTACGCGGTGGAGAAGCCCGTGCCCTACCCGGTGCACGTCCCCGTCAAGGTGCCCGTCGCCGTGCCCGCGCCCTACCCCATCATCAAGCCCTACCCCGTGCACGTGGCCGTCGAGAAACCCTACCCCGTGCACGTCCCCGTCAAAGTGCCCGTGCTCCACGACTACCATCACCACCACCATCTCGACCACCATTTCGACCACCATCACCACCACTTTTAGGCGCCAATTTTTTTTTAAACTTTGAAAAATAATGTAAATAATTATTTTTTGTTAAGTAAATAATGTTGATTCGCTTTTGACTGCCGAGTGCAATTACTGGTTCCGTTGACACTGACCTTCCACATGCGTTCGTCGGCGTGTGGCCCCCGGAGGGGAAAAGGGGGGGGGCGATGTCATCGCCTTCACCTCTCTCTCTCTCTCTCTCCCTCCCTCCTTAGGCAAGCCGCTACGTGCCAGTCTTGCACAATGCGTCGCCGAGCCCCGCAGCGCCGCCACGCTCCAGGCGGGGGACAGCGCGGGTGGTGGCGGTTCTGTCTCCAGTCCGGGGACGGTTCGGGTCATCGCCGAGCCGAGGGTTCTCGCCGAACATTGTCACCCGTTCCGAGGAAGCAGCCGTGGCCACGAGGCGAGGCATGGCGGAGCTGGCCAGACAAAGGGCGGGTGGCGCGAAATTGGATCCCTTCCCGGGCGAGGCTCTGGCCAGCCCTGGCAGCCCCGCCCGCCCCGCCTGCAACACTCATTACTGCAGGCTCTCTGCAGGCCGGCCGCGACCACGCCACTGAAAATAACGATCATCCCCGAGGAGGACGAGGAGGAGGAGGGCGATTGAAATAGGAGCCGGCACCGCTTCAGCACCGCTTCCCCGGCTCCTTTCCCATTTCCCGCGCGCTTTCCTCGCGGAAGGGTGTTTCCCTGTCGCCGAGAGTGCCGGCCGCGCCGTGCCGCGCCCGGCCAGCCCAGCCCTGCCCAGACCTAATTATTCACGATAAAAGAAACGTGCGCAGGCTTGCATCAGCAGAGTCGCGCCTTTGGGTTTCCAGACAGAGGCTGCTTTCCAGGCACTGAGTTTACCTCCCTCGCCCGCCACGCCCCGCCCCGCCCCGCCCCGCCACGCCCCGCTACGCCCCGCCACGCCCCGCCACGCCCCTCTCCACGCTGGTGGTGTACTTGATCGCGTCCACGCCCGTGTACCACCGCGCGTATCTTGCACGTGGTCGCTGACCTATTCCAGTGGTGTGCATACCGGCCTGGCCGGGCCTGGCCGGGCCAGACTGTGCGTGCGTGTGTGTGTGTGTGAGTGCGTGTCTGCCGCACCAGTGGCGGCGCGGCAGCTAGGGCAGGGTAGTGCCAGCTGCAGGTGCAGTTATGCTGCAATAGTTTAGCGAAGCCTATATAAAGACGCGACGCGCGGGCAGCCCAGTCGCGAATCTGGTCGTGTCAGTGTAGGGTGTGTGTCCAGCAGCGTCTCGCCATGCGTCTGCTGGTGAGTGCAGTGCGGCGCAGTGTGGCCAGCCTCGCCGAATTCGGTTCTCTTTTCTTCGTTTACTCTGTGCGGTTTGTTGCCTCCAATCAGCGAGAGAGTAACGCGCGCGTGTGGGCTGTTTACGTTTACACCACTGCAAAAATATGGCGCACGCCCAACCCAGTGATACAACAAACTCGTCGTTGGCCCTTTTCGGGGCTAGTTGTTTGCGCGTTGGCGTCGAATCTTTCGTTGACGCTGTAAAAGCGCAAAAGTGCCACCGTGGAGTTCTAATCTGGCCTGCGGCCCGCGCCGCTCGCTGCCCCCGCGTGGATCCTCCGCTGGCGCGTTGCCAATCTGTCATCAGCGGGTACTGCTCGACCCGTGTTATCCCAACAGCCGTGCGACCAGGGCGGCCAATCGGATCGCAGCCTCGTCCTGCACACGTCGTTACCAATCCAACTCCTGGCACGTTTTTGACACAACCCACTGTCATTCTCGAACGGATGCAGATTGTTCTAGTGCTGGCGGCGGCCGTGCTGGCCGAGGACGTGACCCCCACCAAGAAGGACAAGCGCGGGCTGAGCAGCCTGGACCTGGGCGGCCTGGAGCTCGGGGGGTACGGCCACAGCAGCCTCGACCTCGGCCCCAGTCTGGGCCACGGCCTCGACCTGCCCGGCCTCTCGTACGGCCACGGCGCCATCATCGGGGAGCCCCGGGTGAAGAGCATCCTCATCGAGAAGGAGGTCAGCATCATCTTGAAAAACAAATTCCTTTTGAAGGGTTTTTCGTTGCGTTGTGTTTTAGGGAAGCCTGATTTTCACGTTCCGTTTTCAGGTCCCCGTCGGCATCCCCGCGCCCTACGCCGTCCCCGTCGTGAAGCACGTGCCCGTGCCCGTCAAGGTGCCGGTGGCCGTGCCCGTGGACAGGCCCGTGCCCGTGCCCGTCATCAAGCCCTACCCCGTGCACGTGGACCGCCCCGTGCCCTACCCGGTGGTCAAGCCCGTGCCCTACCCGGTCAAGGTGCCCGTCAAGGTGCCCGTCGCCGTGCCCGCGCCCTACCCCGTCATCAAGCACGTGCCCTACACCGTGCCCGTGGAGAAGCCCTACCCCGTGCCCGTCAAGGTGCCCGTCTACATCAAGGAGCACGACAGCTACGGCCACGACTACGGCCACTACCTGTAAAGTACAATCTGTGAGGAGTCATCGTCTTGTTGCCATTTCCATTAGTCGTATCGTGTGTAAATAAAAGTCATCGTCCCACTTCCCCCAACCATGTTCGTCATCCTTTATTTCAAAATTTGACATACTGAATATCACTCGATAAACACAAATAACAATATAGAACACTGTCAAAAATTAAGAAACCAAGTAAGACAACCTGACTCAGAACTTGACTCGGAATTTATGACCAAGTTTCGGTCCAACTCGACATTATTATTTTGAGCACGAAGAGAATGACGTTAATGAACAGGTAAACGGTAAGGGTCGATGTAGTCGACGAGGTAGGCCCCCACCTTCTCTCTCTCTCTCTCTCTCTCTCTCTCTCTCTCTCTCTCTCTCTCTCTCTCTCTCTCTCTCTCTCTCTCTGCCGCGTTGAGAAAGCGCTGACGGCTGTGAATCATCGCCAAGGCTTTAACATCATCATTCTCATAAAACGCCAAAGAGCAACTGTCACGTTGAACCAGGGATTACTATACGAGGTGACCATACGCTGCAAAACGGCAGTCTGCTTAACTCCGCAGCTCGATCAGGAAAAATTAAACGGCCAGAAAAGGTGTGCGGACAATGAAGTGGGGACAAAAATAGCCACTTTATGCAACGTTTATGGATTTTTTGATCGGTCTGCGAATCGTTGAAAGGTCAATGCCGACACTGCTCACTTCGAACGAGCAGCTCTGCTTCGCCACATAAACCGAACAGAGGAAGACGGCTGTCACTCCGTCCATCCCGTTTGTCTTCCTCTCTCTCTCCCCCTTCTCTTTTTCTCTCCTCTTTTCTTTTCTCTCTCTCTTTCCCCTTTTTTGTGTGGCGGGGCGCCTCTTGTTGTGTCACCTGAGGTAACTCTGGCAATCCTCCAGCGAGGGTGGCAATCAGGACTTGCAGTGTCCTGCCGGTGTCCTGCCGGAGCCTCCTCAGGATGAAGATGGGGGACCTATACGCTACGATGAGAGACGCGATGACGAGCCGAGTGACACGTCGCGGACACTTTACCTCCCGGATGCCCCTCACGTGTGTGTGTGTATGTGTGCGCGCGCCTGCGTGTATGTGTGCATTCATTGTCGGCTGGGTGCACTAACGCCCCGCCGTCGCGCGAGCAGGAAGCGAAATAGCAGTGATCAGTCGATAAATTTCATCCCCCCTCTCTTCCCCTTCCCCTCTCCTCTCTTTCCCTCCCCCTCTCCTCTTTACCACCTCACCTCTATCCCCTCGCACCTTAATGACTTTCAGTGTCACATCCTGTGACGAGCCGTCACTTTGATAAGCCGATTAGAAAACAAACTACGACCACGATAGGCGGAGTTAGCTGCCAACGGGTCTGCAGCCCTGCCACTACACTGCAGACATTTTTTTCCATCCCTCACCGACAGAAGAATTGCACATTCTTTGATCTGGATGGTATTTACGTGGCGAACATTTTGGGCAAAATTACCATAGCTAAAACTAAACTAAACTTAAACTATTTTTATCCAACTTACTTCTTTTGTAACGGTGTTTTTAAAGCGATTGTCTGTCTCAGGCCTTGAAAGGAAAAACACAAAACTTTTTCCCTCGCACAATATTTTAATGGTGACAGGTAAGGATGACGCACGGTTACAAAAATGCACGAACTCTCATGACGCAATGATGGATTTCTTTTTTTTTTTTGTAAACGAAAAAACAATTTGAGGCGGACGCCAGGTCGCGCTTCTGCTCCAGCGCTTCTAGGCGGCGCGTTTGTGTGCGTGCGTGTGTGCGTGTGTGCGTGTGTCCGCGGGTCCGCCCCGCCCCGTGCGCCCCAGTGCAACCCGCTGCACTGCGCTGCACTGCGCTGCAGCGTCACTATAAAAGCCGCCGGAGAGGGGCATCGATGCCAGTCTCCCCGTGGACACCTCCCTGCCTCAAGATGAAGTTCCTGGTAAGCACGTGTGTCAAGCAGTGCGTCGCGGGCGTCGCGGACGTCGCGGACCGCCAGTGACCAGTGTTGTGGTGTGCAGGTCTGTTTCCTCGTGGCCGTCGCGCTGGTGACGGTGCACGCCGAGGACGCCAAGAAGGCAGCGGAGAAGCCCAAGGGGAAGCGAGGACTGGACCTGGGTCTGGGGTACGGTCTGGGCGGCGCCGACCTCGGTCTGAGCGGCCTTAGTCTCGGACACGGCCTGGGCGTCAGCAGCCTGGGCACCGTCGGCACCCTCGGCCTGGCCAACCACGTCGTCTCCGAGCACGTCAGGACCGTCGCCGTCGACCGCCCCGTGCCCGTCGCCGTGCCCCAGCCCTACCCCGTCATCAAGACCGTCGGTGTGCCCGTCAAGGTACTGTGCGGTGCTAGAGTGCTTCTCTTTAACACGATTCGAAAGAGACAAGTTCCAATCACGCGTCTCTGCTTCCAGGTCCCTGTCGCCGTGCCCGTGGACCGCCCCGTGCCCTACCCCGTGATCAAGCACGTCGCCGTGCCCGTCGACAGGCCCGTGGCCGTCCCCGTCGACCGCCCCGTGCCCGTGCACGTGCCCGTCCCCGTCAAGGTGCCCGTCGCCGTGCCCCAGCCCTACCCCGTGGTCAAGACCGTCGGCGTGCCCGTGGCCGTCGACAGGCCCGTCGCCGTGCCCCAGCCCTACGCCGTCCACGTCGACAGGCCCGTCGCCGTGCCCCACCCCGTGCCCGTGGTCGTCAAGAGCCACGGCCTGGACCTGAGCGGTCTGTCCCTCGGCCACGGCATCAGCCACTACTAACTGCACCCGGGCCGCCTCTCCTCCTCCCCGATTTCGAATCTCGCGCGCTTTCCAACGCAGTTTGAAATCAGGGACCAGAAGAGCCACCCCTTTACGACATGTTAGGACAGTGCACCCCCTGTACAAAATCAAAAACGCTGTAAAAAAATGATGTGCCAAAATAAATAATGTTGTAAATTATTACAAAAGCGACTGTGTGTTCTCCCCTCCCTCACCTGAGGAGGCTGTGACAGTGGCATTTGGCCAGCAGGCGCGGCAGGGCTTGTTTACTACCCAGCTCGGACTTGAAAACCAGTGGAGCCCCGCCTGGCCGCGCCCCGCCCCGCCGGCCCCACCAGCAGTGCAGGCACGGCGCGGACCTTGGGGGTCGTAAGCTGTCTGGCTGCCTGGCTGCCAGGTGGATAGAGAAATGTGCATGCGGGAGCAAGGCGGTGCTGTGATGCATCCAAGGCCGGCGTCCCGTTGGCAGCGCCGGGCAGCGCCGCTGCAGTTACTGGAGCATGAAGGTTGATGCTTTCGCCGGTTGGACGGTTGGCAGTTCCGTGTACGCACCGATGCCGCCTCCGCCCCGTGTCACTCCATCGCGTGACCGCCGCGTGTGAAGCAACCGTCGCGACACCTCCACGCAAGGACCCGCTGTGCGCATCTTCCCCTCCCCGTCGCTCGCCTGTGCAGGTAGGGCTAGAAGGGGCCTGCACCCTAAAATGCAGCCAGCGTGTTGGCACGAGGGAGGAGCCAGGGAACGTTGCCGTTCGCTGGAGAGCACGATCGAGCACCTGTTCGGATCATTGGAAGCGCATGGAAAGCTCTTGGCAACGTCATCCCAATCAATATTGATGTAAAACAACTGTGTGTGTTTATGTGTAGGTGTGTGAGCGTGCGTGTGTGTTCCTGCGCCTGCCTGTGTATGTGAGCGCTCCGGCACAAAGAGCACGCGTACAAAAGTGCCTTGTGAAGTGCAGAGAGTCTTTGACGCGAGCCCAAGTGTCAATCAGCGCACTTTACGTTGAGGGCGAGACGTTCCACTCTGAGAACCAGGCCACCGTAATACTCTAAACGGCCCGCCGCCGCTCCGCTGCTCCGCCACCCCACTGGCGTCTGCATCGCGGCGGCACTGTGCTGCCTGCATGCGAATGGTGGATGGCAGCCAACTCTGCTTACCAATATCACGCCGACTCATTCCGAACGAGAGTGGTGAGTCGTGGCTCCTTCTCTCTCGCACCCTGGTGGAGAGGCCCTCGAGCGCGAGAGAGACGGCGCGACGCCAAGTCGGAGTGATTCGGACTGAGCGCTGCTGGCGGCGACGCTTGGCGGCGCGCGGGGGTCGTTTGAATCGGCGCGCTTGCCCCTCAATCGGGAGGCTGACGCCTGGCGGATTGCCCGCCGACAACTCAACAACAGAAACAACAACAACAAGATGTGCCGTTCGGGCTGGGGAGCCCTCCTCCCCCCCTTTCCGCCCTAAGAGACACTGATTTCCTTTCGCTGTCCGTCTCCCCGCCCCCCAGTCCGGAAAAATGGCAGTAACAGGTTCAGGCGCAACGGCCTTCGCCAAGGTCGCCTGCCGCACCGCCCGCCTCCGCCACACTGCCAGACGGCGGCGGCGGCGGCGCAAGAAACGCCGTCAGATTGCCCTATTGAACGCACGATGAAGATTGACGTGTTTTGAGGCACGCACGGCAAAGCGGCGGTGGCTCGGCGTCGACGCGCCGGAGCTACGCGACGCGTTTCCTCGGCAGAACGTACAGAGCTTGATTGTATTCTGAACCGACTAATTACCGTTCGACAAAGTAGCGTCAATTCCTTTTTCCTTTCCTTCGCTTTCGCTGTCTTTGTCACGCTTCTGGCACGACGCGGCAGGCGTGGCACGGCAGGCGCGGCGCGGGCCACACCCTGCGGTGCGCGTAGCGCGGCACGGAAGCGCGTCGCTCCGCCAAGGCGGTCAACGCACGCGCGTGCGCTCGCGTCACGGGCGTGCCGGCGTTGCGTCTGTCCGCGCGCCGCCGCGATTGGTAGCGCTGGGAAAACCTTAAAAAGAAATGGCCAAAGGAAGGGCGGTGAACAGCTTTAACACCACTCCTCGCCCCCAGCACACATGGCCTGCCTCTCGATGGAGCCCTTCGAGCCTATCGAACCCGTATCCGGGACCCTTTACTTCCTGGGCCCTGTGCTCGGCAACATTGTTTCGACTCGCTCGATTCTTGCTGGAGTATCCGGCTGGGTTTCAGCGTTTCCTCGGTGCAGAAAACGCGGCTCGGAGCTGTCGAACGGAGCGCACCGCTCTCGTGTTACGCCTTGATATCGTATTATCATCATTAGAACCGTAAGCCACACCGCGGCCGGAAAGAAAACGAGCAAAGTACCCTGCCGAGTCGTTCCAAATCGTTCCGAGTCGTTCTGAATCGTTCCAAGCCATTCCGAGTTGTTCCAGACGTCATCGATGAGCAAACTCAAAAATGGGGAAAACACTGTTCTTTACTGTTTTTATTCAACAAAAACATAACAAAAACATTTACAGCTATAATACTGTTAGAAAAGAATACATCTGGTGCTCTCTCACTCTCTCTTCAACCTAAGCCCGGCTGATCCGGAGGACTAGATAAGGCAGTTTCAGCTACGCAAAAATTTGAAGAAAAACGTAGTAAAATAGAATAGTTAAGATGTTTCAGTCTTAATGTCTCGCGATCGCGCGCTCCCTGATCGCCTGGTCTCGTCAATGGCGGTAGACGTAGCTGAAACTCCCACCCTTCTCCCTGAGGTCGGCCAGTCGGGCTTCCAGATCGCTGGAGCTGGTCGAGAAGGCCGCGTAGGTCTCCCTCTGTTCGCTGTAGCCGCCGACGTGGTGGTCGTCGCCGTGGCTGGGGACACCGTACTCGGGCTGAGGCTGTGGCTGGGGTAGCGGCTGCGGCGCTGGCTGGGGCTGGGGCTGAGGATCGTACTGGGGGATGTACCTGACGTGTGGGTATTCACTGTAACAGGAACGTGGTGTTAAATCAACTGCAATATGGTGCGCGGCTGCCACTGTCCACAACTCACCTTTTGATTCCGTGCTCCTTGGCCTTGACGTAGACGGGCACGGGCACCTTGTAGGGCTTGGCGACGGTCACGGGCACGGCGTAGGGCTTGGCCACCTCGTAGGGCACGGGCTGGGGCACGGGCACCCTGACGGCCACCTTGACGGGGTAGGGCACGGGCTTCTCCACGGCGTAGGGCACAGGGCGGTCGACGTGCACGGGGTAGGGCTTGAGCACCGTCACCTCGTACGGCTTGTCGACGGGCACGTGCACGGGCACCTTCACGGGGTAAGGCACCTTCTTCTCGACCGTGACGGTGTAGGGCTGCGGCACGGAGTACGGCACGGCCTTCGTGACCACTACCCTCTTGACGTACTGGGGCTTGATCTCGGACTGCTCGACGTGGGCCTCGCCGAGGCCGTGGCCGAGGCCCGCCAGGCTGCCATCGTCCCTCTCGGCGTACTGGTCGCTGTGTTCGGAGTGGATGGCGAAGCCGTAGCCCGGCCCGATGCCCTGGTCGTGGCCGAGGTCGTGGCCGAGCCCGGCGGCGTCCAGGAGGTAGCGTTCCTCCAGCGAGGACTCGGCCTGCTCCTGGTCAAGGTGGGGGTCGCGGTCCGCGGCCTCGGCCACCCTCTCGGCCGCCGCGCGCACGGCCACGGCCGCTAGCGCCAGCCACGCGAATGCCTGGTCAGAAAATCGAGACGTCACGTCAATACCCCACGCCGCGATCAGAGTCTCCACGACGGCAGGTATCGCCGCGCTTGTCAGCGAAAGTGAATGAGTAGCGCTCGCGGCTCGCCGCGGGGAGACTTCCCTTTCGTCCAGAGAAAGGTCCAGACATTTCCCCTTCCGTGCGACGGTGATCTCATACATCGCGATCGAGCCAGTCGAGATCTTTACGAGCGCAACAGAGTAAAAGTCCTTCTCTCGACGAGGGCAACTATTTGCTCAACTTGTGAAGAAATTTGTCATGGTGGTATGAGGACTGCCCCGGGTCTGCATCTCTAGCACACAGTGAGCGCCTAGTTACCCACGGGAGGCCACCGGCTGGCCTTAAAAGGCGCCGACATCTACACGGTCAGCGCTCATTTCGTATGCAATAAACACGGCTTTAGCGCGCTTTAGCGGCACCAGCGCACGCCGAGCCACGCATAGCAAGTCACGCCGACGGGGTAGAATTTACGTTGTTCCCCATTTTTTTTTGCGATTTCTTTCAAATACGGGGACGGACACTTGTCGTATGAATAAAAACGATGGGAACAGAAATGAATTTGACAAAGATGCTTCCCTTCCAGCCTAGACTCCAAAAATATGATGATAAAATTGTTCGATAGGCGTGATTTGATGGCTCCAATCGAAAATCCTATCCTTTCCAACTTCTACAAAAGTCGTAGCTTCCAGCTTTACCAAACTTTTGATTCAACGTCATCATTATTACGGCTGGACCAACGATGATTACCACAACAAGGTCTTTTTTCCCGCATAAGGACGAAAGCCATAGCCCGCACTGTACTCACCAGCAGCCTCATGGTGTCCGTCCTGGTCGTCGACACGGCCGGTGCAGTGCGCCAAGTGTGCCTCCCCGTCCCGCGCTGCCTTATATACGGATACTGCTTTCTTTCGAGCATCCGCTCTGTTCCGGCCTCCCCCTACCCCGTCCCCACCCCTTCTTTCTCCCGCGGGTACTAGAACCAGTCGCGATTCCTGATCGCACTCGATGACTTCTGCAACAACTTCTTTAACAACAACGCTTGCTATCGGGAGTTAAGAAGGCGAAAATTCAAAGTATTCTGTGGGGAGAAAGATTACGTTTCAGTGATCGGTTTAACGGACTCGCTACTCGCCTGCGATTCACGAGGGAAAAGGCCACTAAAACCACAACCAATGTGTGTTCAAACCGATCAAAAAACGTTTAAAAAAAAGATGACGATAGCCATCACTATACGTATAACTTTAACTAGTTCCGGTCTTCCTCGAATTCGGCAAGGGAAGCAGTACACGACAACAGAGCAGTACTTTGTCTTCTTCACAAGTAAGTTGTCAGACTGTTCAGTCAGTCATACTGACGCTTAGTTTAGAATTTGTGTGTGTGTGCGTGTTGCGAAGGAAAATCTCAGCAAGAAATAATTGAGAGTGCTCGCAGTAGCGCTCGCACGAATTAGCGGAGGGATGCTTGGCGGGGCACGCGGTCGGGGAGAGGGAAGGAGGGGAGTGGCCGCTCGCTCATACACTTCCTTCCTTCCTGCCGAGCCAGTCCGGTCGTCAGGTCTGCTCCGGACCTGACACTGGCCGCGTTCGAATTGCCCCACAGACAGCCGCAGCAGAAAGATACCAAGACCCCTTTTCGTCGCTCCGTCCTCCTCGCACTCAGGGAGCGTCCCGTATGGGTGCGAGAGAGGCAGAGCGACGGGAACGGCTCTCGGGGCAGCGGCAGCGCGGACCCGTTGGCGTGGACGCCGTGGTCCTGGTGATGCTGGTGATCTGTGCAGTGGAGGCGCGCAACGCGCCGAGCTGTGTGCGCTTAGCGTGTGTGGCCGGTGGTTATGGCGCTCAGCCGTCATTCTGTGTGCGTGTGTGCGTGTAGCAAGTGACGCGCTTTTCACAGTGTTGCGGTTCCACTGTTTGCGCGGCAAGTCCATGCATGTCACTTCACTTCCAGTGTGTGTGTCTTTGTCGGCACCACAGTGCACGTCCCGTTCGGTCCCGTTTCCCTTCGCCGTGCCAATGCTCTGCTCTGGCAGCACGCCCCGGCCCAGTGATTCCGAGAGTCGTTTTCGTCGCTCTGTCTCTCTCGCACCCGCACGGAACGCCCTGTGCGTGCGAGGGGGACAGAGCGACGCAAACGACTCTCAGTCCGCAGCGCGGCCAAGCCGGCCAAGCAGTGCGAGCGTGCCACGACACGCCGTCCATCACCGCGCGCAGCGTTTGGCCGCAGAGCCACCCATTACGTGCGGACGAACCATAACTTGGGGCTGTATGCCCACCCGCCCATCTGAGCTGAGTAACCAACACGTTTCAAACACTGCGTTTCTTTTCGGTCCCAATTTTAACAAATTGTTCTTTAAAGCAAATGTCTACAGGTGCGCAGACGCAGCACGTAAAATTTTTAAGTCGATAATCGCACTTCGTACAAGTTGATTCACGAAAAAGGTTTCAAAATAATCAATGACTCTGGGGACTGCAGATCGTAAAAGGCTACGTTCTTGACACACGTCATAGATCTCGGCTTGGCTGGGGGCGGCGATTGAAATGCTGTGCTCTTCGGTGCGCAGTCATCGTGACGCTCGCCTCGCCACCTCCTCTCCTGCCTGCCCCTGCCTCCCCCGGTCCGACAGCAGGTCTCGTACCCCCCCCCTCCCTCCCCCCTCCGGCACGCCAGATGGGTGGCCCGCCTTCCCGGCGGCGAGGGCCTAGCCTGGCGTAGCCTGGCGTAGCCGTCCGTGGGAGAAGATCGCTTCCGTGCCTTCGCAGTCTGACCGAAGGGTTCGCTCCTGGCGACTGGCGGCAATTTAATTATGTAATCCGAAATAATGAAGTTTGAGGCGAGCGAACGACCGGCGAGCAGCGGCGTGTACTTTGAGCGATGTTACGCTGTTATCGGGCGAGCCGGGCCGGGGTCGGGGTTGTTCGACGCTCCAGTGGGGAAATATATCGAGCTTCGCCTTCGCTTTGGGCGCGCGTCGATCAAACAGAACGCAGAACGTTTTGTGAACTTTCGGCGGCTTTGCGCGGTTCACTAGATTTCACCAAGGCAGTGGGTTGGCGTAACGGGGTGGCCGCCTGTGCAAATCAACCAGTGCTCCGAAGGTTGGCAACTTGACTTCCGCGCGGGAGAATACGTCTTGCAGCCTGAATAAACAGGGCCCAGGGCTCCGCGTTGTTTACGGTACGTCTAACCCTCTTTCGGCCAATCCCTCAAAGTCTGTTTTCCCACGAAATAAGCGAGAATGAATTATGAAGTGGGTTGGTGGAGATGCGAACTAGCACCTGGAGCCAGTTGCTAAATCTTTCAGGATTCAGTCCTCAAGGCCTTCCGGAGGGCCTTCCACGCGCAAGGGAGCCCTCGCAAACGCTGACACACTCGAACTCACCCCGGCAGGGGCCGACGCCACCCACACTTGTTGTGCGGACCGATAGCAAGTCATCCATCCTCCAGGACCACTTTGTTTTCTGAATCCGCCGTACAAACGGAGTCCGGGGAAAGCGATTTGGAGTGAAACCGGTCCGGGCGTCCCGGCGCCGCGTGCCCGTCCATCCGTCCGGCCGGTCCATCATTAGTTTTGCACTAAAACGCATAACCCGCGTTGCGTCACCGGCAGACCACTCGAAGCGACCACGCGTGGCCCGACCCATCGTTCGGCAGACCAAGGTGCCTGATTCCGAAGAAACCTTGCTGCCTCACACTCTCTTTCGCAGCCAGGTGGCGTTCCGTATGGGTTCGAGAGAGACAGAGCGATAGAAGTGTTCCTTCGGACTGAGGCGGTGGAAGACACTCCGCCGCGTATCGGAAACCGAACGGCGAGGGCGAATGATTAGCTGTGCTTTCTCTGCGCTGCCCGGCGTTGCGCAGTGCGTGCGCCGTATGCGGGCGGCGGCCAGGCGGCCAGCGCGGCCGGCTGCGTCTTGACCCTTGCAGGACCGGCTCAACTATTCGCACTCCCCTTCCCTTCCCCTCTCCTCCTCCTCCTCGCTGCGAGTCAAGTTCCCCGGCCAGCCACTTTCAAACAAGCGTCCACCACGACAGAGAAGACGCATTCGGGAGGCGCTTCGCTGCTTCGCTTGCTACGCCCCACTCGCCTCGACGCCGTTCGCGGCGCAGTGGGCCGGAAGGCCGGAAGCTGCGGACATCGTCGCGCCGTCCCTCTCGCACCTCAACGCGACGCCCCGTGAGTGCGAGAGAGACAGAAAATCAGTCTGCATCCGGAAGACCCGGAAGACCCACGCGGGCAGACGGACACGTTTTATTGAGGTCCGCGGTCCTGAAATGGACTTCCAGACAAACACAACGGATTGGCCCCCGCCTCGGACGAGGAATCCATTCTGGTACCGTCACCTGTTGAGGTAAGGTTTCGAGATAGTACATTCGAGGAGCAGGGAGCTAAAAAGGCGTCTCGCGTCCTGCCCGCCGGAAGAGTCTTCTTGACCACTGCAGGACTCCCCGAGACGGTCGGAAGCATACGCACAGGTGTGCGCGGAGCGCCCAGTCGGAATGACCACATCTGGCATCTTTGTTTAAATATCAAAGTAAAAACGAGGTTTATTTACAAAAGTAGTCAACAAAACAACATAACAATAACAACAGGGATGTTGATGATGTGGTGAACTTAGACTAGACTGACTCAGTGGTGGTACGAGTCCTCGCTGTAGCTGCTGCTCGAGTGCTCGTACCTGGAGTCGGACGGCGGGCCGTAGGACTCGCTGGGCTGGCCGTAGGACTCGCTGGGGGCGCTGTAGTGCTCGCCGGAGCTAGCGTAGTGCTCGCTGGGCGCGCTGTAGTGCTCCTCGTGGTGCTCCTTGACGTAGACGGGCACCTTGACGGGCACCTTGTAGGGCTTCGGCACTTCGACGTGCACGGCGTAGGGCTTGTTGACGGTGACGGGGTAGGGCGCGGGCACGGGCACCTTCACGGGGACCTTGACCTCCACGGGGTACGGCTTCTCGACGGGCACGGGCACAGGGCGCTTGACCTCCACGGTGTAGGGCTTGGGGACGGGCACCTCGTAGGGGCGGTCCACGGGGTAGGGCACAGCCACCTTGACGGGGTAGGGCACGTGCTTGGTGATGGTCACGGGCACGGGCTGGGGGATGGAGTAAGGCACATGCTTGGTGAGGACCACGGTCTGGGGGGCGTGGTGGCCGTGCGCGCCACTGGACAGGCTGGACAGACCGGAAAGCCCGGACAGCCCGGAAAGCCCAGAGAGGCCGGAAAGGCCGGAAAGCTGGTAGGCCCCGTGGGCGGGGGCCGCCAGCAGGATGGCGTGGGTGGGCTGGCCGTGCTGGCCGTTGAGGCCGGACAGCAGGATGGGGGTGCCGAGCCCCTGAAGGCCGTGGAGGCCCTGGAGGCCGTGGCCGTAGCCGGAACTCAGCATGATGGGGATGCCGTGGCCGAGGCCGTGTCCGAGGCCTTGGCCGTATGCGATCGGGATGCCGTATCCCAGGTTCATGATGCCGCGCTTGTCAGTCTTCTTGTCGTCTGCTTCCGCCTGCTGCTGCTGGCTGGGCTGGGCCTCGGCCTTCGCGGCCTCTTCCGCGGCCGAGGCCGCCGCCAGCGCAGCCACCACTAGCAGGCACGTCTGCAAACAACCAAGCGGGAAAGGGGTTAAAGAGCTGCCGAGTGCCGGGAATTATCTGTTTCTGGAGGCAGTGCGGTTTGGGACAGGGTAATAGGTCAGCGTGGTGCCGGCGGCCTGGAGCCTGGAGCCGACCCGGGGCTCTCGGTCCCAGCTCGCGGTGAGCCGTTAGATAACGAATATGACATGAAGGTTTGCATCAGTGTCTGGTTATAAGCTCCTCGGCCAGCGAGCCGACATGAAGCGCTGCTTTGAGGCTGCACAAACAATGGCGGATAATTTGACCATCATTTGTAAGAAGTTTGGAACTGGTCCGGACATGGATCTCTAGGAAGTAGCTTCCCACTAAACAAAACAACACTCTCGTATTTTTTGTGTGAAAACCCCAAATTACAATTCCCTTTTTGAGGCCAACAGGGGGAACATGAAAGACAATACTTGGGAAACAGCTCGGCGGGTACGCAGAGGGGCCGCGGCGTCGCGGGAAAACTTATTTTGTGCTGATGACAGGGCCGAGCGAAGAGCTAAACGTAACGAGACGCCACTGTTCGCGAAATGAAGGACGCGTGGAGTGGCCGAGCTTCACAGCTTCACCAAACTAGTGTAGTGGTTGGGGCCGCCGGGGCCTCGGTGACGAGGCGCGACAAAGACCGGGGCACTGCAAGTTGCAAGGCGAATGCCGGGAACGCACTGAGCCCCACCGGCCGAAAAAGTTCGTCCGCTGGATACTCCACGTGCGTGGGACCGCTCGCACGGTGCACTGTACAATTCCCCCAGGAGAAGAGCGTCGCCGTTGCAGCCGGCCAGCAGGTGTGCACTATCCCGGCGTGGTCCACCTGCCCGCGTCCGGCCGCTGCTGTTGTCGCACTCTTCGTTGCACTCTCACTTTCCCACTGGGCACACACACAAACACACGCACACACGGAACTCGCGCACCAAACTCACCAGGGGCTTCATGGTGCGAATGGCGGGGAGGCTGGGAAAGGAATGATGCCCTGACCTGGCCGCCGCCACTCTTATAAGCGCGAGGCGGCGGCGGGGCGGCGGGGAGCGGGGAGGGCGGCGTCGCGGACGTCGTGGACGTCGTGGACCGGCGGCGGGAAGGGGAAGGGAAGGGCTGGCCGCGGCGGTCCGGGGGCACAAACGATCCGCCCTCCGCCCCGAGCAGTGCCACTTACTGGTCACCTCATCCCAGGCCGTGTCCCTCCGCCCCGCCGCCGGCCTGGCCGGCCAATTTGCATGTTGTTTGCGTTGCATTCGGAGCGCCGCCGCCGCCCACGCCGAAGCCGACGCCGCCCCTCTTCCAGGACCCTCGGCGCGGCGCCCTGGCCACCGCGACGCCGTCCTGGTCCGCGGCCACCCGCGGCTCGGAGGCGGACGACGCGGACGTGCCGATCTGCCCCGTGAGATACCGGAGCCCATTTGTCCCGTGACGTCACGACGGGGTGCACGGAGTGGCACGGAGTGCAGGGTGTAGTGGGGCGTGGCCATCACCGCTCCCATTGTGTGGCGTTGCCGCGCGTTGCCGCGTTGCGCGACTGCCCGATATGTTTGAGGCGCTACCGTCGGTCCGTCGCACGCTGCGCCGCGCCACGCGGCTTCTCGAAGTGAAAGGACCGGCAGGTGACCGCACCATCATAGCTCGGCGGGGCGCGGCGCGGCGCCGGCCCGTCCACGGGGCCATCCCGCCGTCGCGGACAAGAATGTGGTGGAAAAACAGCCATTAGGTCGGCGAGCACCCGGTGGCTCCCGGACCACACCCACCACCACCACGACGGCGTCCTCAGGTGGGCGACGATGTCGTCTGATAGCGGCTGCGCCAAAAAAGCCGGAGGAACACCGGCCTGGCGGACGACGCCAAGGGAAAGGCCGCACATTTTTGCCGTCCCTGCGCTGCGCTGTCCAGGTCACCGTCGTCGCCGTGCCGAAAGGCTACCCCGGCCGAACTGCCGGACCGGGAAGAAGAATCGGCGAACGAGTTTTCAGGATGGAAATTGGTGTGCCAAGTGCTCGATCCATATGCACCAGTCGCCGCTGCATTCCCGATGAGGTACCCGGGTCGCCACGCCGTCCGCGCCGCGCCTCGCCCGCCACGGCGCCGCCACAGCGCCGTATCTCGGCCCCGGGACCCGCGGCGCCGCCGGCCACGCCCGCAGATACGCTGCTGTTCCGGCTCGGCCGCTCGGCCGGTTGGATAACGCTCCGAGCCATCCACGTTCAGCCCCCGGCCGCGGCCCGGTCACCGTTTTCAGTCCCGATCGGCAAGCCGCCTCTTTTTCAGAGCGGTTATGTGTGCCATCCAGGCAGCGCCAGCGCACTCACACCAACACACGCACACACACTCAACGACGTACTTAATAAACACACGGACACGCCCACAACACGCACACCACTTGACGCGTGTAAATACCGGAGTGCGCACAGTGGGCCGCTTCCGAACAGCGCTTTCGTCGCCTCGTCCTCTCTCTCTCGCACTCGTGGGGCGTGCCGTGGAGGTGCGAGAAGGACGGAGCGACGACGCGTCGTTCGGAGCGCGTCTGCCGGCCGCCCTTTGCCAATCACGGATGCTCGCAATTATGCGCTATCGAGGGCCGCTGATGGCCGCGCAACCCGACTCGCTCGGGAATGGAAGCAACGCATAAAACGTCCACGGCGGCGCGCTCGAAAAAACGGAACAACGACAAAAACAAAAACAAAAAGAGCTACAAATCCGGACGTTCCATTAAGATGGCCTGCGGGCACGTGTCGCGTGGTCGCGTGGTCGCCCCTTCTCCTCTTACCAAACCCGCGCTCCGAGGGGACGACGAAAAAACCGCAAAGGGGTGAAGGAGGGCTGCTGCGGTGGATGATCGCATACGCTGGAAAATGAACGAATTCAAAAACAAAAAAGAAAAGACGGCTGAGTAAGGAAGGGCACCGACCGCCCCACCCTCCCTGCGTGACAATTTTTATAAAGTAGCGTTACGACGGTGGATGCCGCCGCGCACGAGATTGCCAACTTTCTGACACAGATCGCCGCCCGACGACCCGGCCTGTCCTGGCGGGCGTGGCGTGGCGCGGCGCCGTGCTGGACCCGCGTGTATCTTGTCAGGTTATGACTCTTTTCTTCTCCGCCATTGTGTCGGCCGGACTGCCGCTGCCCCCCCCCCCCTCCCCCGGAACGTTTTCTCACTGAAAGTCGAGCTGTGCCAATCAGCACTGCGGGATCGACCACCGCACTGGAAGGGACGAGGGCCTGCCACCGCCTGTTGCTCCGCTACGTCTGTCTCTCTCGCACCTATGCGGGACGCCCGATGAGTGCGACAGAGACAGAGCGACGAAGGCGACTCTCGGAATCGGTCTGCTCTGCACGGTGCCGCATGCCGATTACGTCTTGTCGCTTATGACCAATAAAGCGGGCTGCAGTTTGCTCCCTGAGGACTGTCGATTCCGTCGCTCTGTCCCTCTCGCACCCCCACGGCGCGCCCCATGAGTGTGACAGAGGCAGAGCGACGTGGCCCCTCACTGGCCGCCCCGCTCCCAGTGACCGCTGGCCGTAACCGGGGCTCGCCCCCCCAATGAGTCGCGGCTCAAAGGAGACTGTCCCTCTGAGTCATCCTCCTGCCTTTGCGGCGAGCGGACTCATTCCGAGCGGTCTGTCTCTCTCGCTCGCACAGAGCGTCCCGAACGGGAGCGAGAGAGACAGGCCGCTCGGAATCCGCGCCCGACAGACCTGGCGACGCAGGGATCGGTGTGGCCAAGCTCGCCGTCGTCGGAGTGCGCGCGTCCTTGGCGAAGTAGAGGCTGCTGCTGGTGGGCGGCTGTGCGGACCACTTGACATTTTGCTGACGAGTCAAGCGGTAGTGCTCCGGCGGAGGGCCGAGGGCCTGGGACCGCCCTGGACCGCCCTGGACCGCCCGCACGTAAAGGGCAAGCCGCTCCAACTTGGCTCCACAGAGCGCCCGGTGGGCAGGCCCGCCCGCCGAGCAGCGGAGCTGTACAGTGTGGCCTACCCTCGACTTCGCAGGCGCTCCGTGAACGTCATCGGCACACAGCTGTACCATTTTCGCCAGTGCACTTCCTTGGAGTGCTGCGCTTTTGGCAGAACCGAATTCCGGGGGTCGGTGCGAGTGGTTCCCAGGAGCAGGTCCAGCCGCGGCGCCGGCCGGTGTGGCGGGGCGGGGCGGGGCGGGGCGGGGCACCGGGTCATACTGACGGGCCCGGACTGACCCCCCGTGCGACGTAGCCGACGCCCGGCTTCGCTTTACTTCGCCTTGCTTCGCGGCGCTCGAGTGTTGCAACGGGCGGAGGAGCTGCGGCGCGTAGAAGATGGGATCTCGCACGCAGGACGGACGCCGTGTCTCGCTTACAGTGGCGTGCCGTGCCACCGCGGCCGCAGAAAAAGAGTCGTGACTCGGACGGAATTATCAGCGCATTGGACCAGAAGCACCTGTACCGGGAAGCGAGAGACTGACATTCACGCACTGCATTGGCTGCTAGAAGTGCTTGGCGAAACGAGTACCTCCAAGCAGCACCAAGTACCTCAAGTATTCGTTTTTTATTTCTTTTGAGCACCAAAAAGAACAACTTACACACGTCAATATTGTGAGATTTTCAGTTAGAAACCGGTCAACTTTCATCGTTGAGGTGCATTCACAAGTAACATGTCGGCCATCTTGAACGCATGTATGCTCGACCCACTACTGTTTATGGTTTTGCGTTGGCCACCCAGCACTGGAAGCAGATGTGGGTAGGTCCTCTTCCTTGTACACTGCCCGGGGCACTCTCCCCCCCCCCTCTCCCCCGCCCCGGCCCTAAACAACAATCATTCGCATGCCCTGTGACGGACTGAATAATGTCCGTTCCGCCTCCCATTCTCTCTTCCTATGCCCGTCATGCACAACAGTGTCAGAAATCATTGCCATTTGCCACTGCATAAGGGCGGGACGGGACATTGTTTGACTGGTTCGCGCCATTTCAGCCCGGGAATACTATTTCCATCTGCTTTGCGTTTCATTCTGGGTGAGCGTCGCGGCCGCGGAGCGCTCTGGCGCGGCGCCGCGGCGCCTAGTCGCGTCCGCCGTCGCGGTAGGCAACCCTTCTGTCACGGCAGAGTGGTGGCAATCGCTGGGCGACCGTCGCGTCGGACCTGTCCTCGATTTGTGTCGACAAAAACGCGGGTCGTCTTCATTTTATCACATTTCATTTATTTGACACATTTTAAGAGCTACAGTTATTCGATCACAGACATTTTCTCGGGTTGATTATGACGGGTGAGTCTTTACAGATGAGGCGCGATTGACTACGGGTGGACCCTAGTGGTGGTAGGAGGAGTGTCCCTGCTGGACGTAGGCGTAGCTGTGGCTGCCGCCGTAGTGGGTCTCGTAGCCGTGGTCGAGGCCGTGGCCGTGGAGGTCGTGGCTGAGGTCGTGGCCGTAGCTGTGGCCGAGGCCGTAGCCGTGGCTCAGAGCGAGGCTGGAGTCCTCGAGGCCGTGGTAGTGGTCGTCGTGGTGGTGCTCCTTGACGTAGACGGGCACCTTGACGGGCACCTTGTAGGCGGTGGGCACCTCGACGTGCACGGGGTAGGGCTTCTTGATGGTGACGGGGTAGGGCGCGGGCACTCCGACCTTGACGGGGACCTTGACCGCCACGGGGTACGGGGTCTCGACGGGCACGGGCACGGGGCGCTTGACCTCGACGGCGTAGGGCTTGGGGACGGGCACCTCGTAGGGGCGGTCGACGGGGTAGGGCACGGCCACCTTGACGGCGTAGGGCACGTGCTTGGTGACGGTCACGGGCACGGGCTTGGGGATGGAGTAAGGCACGTGCTTGGTGATGACGTGGGTCTTGACGTGGTCGTGGTGGAGGTCGTGCAGGTCGAGGCCGTGTTGGTCGTAGCTGCTGTAGTCGGAGGCGTAGCCGTGGCCGTCCAGTCCCAGGGAGGCCAGCCCGCGCTTCTCCTTCACGTCGCCGGCGGCCGCCAGGGCCACTGCCACCGAGAGGATCACCTGCGGGAGGACGAGCACCATGAGACGCTGAAGCACTTTCAAAAACCAGGTTCCCAACACGCAGATGTGACATCGTTCCAAACGGCTATACTGTACGACTGTCGAAGCAGTGATGGTCTTCATTGCTAGCGGAGGAATAGATACTCACAATGCACTTCATCCTGAGCGAGGCGGCCGCGGAGCCGATGTGGATGTCGCTGATGCCTACACTCGACTGATACCACGACAGCACCCCACCCGGCTTATATAAGGGGGCTACCGATATACTCTTGTAAAAGAGTTGTTTCTGGCCCTGCCCCTGCCACCGCCTGGCATCGCCCAGCCGCCGCCCCCTGGCTGCCCCTGCCTCCGAGCCACGTGTGGGGCGTTGGCCAAGTTTCGGACACAGGTGGGGGTCAGAGCACTACGCGGGGGTACTTTCGATGCGACGGCCCGGCCCGCGGTCCTGGAGCGAGGCGTCCTGAGATCCAGGAGGTCCTGGAGTCCTACAATGCTACCGCAGTCTCGAAGAGCAACGAATTTTAAACGACATTTTTTCCCCCACCCCTACCCCACCCAAAATAAAAAAAAAATATGTCAGGGACTTGATGATTTCAATAAAAAAATCGTGTACAGCTCTGCTTTCTGCGACGGTGCCTGCACTGGTAGATGTCACCATGGGACCCTCAGACTCCCGTCACCCGAAGCTCGCGCGCGGCGCGCACTGACCCACATTTGTAATTTCATTAGTAGCGCCGCACTCGGACAGGACACTCCTTGTCAGGCAATCAGACTTGAGCGCGGGTCTAAATCCGCCTGCGGGTGGACATAGACCACTTCCACTTATCGGCCGTGGGTGCCGTGGGCAGCGGGCCGCCGGTTGGTCAACGCGTTCAGTTGGGCAACCGTGTGGGCAATTAAATAATCACAGTGGTCGTCCGGGGAAGTGGCTTCACATTCCGAGAATCGCTGTCTTTTTTTTATCTCCCTCTGGAATTGTGTTCGCTCCGCGGAACGAATAAACACTAGGGCACCCGATATATTTTTCCAAGCTGAGCGTGACGGTGTGGCGGCGGTGCGCACACCGGCCTGTGTCAACGGCGGCGGCCCGGTGGCGGTGTCAAAAGCGAGTCGGCCTCGTCAAGAAAAACCTGCCGAAGCCCCAAAATTTGAGTCGCGGTGAGGAGACGAGCTGGAAACGGCGTGTTCTGGGTCATCTTGGGCAACACGCGGCCCACCACCCCGCCGGACGAATTCGGCGCTACGCCCGCCCCGCCCCGCCCCGCCCCGCCCCGCCCCGCCCCGCCCCGCCCCGCCCCGCCCTGCCACGCCCGTCGCTGTCGTCGAGCGGGATAGGTCAAGGCGTAGGGCTACTTCATTAGTAGTCTGGCTGGGCCCGCACGCGGCGCGCGCCCTGCGCCGTGATTTAGAATCAGAACAACGCAACGGCGCCTCGCCGCTCTCGTGCGCGAAGAGGGTGGAGTGGGCTGTTTGAACCTCGCGCGTCGGCGGGAAGTCCTGGTGGTTCCTGCCGCGTCGTCGCCAATCGCTTCAAAACTGAGGAAAACGGCTTTGAGCCACCATCACTCATCGCATTTCACAGCACTGGCAGTGGGAGCGTCTGGGGCTGGGATTAAGGACGGCACTGTGACACTACGGGCCGTCGGTGCACAGTGGCCAGAAGACCGGTGGAGGTGGTCAAAGACGCGTTTTGAGCTTTAGAGTCGCTAAACAGGACTCGAACAGAACGTGTGACCCCACCAATGGATTGCTCTTTCGGTTCGAGTCCCATTCAGCGACTCTGGAGCTCAGAACTCGACTGGGATTTTGGCCGCCTCCACTGGTCTTCTGGCCCACTGTGCGATGTGCCGATCGCTGCCTGCGCCGAGCCGAGCCGAAGCGCAGCAGACGCTGTGAGGTAATCTAGTCGCGCCACTCACTCCGCGGAGACCAGACGCGACCCTACACTGGGCGGGCCGTGGCGGGGCCCTGGCGGGGCCCTGGCCCGGCCAAACACTCCCGCGGCCAAATCAAGTTCACGCGCGTGATCTGGAGCGCGAGCGAGGGAAGTCACGAAGAACATGAAAAACAAGGCTGGAACGCGACTCGAACCCGGGAACTCGCGATGACAGACACACTACTAGACGAAACGAAATCCCGACGCGTGGCCGGCGAAGGCCACTGGAATATAAGGTTCTGGAGGCTCTTGTGCCCAGAAGCGCGTCATAGCGGAACGAAGCGGTGAAAAGTGTGACCCAGAAAAACCTCTTTTATTTCGCTCTGGTACGGTAACAACCAATTAGAAATTTGTTGAATTTGGGTTGTTTTGAAATTCCGTACTCGTGCTTTTTTTTTTTTGGTAAAGGCACACAAAAGCGGCAGGCGCTTGGCAGCGGCGGAGCGGCGCGCTCGCGGCGTGTGTGGCGCCGAGGCTGGGGGGACACTCGTAGAATGTCAATGTTACTCTAGGACAGGTGTCGTCTGGCCCGTCCAGGCGTGTTCCAGAGTCGTGATTGGGGAAACGCCCCGCCGGTCGCGTCGCTGCAGACTGATGGCGAGAGGCGTTTTCGTCGCTCTGTCCCTCTCGCACTCATGTGGGGCATCCGTGAGTGCGAGAGAGACAGAGATAACGCCGCTCGGAATCCGTCTGCTGACGCGCCGCTGGCCGCGGCCCACGCATGCACCGGACTGGGCGGCCGGGGCGGGACGGCCGGGCAGTGCCCCAGCTGCAGTATAACAGCGGTCAACAACAAGCGGCCATTGGCCAATCATTTCGAAACCTTTTTATATTGCCGTGTTTACACGTTCCCTCCTGTAAAACGGAAAGGGACTCGCACCGCGTCGCAACGCGTCGCAACGGCACCCGCTGCCGATCGCCGTGATCCTGGGCGCGCGTCATCACATCAGGGCCTCCGATGACGTCCTTGCGGTGTAGGGTGGGTGGGGCTTTATGCAGCACGTTTGTAAAGTTACGAAATTGAGCAATCGACCGCCGGCCGTTCCGAGTCCGAGTTCGACTGGCGTGCAATTATTGTCGGCTTTTGCCTTCGGTTTTGTTTCGCTTCGTGAGAAGCTCCGCCGGGTCAGCCGTTGATTACAGTGTGTGAACGGGTTGCTCAATAAAGTACTTTTTAAGATTTTTTTAAATTTTATTATTTACGATTTTTTTTTCATCCTCCCCTTTTTGTACGTAACAGTCGTAACATTGTACTCGCACTGTTCTTGGGTCACCTCATCGTCACCGCGTTGTCTGGAGTGTCAGCCTCTCCGCCTGCAGCGGCTGCGGCCGGTTGCCACCGGAGTAGGTTGGGCTGCCTGCCCACCAGGCGCGCGCGAGCTAAACGGGACCTGCCCACTCTGGCTCGGAGTTTGATTAACCTCCACATCGCGCCACTCAAAGCAAAACACGAAAAGGAAATATTGGACGCCTCGGCATGAAAATGACCTCGCTGGGCGCCTGCCAACCGAAGCGCAATTTTGCATCCAGCCAACTATGTCTTTTTGTGTTCTGTTGGAACGGCTGGTAAATTGGATCAAAAATCGAGTCGATGCACACAACACACCATCAGCGTCTCCGGGACCCCGCCGTCGCCGACCCCGCGGTCGCGGAGGAGCCGCCGGACGACGCCGTCCCCGCCGAGTTGACGACCCACACGGAGGGCGGCAGGCCGAACAGGCCGCCGCCGTACGCCGGGGCCGGTGGCGGCTGGCTGCCGCCGCCGATGTTGATGGGGGGCTTGTTGATGTTGAACAGGTTGAAGGAGGGCCCGGACAGCAGGCTGGGCAGCAGGCTGGGCAGGCTGACGAGGCTGAAGGCCCTGCCCGTGTCCGACGGCGGTTCGTCGGCCTGCTCCTCGGCCGCCACGACCAGCAGCACCGCGGCCAGCAGCCCCAGCAGCCCCAGCAGGCCGTGCGCGAGGCGAGTCTGGAAGGGCGGCACAGTGTTAAAAGCAATAAAGTGCTCGGGGCGCGGCGCCTCGCCAAGCCGCTCGCCCTTACCTTCATGGTGCGCGCCTATCGGACGGAAACTGATCGCGGATCCGCTCCATCCGACTTTATATCGAGTCGCCCCGCGTCGCCCGCAAGGATGTCCCCACAATTTGGCCCATTTGCCGCAGGCGTGGGACGACTTCCGCTAGGGCGCCCCGAGGCGGCCCGGCCGGCCAGTGCGAGGGCCAGTCCCACGACCAGGACGCCGTCGATGTCACGTACAGCCCGGCCAAAAATACTGCGCTCGACCACTGTAGGTAACGGTCGGGGGGACCTTTTTTTGACAGCCCGTCAGTCACTGAGGACCTGCCCTGTCCTAGAATGGGTCCATCGTTTCTTGTTTTCTGATGAGACTCATGGTGACCCTGCGTCCGCACGACGAAAGTAGAAAAAACTGCACTAAGTTATTACGTGTGTCGTCGAGCAATTTTTTGGCAGCGGTCTCGGTGGCGCCTCCTCCTCCCTCTCCCCTCCCCGATCGAGTCCCACCCAACCGCACCCCTCCAGGGGCCATTTCGCAGCCTCCAAACGCACCGCCCGCACCGCCAGACCGGGTGGGAGGTTCCGAGTATAAAAGCTCCTTGCCGCCAAAGTATCGACACAGTCCAAATCCGTAAACCAATCAGCAATGAAGTTCCTGGTAAGTAACCCAAAGGTGCAAAAAATTAAAAAACAAAATTGGGATTAAAATGCGAAAATTTTGAAAGAAAATTGAGAGGTTGGCCATGGTGTCAGGTCAAGTTGACTCTTTGTCGGTACAGCTTCTTTCGCCGCTCTATGACGCGTTTGCAAAGAATGATTCCGTCTCGCTGGGCAAACAACTCGCACCCCGCCTGCTCCGCCTCCGCTAACTGTGTGTGCCTCCAACAGGTCGCTGTTTGTTTGCTGGCGGCGGTGGTGGGCGCGGAGGAGGCCAAGAAGGACGTCAAGAAGGAGAAGCGAGGCCTGCTGGGCCTCGACACGTACGGCAGCAGCCTGGACCTGAGCGGCCACGAGTACGGCCACGAGATCAGCCACGGCTACGGCCACGGCCTGGACCTCGGCCAAGAGCACGCCATCATTGGCGAGCCCCAGGTCAAGAGCATCGTCATCACCAAGGAGGTCCCCGTCGGCATCCCCAAGCCCTACGCCGTCCCCGTCGTGAAGCACGTCCCCGTGCCCGTCAAGGTCCACGTCCCCGTGCCCGTCGACAGGCCCGTGCCCGTGCACGTTATCAAGCCCTACGCCGTGCATGTAGACCGCCCCGTCCCCGTACCCGTCGAGAAGCCCGTGCCCTACGCCGTCAAGGTGCCCGTCAAGGTGCCCGTCGCCGTGCCCGCGCCCTACCCCGTGGTCAAGCACGTGCCCTACACCGTGGCCGTGGAGAAGCCCGTCGCCGTGCCCTACAAGGTGCCCGTCTACATCAAGGAGCACTCCCACGACTACCACCACGACGTCTCCCTGGACCACCACGAGCTCTCCGAGCTGAGCTCCTACTCCAGCCACTACTAGTCCACTACTAGTCCACAGCGAGGCCCCCTCGCTGCCAGCAGTTCCTATACAAACGCGCCACTTCATTGAATGTACATAGTCACCCCACCCTATGATGTTGAATGTGAAAACAGAAACTCATAAACGCACTGATATTAAAGATCGAAAACTGAAGCGACATGTTGACTTTATATCCCGCTGCTCTCACTCATCAGCATTTATATGCAAGCGCACCCAAATTACTCGCCTGAAAAAAAGTCTCAATGCTACCGGACGATTGCATGACATTCCGGTCTAGCGTGATGAATTTGTAATTCTTTATTTTCATCTTGAATATGCGCCTTCCTGCGGCGCGCTGCTCGCCTTTAGCCCCCCTCCCCCCCCCTTCCCCCCTCGCACCGCTCGGCCAATGCAGACATCCACTTTCACTGTCAAGGCCGCTGGGCCCGCTGGGTTACGTGAGCGAACCGGGCGGTGCGGAGTGGGCAGGGAGCGGGCCTGCCAGGGACCTGCCCGGCCGGCCAGCGGGTTCAGGAGCACACAGGAAAGATCAGCTTCGCTTAACTTGGCCGCAGCGGCTGCAATCCGCTCGCCAGGCTTCGTTTTCTTTATTCCGATTCTCTTCTTTTTTTTCTTTTTTCCCTGGGCAATGCAGTACGCAGCACTCCCGAAATGTGCACTTTGGGCCGGGCTGAGCGCAAAGGCCGCTGCAGCCTGCGAATAGGCCCGGCCGAAAAGGAAGGTTTTACGTCCTGCGGATTGTATGTTTCACTTTGCGGTCCATGTACTTTTTTGAGCGTGTTCCCATTTTTCCTCACACATTGCAACACTTGCTCCGCTCGGCAGTGACGTTGATGCGGAGTAGAATTTTGCAGTAAATGCCCGAAACAGTTGTTTTTTTTTTTTTTTTGCTAGGTACCTTGTTCCTCACTTGGACAGTAAAGAAAATCCTCCATGGAAAATACTTCAACACTCTTTCTGAAGTGAAAAAAACACTCCGCCGGGGTTTGCAGTGTATGGCTGTTCGTTTTTCGAGGCCGTGATGTGGGTCACGGGCGCTGCGGCTCCAATGAACTCGTTGTGACAAAACACGGCCGCCTATTGGCCGGTCCGAACGGCTCGGCGCTGAACGGGCTCGGTATTTGGGGGTCCAAAAAAGAAGCGTGCATTCGTTACGCGTCCCTCGACGCGAAGAAGCGAAGCAGGAAGTAGTGCAAGTGCGCGAGTGCGCGAGGAGGGTCAAAGGGCCGCCGAGGGGTGTGCCCCTCCAAAGGACTCTTGTTGTTTTGTCCCGTGTTTTACCCCTGTTTAGTATTTGAGTAGCTCAGACGGCTAATGGTGCAACTTTGACTACACAGTAATCACCCTGGCCGAAAAGCGCAGAGCCGCGGGTAAAAAGAAACCCTTTGCCAGGAACATTAGCAAAGTTGGGCGAGGTGAGGTTAGGGAAGGCCACCCGCAACTATGCTATACCTGCAGATAGAGCCTGCCCTGCAGCCTTGCCACCTACAACCGCAGCAAGAAGAAAGGAATCCGTATTAAAAGTGATGACTCTGGGAGATTTGTGTGTCCCCACACAAGCGCCTGTCAACTGCTGGATAGGCAACCACGCGGCCACGACGCACCAGTGTGTTACGGGATGGCCTACCCTGCCGGCGCTGAGAGTTACAGTTTACAGTGCAGATCAGAAAGGCTCTTCTTTCTGAAATAAGCAATTTCGGTTCAGGCTCGGGTTCAGGTTCCCTTTTCAAGTGCTGAGACAGGACAACGCCAACCAAGGAGAGGGCTCATCTGGCGGGTAGTGCCAACATTGACACCATTTTGTGAGTCATCGAAGCGGCGGGAATCCCCCGGACGTTTCAAAATCGAGTACCTTCGTGCAGGCGGCCGTGGCGGGGACGGCGAGGGCGCCTGGCGAGGGGGGAGGGGGGTTTTGTTGCCTCCGTTTCGGCGGCGTTTTAAGTTTCGGCGGACTGGCCGGTGGAGATGAAGACGATGAAGACGTTCTCGATGTGGGAGTGGGGGTTTCCTGACCAGGGCCACGCCAGGCTACGCACCCCGCGTATACACACACTCACTGCAAGACGACAGTCTGGATGGGGAAACCCGGCAAAGTGAACCGCCCCGCCCCCCTCCCCCGTGCCGCCCCGTCCCGCCCCGTCCCGCGGGAGTGCCCCGCCCTGCCCCGCCCTGCTGCGTGGTTCAACAGCGGAAAATGGGAGGGATATACTGCTCCGACGTTATATAAGGGAGACGCGACGCGGCGCGGCCACTCAGTGAGTCTTCGACAAACGGTGCCAAAGTTTCCAAAATGAAGAGGCTTCTGGTGAGTGGAAGGGAAGTTGCGGAAGTAGAGGGGGCGGAGAGGCGGGACAGTTTGTAGTTGTTTGTCGACGAGCTTATCCGGGCTGAGCGCGGTAATCGAATGAGACCAGGTATGAATGGAGCGCGCCAGCGGGCCAGCGGGCCTCCACTGGAGCCGCAGTGGACGCTGCCGGTGTGCGGCGGCTGCGAAAGCTGATCAAAGCAAAGATACGCTGCTTGGTGGGCCAGCTGAGGTTCGAGTACTCGTAAGCCCTCGCGCACCACGGGCACTGACTCGTTGTTCTCCACGGGGAGAAGCGGCACCGAGTGAAGCAGGCTTCAGCCAGCTCTCCCATTTCCACTATAGATAGTTGTCGATGAGTGCGGGGAGCATGCTGGGGGCAAGGCTGGGGGCTGGGTCACTGTAAGGCAAATGGAGGCACTGCACAGTTGGGCCAGAGGACCGGTAGAGGTGGCCAAAATCCCGGACGTGTTTTGAGCTCCAGAGTTGCTAAATGGGACTCGAACCGTGTGACCCCACCAATGGATGGCTCTCCTAACGAGGTGTCCATTGGCGAGGTCGTACGCTCGGTTCCAGTCCCATTAACTGACTCCGCAGCTCAAATTGCGTCTAGAGTTTTGGCCGCCAGCGCCAGCCTTTTGGACCAACTGTGCGCTGTCTGACTGGTGTGAGAAACTCAGACACAGTGTGTTTTTCAACCAAGAGAGAAGCCCCCGAACCATTAACTGCACAAAATACTCCCCTAGGGAATTCATAAAATCGGGCGCGGCGCTGCTGGGCGTGTGCGCGGCGCAGCATGCAGACCGTGAAGTCAGCAGAAGTAATCATCTGGCGGAGCTCGTCAAAGCGACGCTCGCTTTTCCTGTTTTCCTTCTCCAACTTTTCATCCCACCCAATCACCCGCCGAACGCGGGTTCGGAATCACAACATTTCATATTCAGCTGCTACCCGCGGAGCGTGCAGCCTGTTGGGGGGCTCGTCGCGGGGACAGGTCACACGTCGACCGCACTGCCGCCAGCATGCCGCCAGCATGCCGCCAGCATGCCGCCAGGCTCCTCTAGTTGTTGTTGTTTTGGGGGCTGAAGGCTGGGCCGGCCGGATTACCACACATCATCTCGCTGTTGCTGTTGTTGTTGTTCGGGCTGCTGCAGGTACCGCGGGTGGGGCGTCGCCCGCCCGTCCTGCTGGCCACCTAGGAGAGGGGGGGGATGGGAGGGGGAGGAGGGGGAGGGGTGGGGAGGGGGTAGTGAGGCAAACACATGGGGCAACCCGCAAAGCCGCAGGACGGCGCACCGATTAGCACCGACACGGCCAGCACGGCCAATGCAGGCTACCTGGGTGTTGGGGTTGAGGCCCTTGAACGCGGCGTTCAATTTGCGTTCCGTTTTTGTTTTTTTTTCAGGTGTTGCTGCCTCTGCTGGCGGCCGCGGCCGTGTCCGCGGCGCCCAAGATCGAGAAGCGCGGGGTGCTGGGCCTCAAGCTGGGCTACAAGCTGGGCGCCTCGCACGCCGGCCTCAAGCTGGGCTCCAAGCTTGCCTACAAGCTGGGCGCCGCCACGGCCGAGCTGGAGAACGCCGCGCACGCCCTGGAGAGCGGCTACCACACCGGCTACGCCACCCACCTCGGCGGCCACCACGGCTACGCCGGCGGCTTCGGCTACGGAGGCTTCTCCTCCTTCGGCCACGTGGACCACGTGGAGCCTCTGGAGCACCACCATGTGCACACCGTGCCCGTGCCGCAGCCCTACCCGGTGCCCGTCATCAAGAAGGTGGCCGTGCCCGTGCCCGTCCACAAGCCGTACCCAGTGCCCGTGCCCGTCGACAGGCCGTACCCCGTGCCCGTGGAGAAGCCCGTGCCGTACCCGGTGAAGGTGCCGGTGGTCATCAAGGAGCACGTCCACCACTTCGACGACGCGCACCACGACGAGTACCACGGCGACTACCACCACGACGAATACCACGGCGACTACCACCACGAGTCGTCCTACGGCTGGAACAAGGGGTGGAGCAAGGGCTGGGAGAAGTGAGGACTCGGCCGTCCACGGGGTGCTGCACTGTGATAAACTGCACTGACTTTTTAAAAATCCCGAGTGTGTTCCTTTTGTATATATTGTCTAAGTAATAAATTATTTAATTTAATGTGACCTAAAGAAGCCTTTATTCTTTACTGGTGCCTAACTTAATTCTAACACAGGGCTAGTGGGGACTCTATCCAAAAGCTCTCTGCAAATTATTGTAAGCTGGCCACACGCACTCTGTGCTCAGCAGGGCAATTGTTTCCCTCACTCGCCACAAAATTTTCACTTCCGACTATTACTTTTGTTTTTCCAATTCCATTTGAAAACATTACGAGGCGGTGCGAGAACACACGGCTTGGCTCGCACAACACACGAGGCGTTTCTAAGAAACGGAACGGTGCGGCGGTAGAGGGTTGTTGCCTTTTCTTCGCTTGTATTAAATTCCGTCCCCTCTCTCGTGTTACCCTAACTCCCTCGAACCTCCTCGAAATGAAACTGTTGTTCTTCTGGCGGCCTGCCCAGCCCGCCTCCCTGCCTTGCCTGCAGCCTGATTCCAAGAGGGTCGTTTTCGTCGATCTGTCTCTCTCGCACTCACGGGGCGTTCCCATGGGTGCGAGAGAGACAGAGCGCCACGAAGACGACTCTCAGTCCGCATTAAAGGCTCCTCGTCGGGTTGAGGGCCGCGTGGTGCGTTCACCCGTGAACAAAGGATCCCAATTAGTGAGTCGTTTTCAATATTCAGCGTATTGTTGGCTCCCGCCGCGGCCTTCGTTTAACTGTGAACTTTGAAATTACCGCAAGATTTCTGGGAAGGCTGTGCGTGGCGGGAGTTGGGCAGCCGGGGGCCGAATGCATAACTCATCAACAGTACCTGGAACGCCGTTAACGAATGGATGGACGCTGCCGTCGGCCCGAGAGGGGCTCAGGAAGCTGTGTACATTATCTCCAGCCTCCAACGAGAGCGGTGGTTTTAACGCGCGAATCAATCAGAATTAATCACGAACAACAACGAGATTCGGCTGGCTTCTCGCTGGTGTGAGTCAGAAGCCACTATCGGGACACTACTGATCGAAACGGGTCGGGCTAAATGACGCAGGGCACACTGGTTTGGTAGAAAAGAGATTTATTCTAGAGGTGACATGGGGGTGACACTTTGTACAACAGAAGGTGGAGATGAAGGAGATACAGTATTGACTTAGTAGTGGGAGTGGAGATCGTGAAGGTCGTGGTGGTCCAGCGAGAGACCGTGGCCGTAACTGTGGCCGTAGCTTTCGTGGGAGTGCTCCTTGATGTAGACGGGCACCTTGTAGGGCACGGCGACGGGCTTCTCCACGGCCACGGTGTAGGGCACGTGCTTGACCACGGGGTAGGGCGCGGGCACGGCGACGGGCACCTTGACGGGCACCTTGACGGCGTAGGGCACGGGCTTCTCGACGGGCACGGGGACGGGGCGGTCCACGTGCACGGGGTAGGGCTTGATGACGTGCACGGGCACGGGCCTGTCGACGGGCACGGGGACGTGGACCTTGACGGGCACGGGGACGTGCTTCACGACGGGGACGGCGTAGGGCTTGGGGATGCCGACGGGGACCTCCTTGGTGATGACGATGCTCTTGACCTGGGGCTCGCCAATGATGGCGTGTCCGTGACCGAGGTCCAGGCCGTGGCCGTAGCCGTGGCCGTAGCCGTGGCCGTAGCCGTGGCTGATCTCGTGGCCGTACTCGTGGCCGCTCAGGTCCAGGCTGCCGTGGCTGCTCAGGCCCAGCAGGCCCCGCTTCTCCTTCTTGGCGTCCTTCTTGGCCTCCTCCGCGGCCACCACCGCCAACACTACGGCAAGTACCACCTGCAGCAACAACATAAATCAAACATTAAAATACTTTACAGGATATTGTGTCCAGGGTTGTTGACATGTTTATCTTTTGACTTCAGCGCACGCCGCAAGGTGCTGTTTCGACAGACGAGCATGGCTCACATCATTCATAGAATAATCACACGTTTCTTTTAAAAAATTCTCATATCGGTTCACTGTTCTGATGCACATCGTTGTCACACACTGCCGCGATTCTGCACAAATATCCAGGAGGCGTCGAATCTTCTTCTCGTCTTGACAAACTGAACACGGGCACTTGCACACTGGTCGCTACTCACCAGAACCTTCATGATTGTCTACTTGGGTTAGAGTTGTGCGGTTAGCACTGACTGTCCAACGATGGCGCCCGAGTCTTTTATAGTTCGGACACCAGCAACACCTCCCTCCTGCACGGTCCGACACCCCTACTCCGTGGGCCAGCAGGCCGCCAGCACGCCCAGCACGTGGGGGCCCCGGCACTTGCCCGACCGCGGAGCGCACCACCGCGCCGGCTCGACCCGCTGACCTGGGGGCCCCTGGGGCCCCTGGGGCCCGGTGCCCCGGCCGGGGCGTTGACCAATCGCGAGGCGTTGCAGTGCCACCCGAAGGACGCGCCGGACATCGCCGCTCAGCGCGCTCAGCTCCAGAACTTGAACCGGACGTGTGACCCCACCAATGGATTCCTCGTTCGGAGAGCAGTCCATTGGTGGGGTCACACGTTCGGTTCGACTCCCCTTTAGCGACTCTGGAGCTCAAAACGCGTCCGGGATTTTGGCCGCCTCCACGCCGGCCCTGCGCCCCTCAGGCCTTGCAGCCCAGCACTGCCGCGGCGTCCCCTGCCTGCCACCACGCCGCACGCGGACCGCCAACCCTGCCATTTCCAACCGAAATTCAGGTCAAACACACGCGGTGCGCGCGGCCCGGCTCGGCCCAGCCCGTCCGCCGCGACGCTCGGAGGCTGCGCCGCGTCGTTGCCTCAGGTGGAGGTCTCGGCGAAAATAACAACGATATTTTACTCGCGCGGCGCCGCCGTCGGCGTCCTTTACTGCGGTCATTGCAGCGTCTACTTATTGGCGCGATTCGGCTCCAACCTTAACGACACTTGCGCGAAAAAAAAGACATCCACCCAACCCCTTGTCTTGACACATGATCACACTGGGATAATTTTTCGGGTCCTGCGACTTAAATGCGTTTTGGGGCTCTTTAGCAGATGCCCATCGACGACGTCGACGACGACTAATGTGCTCTCTGGAATCCTAACGAACTACTTCACACTCGCACGCCTACTTACTTTATTTTTTGCCCCGCCAATTGCATATCGATTAGTCGAAAGAAAAGGAGCCTCGCCTGGCCTCGCCCTCGATTTCGTAGTGGTGCGGCCTGCGCGGCCTGTGCGCGGCCTGGAGCGCCGCGTCCTTGGCCAGAAGATGAACGGTATGGTTTGGGCGTGTCGGCGTGTCGCGCGGGGAGGTGTTCAGTGCACTGGTGTGTGGAGCAGTGGAGCGCGCGGCCGGACTGCGTGGCGTGGAGCGGCTGTAATCCTAGTCGTCCGCAGTCCCCGGTCGTCATGACGACGGACCACCGCAGTCGAATAGGGCTCGCCGTTGTGCGGTACAGTGTAGTAAGTGCCTCGTCATAAACGTGCCGCGCACAACACGCACGCAGACACACAAGTGCACTCCCCACCCCTCACACCCCTCACACACACACACGTACACACCTCATACATACAAGTTGCTTTGTAGTATCAAACTTAACACACACTCCTGCGCCACTAACTTTAATTTTCTAGCTACAACACTGCTGCGAGCAGTAGGCCTATACATTTTTAACTTCGAAGCTTTTCTTTAAGAATTATATATTGTTGCTCTTTCCCACTCGCAGTTTGCTGGGCAGCAGTCAAGATGAAGTCGCCGATGATGAGTTTTTGCCGATCATTCTTTTCCTAGCAGTGTGTTTACTTCCAAGTTGGTTTGGGGCATTGTGCGGGGCGGGACCCGGTAGGACAGCGGGGCTGGCGGTGGGAAAGGGCGGGGGAGGGCGGCCGGCAAGACGCCAGGCTGGCGGGGCTGGCCGAGCTGGCAGCACGGCGCGACGCGTCGCCGCCACGCCACCGGAAACGACGCCGTGCGCTGCGTTATCGATCACCGAATGTGAATCGGCAGCCAGCTGGGCCGAACAGTGTGCCGACACGGCGGTCTGTCTCTCTCGCACCCGCAAGGGACCGCAAGGGCCGCAAGGGACGCCCCGCGAGTGCGAGCGAGACCGCTGCCGGCGGTTACACATGAGCGATATCTCTGAGGTCGCGTTAGCACCAAGTTCGATGCACTCGCCGATCGAGACGGCGCGAGATCACGTGATTGCCATGATGCAGAGCGACGCGTTGATCGACCGTGCGACGAAGCATGGACAAAGCGACGCTCGCGGTCACGCGCGCGCACGCCAGGGCGCACCGCGGCGACATTGCGCGTTCGTGTCGCGTCCGCCGGCACACTGCTTCCGAGTCGTTGTCATCGCGCTGTCTCTCTCGCACTCACGGGGCGTCCCGCATGGGCGCGACAGAGACAGAGCGACGGAACGACTGTCAGCCACTTTTATTGGCGGGAAAGCGCGTGCGAGCGCCGTGGAGTGCCACCCATCCGCGTTTCTAAAGTGTGGCGCCCGGCCGCCGCGGCGGGGAAGGCGCCGAGGTTTCCGCGGCCGTGTACAGTGTAGTGGCGGCCGAGGTGGCCGAGGGCGCTGCAGCGGCGCGGTGCGCGGCGCGCCGGACCAGGATTACGTGCGCCAAGTTCACCGAGTGCCTCCGCTGCTCCGGCCGCTGCGCCGCGCCGCTGCCTATCCCAGCCCTGACCTTGGCCGTGCCGTGCATCGCCTTGGCAGTGGCGGTTCCGGCGCGGGTTCCGGTTCGGCGCCAAATGGACTCGGGTTTGAATCGACGGTCGCGTCGCGGCCGCCAGACTTGCGCAAGCAGGCGCCGAAGTGGCCTGTGGCGGTAGGGGCGGTGGCGGTGGCGGGGGTAGAAGCAGTCTTCTGGTACCTTCTTGTTTCGAAGTGTTCCATTTTGTTTGTTTTTCTTTTCCGAAGGGAATAGTGGCGGAGAGAAAAGTGGACCAGGGCTTTGGTGTGGGGTCAAAACTAGTTTTTGGCGGGACACCATCGCCCCTCCCTGGAGCGCCGCAACCCGGTGGGCCGCTCACTATCCAGCCATCGGACTTATAGTGGCGCTGCGCGGCTGCGCTCCCCTCCCGGTCGCCCCATGTGCCTCATTGGTGGTGGCCGTCGTCGTGGTGCCACAGGGCAGGATCTTGTGAAAGAGTCGCGCGCTCTTCGGTGCGGACCGCGTCGCCTCCTCTGTTCCAAACTGTAGCAACAAACCAGTTCGCTGTGAAACCAGCGCAAGGGGTATCGCCGAGGCAAGGCCGAGAGATACCCTCCGCGTGCGGTGGCCGAGGGCCTCGCCGAGGGCGCTGGGCGCAACCCCGAAACCGAAAACCTTATCTCTGTTGAGGCATGCCTGCGGCTGGCTGCGAGCACCGCTCAGTGGACCAGAAGACCGGCTGATGCGGTCGAAATTCCGGACGCGGTTTCAGCTCCAGTCGCTAAATGGAACTCGAACCGTACAGTGGCCCCACCTCAAAACGCGCCCATAGTTCAGTGGTCATCGGACAGAACAACCTAATTTCAATGGGTTTCCTATGTGACTTACGTCCTTACGCCCAATGGCCACTGAGTTTTGGCCGCATCACCGGTCTTCTGGCCCACTGTGCGTCGGCCGGCACCTGCCGCGCCGCATTCATGTATGCATTGCGCTGCAGGCTGCAGCCGTCGCTTCGGAATCCGCTTCCTCGTGTTCGCGTTCCATGGCCCACCTGTTGTTGCTGGCGATGTTCTTGTTGTCGAAGGGATAATTCCAAGCTACGTGCCGCGCCGCGCCGAAGGGCGCCCCCACGCCGCCCCGTTCGAGTGCACCCGGAAAGGCCAAAGGTCGAATGCGAGCGGGCCTGATGAAAGGCATGCGCACTTCGGCAGCGCGGCGGCGCAGGCTGCTTCCGGAGGGGGCCTCGTCGCGCTGTCTCTCTCCCACCCGTGCGGACAGCCCCATGAGTGCGAGAGAGAGGCACGGTACTGTCGTTGCAGGCCGGCTCCAAAGTCAGTGTCGGGCAAACGCAGCGTGGCGGCGCGGGGGCGGCGGCGGCAGGCCCTCTCCACCGCCGTCCTGGAGCACTCGCTGGAGTGCGTCCCGCTGGAGAGGCGCCGCTCCAGCCGCTCCAGGGCCGATGCACCGTCCAGAGCTCGTCGCCGCCCTTTGGCGCGCTTTGGCGTGTCCGCCTGCTCTTTTATTCATGCTGCTGGTGCAGCACACCCAGCGCACCCACTTCGACGTCGTCAACGTGGAGCCCCGCCGCGGCGCCCGGGTGGAGTTTGGTGTCTTTTGGGCGTGTTTTGGCCGCGACAGCACTGCTAGGGCACAGAATGGCCGCCGCGGCGCTGGTGTGCGTAGTTCGGCCGCCGCGCCGCTGCGTGCGCGGAGTTTAGTCGACCACGTTATATTAGGCCATTTTCTGCATGTCGAAACGCGCTGCCGCCGCGATCATCAACCAGAACAACAACAACAACAACGCCGGCGACATCGCGTGCACATACTCGCCGCGGCAGTGTTGTTGTTTTTGTTGTCGCTGCGGACGATGATGCTATCCTATCGATCGCGAGCGCGCGACGCGCGTGCACACACGGCGGCGGACTGGGGCGGGGCGGGGCGGGGGCGGGCGGGAGGGGTCGGGGCGGGGCGGTAGCTGGCCGAGACGCGAGGGACGTGATGGAGGAGACTAGACACTGGGGAAGCCTCCCGGTCGCTGCCGCGGACAACCATTCAGGATTACCGGGCTGGAAGGCTGAAGGGCTGGAGGGGCTCCAGCGGGCTCCAGGTACCCACCGCCCATCATTACCCTCTGGGTGTATTTTCGTCATGTCCTCTGCCACGGAGCTTTTCTATCTGAGGTACCATTTCCAGGTCGACGAGAGGGATATACAGAGAGGGGGCCGCGGGGCACTCGCTCGCGCAGCCAGAGGGTGGGTGCGCGGTGGTAGGGTGGGTCAACTGACAGGCAGCGCAGCTGACACCCAGGATAGAACACCGTAATCACCTCCTTACGGTGAGAGCCTCAACTCGGGGGTTTATAACATCAGGACTCCTAACTTCGGCCTTCGGCCGTCGCTCTGTCTACGCCGAGGTCTACGCTCAGCTGGATCTCAGAAGGAACGTGCCCGGTACGGCCCGCGGGCATGTGGACACGGCACCCACACTGACAGCAGTGCTATCGACGGGTAGAGAGGGGATGGCTGCATGCTTGGCGTCCTGGCGGTCTTCCCGCGCGGCGACTTCAGAGGGCGGCACGGCGGCACGGCGCGGACAGGAACGCCGCGGCGCTGCGACGCGG